GGTGCGATGTATGTGCAATGTATGTGCGTGTAGGTGAGGGTGTTGTGCTGGTCCTGTACAAGGCTGTCCATCTGAATTTTAATGTTTTTAACTTTACCCACAGATTTAATCCAATGCCTGTAGATTCCGCAAGCAGTCCCGTATCGTATTGCGTGAGCGTGAGACCACACAGCACCACGACTGACGTTTCGTGCCGATGTAGCCTGCAGCCGTATACACTCACGAGTACTCACACTCAGCACCAGCACAGCCGCGCGAATTCCACACGCCGCGTCCGCCACTCACTCCAAAGTCTGGTCCTGGGGCTAAGTCATCAACCCAGCGCATCGAGCACCTGACGCCCTAAGTTTTCAGCCTACAGTAGCAACACCGCCAGATCTCGACGACGCGTTCAGGGCTTGCTTACAGGGCATCAAAAGCGCAGCTTGGCCGTTTCTGTTGGGGCGAGAATTGTGCTATTCAGCATGATTTTTATTTTATTTTGTCTTGTCTCTCGACAGGACAGGCAGGTAGGCACACAAACACCAGCGCATAAACCGGCGCAGGCGCAAGAGCCGCACCAGCGCGCCCGTGCCGAGCCGTACGTACCGTAGGTACCTAGGTGGGGGGAACTAACCAGGGGCGCGGGGTGTGCCGCACTCCCGCGTCAAGCTGCTCTTGGCTCTTTTGCCGGGAAGCCGTGGGCCAGCGGAGAAGTATTGCCTTGTTTGACGATAACAGCGGGCGAAAAAGTAATCACCCATGTGCCTAGCGGGTGCTTTGTTTGCTCCAGTGAAGCCGATCCTTGCTCTTTGGTTCTCCACCTGTTTCTGTTTGAGACGGTCCGCCAATTTCACCTAGGCACTTCTGCGTTTGCTCGTGTCGCCGCGCTCGATGTTCTGGACTGGGGCGGGCCTAAATGGCGCAATTTGCATGGGTTTGGTGGTGGGATGATTAATAAAGGGCTTTTTTATTTTTTAAATTGATTGCCGAAAATCAAGGGTCTAGATGTTCGGTGGGGAGCTTCTAAAACTTGTTCTGGATATCCCTACCCCGGGTTTCTGCATTCACAGGTCATTTTCAACAATGCAATGGTTGGTACGAGAGCCTTGTTCAAGGCTGCTTTTTTGGTATATGGGTAGCTGAGCCTATGTGACAAACCTCGAGCGCGTAGTTAGCTCTACGCCTTCCACTGCTTACCAGACCCGGATCCTTTGTCCGTTTTCTTCTTCTCCGTTACAGTATGTCTGTCCTAGCTTCTCTGGACCGTCAAGAATCGTACCATGCTGCTCTTCTCGAGCTGGGCCAGACCATGCGGTCCAGATGGTCGTCGTCAAGTTTGTCGTCGCGTTGTTCCTGCACAATACGTTCACTCGTCCTCGGGCGGCGCGAACGGGTTGGCAATCTCCTCGCTGCCGTCGAGGGGAGAGATCAGGACGAGCAGAGTGCCGCGCGCGACAATCAGGCCGAGGGAGCGGGTGGACTGGTTGCCTTCTTCGTCTGTAGAGCTGTATTAGCCTCGCTGGAGCAATGCGCCATTACTGTGAGAGGAACGCACCGCGCATGATCTCCTTGACATCGTCCAGCACTAGGTTCATGAGCTGGTCGTAGCCCTTGAGTGTTCCGGTCACTGGCGCCGAAAGTCAGCGTATGCTCTGCGTCGGTGGGGGCGCAATTGCCAGTAGGCAAACCGACCTTCCCTGCCGCCATTGAACTTGACGGTGATCTCCTTGTCCATGAGCTTGCCCAGGTCAAGGATGTTTTCCTTCTTGGGGCGCTCGTGGCCTTGGCCGTGGGCTCCGCCGCGCCCGCCGCCGCGTCCACCGCGGTCACCGCCGCCCCGGCCACCGCCACGTCCGCCCCGGAAGTGTCCGCGCTCCGACATTATTGGTGATGCGAGGGGGGAGGGAGGGGAGGTTAGAATATGGTCGGATGTTTGCGAGTATGGGCCCAGTGACGCGGTTGGTCAGGTCTTCCCGCATCAGCCAGCAGCTAGGTTGAGCCGGGGTATTGCCGGTAAGCCACAGTCTGCGCCTCAATGACGGGCGCGCCACGGCGGCGGCGGCGGCGCCCACTGTACACTGGACGCGCCCGCTGGCTGGCTGGGCTGGTCTGTTCCATCGGGCTCCGCGCCCCCCCCCCCCCCCCCCCCCCCCCCGGCTGCCAGCCTGTGCCGTTTTCCCGGCCTCCACCCTCCGACTCCTCCACTCCGCCCGCCGTCAAATCCCACCCAACCTGCCACGCATCTCCCCTCCCACCTCCACAGTCCGCGCCCACGATCTTTGACTGAACCTTTGTCGTTCCTCCGCGCTCGTCCATCTCCGCCCGTCGTTGCTGCACTGTCCCGCGCGGTGCGCCATCTCCGCCCGTCGAAGAGTGAGTGGCGCCGTGCTTCCACCGCTCCGGAGCGCCCCCTCTTCTGCCGAAGTCGCGTTCCGGCCTCTCGCCCTCCGCTGGCCTTGCTTCCCACTCCTCCCTCTTGCGCGAGCGCTCAACGCCGCCGCACCCCCCACGCTGCGTCGCAATGGAGCCTGGTGCTCATCACGAGTCTGCATCCACCTCCACCACCACTACCACTACCACCATGACCGAGCAGCTCAAGCGCAAGCGGAGCCCTTCGCATGACGCCGCCCATGCTCCTCCGGCGCCTCCGCCCAAGACCGCCAAAACCCACAACCACCTGCAGATCAACTACCTCGCGCGCCAATACCACGATGATCTTCCGCTGATTTCCAACGATGATACCCTTCCTTCGATTCTCTCCTTGCTTGGCGAGTACCAAGGTGTGCTCGACCGCCACGAAAGTATGGCCTGCAACCTTGGCGCGCGCCCACTTGGCCCCATTCTGATCAAGCGCTTTGAGCGCCTCTTCGACGGCCCGCCAAAGGTCCTCAAGTCGCACGGCAAGGAGGGCACCACTGTCACCTGGCTCGACGTTGTCGAGTTTGCGCGCAACAAACCCGAGCAGTTTACCCTCGGCCAGATGAGCGAGGGTCTGAGAGTTTGTCAGTTTTACACAAAGCAATGTCGGGTGCAAATCAGCGAGGAAGATTTTGTCTTGATTAGCAGCGGCATCCCGCAGAAGATGATTCCGCCTCAGCCCATTGTAGAGGACGAGGAGAAGGAGCTGGGAACTCTGGAAATCCTGGAGAAAAACCTGGGCCAGATATGTCAGCTGGCTGACCAAGGTCTGTCTTTGCGCATGGTTGACTGCTGTTGAGAAGTAACTGCTAAACCAAGCTCCAGTCGCCGCGCGCACTCGCCAGCTCAACCACCGCCTCAAGGGCCGCAAACAGGCCATTCTCGATCGCCGCGCGACGAACACTCCTGCCGCAGTGCGCGCATCCAGCCCCTCCAATGTCGCATTGATGAACGGTCTTGGGCCAAACGCGTTGAACACGCTCCCAAAGTCGCCGAGCGGAGGGTTTGTAGCGGTCAACTCGCGACCCGCGGCGGAGAACGGAGACCACAGCAGAAGCGGCGCGTCTCCCGCGACGCGCTCCGAGCTGCTCAGCAAATTCTCCACCATCAATGATCGTCGCGCAGCGCAACAGCAAGTGTCCAATGGCGACCAGGCTAGGCGAAACTCCAGCGCGAGTCAGCAAAACGTCCCCGTGCAGACCACAGGCTCGGCTGCCCCCAAGACTTCAAGGACTCCGAGTACTGTCGTTGGATCAAACGGCCTACCCTACACCGACCAAGAATACGCGCAGCTTCTTCTATCCAACACCTCGCCCATTCCGATACCAAGCACCCCGTCGAACCTTGTGTCATCGACGCATGGTGCACGGCCCAACAACTCGAGCGCCCCATCCACCGAGAAAGATGATGGTGGTCCGTTCAAGGCCGAAATGGTGGCTCGGATGGAGATGCTGCAAAAAGGCGAAAGAATCCTCCCGCCATGTGATAGATGCAGGCGGCTACACATGGACTGCCTCAAGAACCTGACCGCCTGCATGGGCTGCACAAAGAAGCACGCCAAATGCTCTTGGAAAGAGGTCCGCGAACCAGAGCTTCGCATGGCGCAGCCACCTATGGAGTCAGAAGGAAATCACTCTGACGTCGAGATGGGGGGCTACCCCAGCGCCATCATGAGGCAAAACCTGCAAAGCCCGTCTTCCGCTTCCCCGTCCGCCTCGGTAGGGTCCACGGGAGGACACGCTCCCGAGGCTAGGATGGGAGGCGCAGACACGCATACCGGGCACACGACGCCAGCAGCGGCGCACGCAGAGCTTTCGAGAGCAGAAGCCCGATCACACGCTGGCGTGGGAGCCGACGTGACTATGGCGGAGCGATCGCGAGGAGAGGCGGAGCAAATGCAGCACCGCCCCCATAGCCACGATCACAGCAGCCACGCGCACCACCACCATCATCATCACCACCACCACCAGGAGCCCGAGGGGGCACCACAGCCTACGGCGCTCGAGCAGCGACACCCAGCTGAGTCGCACCAGCACGCGTCAGACCTGCAGTCGCTGGTGGCGTGAGAGAGGGGAGAGCGTGCCCACACGTGCCGCGCCCTTGACACGGCAAAACCGACACACAAAACCAAAAAAAGGTTGGCTTAGTTTGAAGCCATTTTGTTTTCTCTCTTTTTTCTTTCGTGTGTGTCTCTCTGTGTTTTGTTGTGGGGTGTGTTATTTTCCTTGTTAGTCGATTTTCCTCCTTTTTATTTTATTTTTTCATGTGCGTTCTAGCGGGGGAGCCGGGGTCGTTGTTGCTTTGTATGTACGAATTCCGAAATGCCGTGGCGAAAGCGAAAGAAGCGAAGAAGCGAAAGCGAAAGCAAGTCGAAGCGTGCGCGCGCTTGCGTGTGTTGCGTTGATACACAAGAGACGTTTTCTGCCAAAATGGGTAAAAGCGGAGCGGGGATCCTGCCATTTTTTGGGAACTCTTGTTGGATGTTGCCCTGATGATGTGAGGGCGATTTGTGTGCGGAGAGGGGCGTTTCGTGATGGGCTGGTTCATGGGTGGGTTGGTGAGTGGGTATGTGGGTTTTAGGATGGATGGGATGGGATGGGATGGGATGGATGGGATGGATTCGGTTGGGGGATGGATACGTATACGCTAGGTACACCAGTTTGCCAGGCACCATTGTCATCATCATCATCATTTTTTTTTATTTTATTTTTTAGGAAAACGAGAGATTGGCTGGTTGGTGGGGGTTCTTGTTTTATTGTCGTGGAAGGAAGGAAGGGACGTTGTCTGCTTCCTCTCTTTCCTTTTCTTTTCTGTTCTTTTCTTTTCCTTTCTGGTTGCGAGACGCGAATCAGTCTTTTTCTTCCTCTTTCTTCCTCTTTCTTCTTCTTCCCCTTGCCCATCTTCTTCGATTCTTCCTTTGAAGCGCGCGTTTACTTGTCTGGACGGGTGGACGTGGGTGGACGTGGTGGTGCGCTGTGCGTGCAGTGGATGCAGTGGGCGCAGTGCCTACCTACCTGCCTTAGCCCCTAGGGTACCTAGGTAGCTTTTCGGAGTGCATGGCCGGGTGGTCGTGGTCGTGGTCGTAGATGTGGATGCAATGGCTGCTGCTCTGTGGACTATGAACTAGGTACGAACTATGTAGGATCGGACCCAATCTGATCTGGTCCCAATTTATCAATCTGTCCCTCGTACCTCGCTCTCTTGCTAACTGCTTAGCGATTACTAACTACATCTCGCGGCCGAGCTCGCCCGTTTAACGTCCGTCCCCCGCGTCCGGTCTGCGGCTCGGGGCGCGGGGCGCTCGCACGGGGCGGGGTCTCGGCTGAGGTCCTCCAGCTCGTCCGCGGACCTGTATTCAGCTTCAAGAGAAAAGAATATACAATAGGTGATAGCGTAAAGTCGTCTAGATAACCCAACCGGGGTGGATGACGGAGCTGCCTCCACCTTACATCCATACCCCGGTGCCCCGCCATTCCGGATGCGGGAATGAGCGGCGGTATCGTTTGACGACTTCGCTTCATGGGATTACTCCTACCACGTAGAGATTTAGCATCAGAACTCAGTCTCTGCGCCCCCGCCCGCATACCGGCCATTCGACCAATGCGACGCGCTCCGCTTGCGGCCGCCGCAGCAACTACTTCTGCTTCTGCTTCTTCTGCCATCAGCATCACGCGCCTCCGCCTCCCACGCAGTGGTATCTCTTTCCTCGCCTCCTCTTCCTGCGTTCTGCGGCGGAGCCTTCACATCTACTTCCAGCAGCGGCACCAGCGCGGCATATTCACCAACGCCCTCAACCCCAACCTCAACCACCACAACCACCACCACCAAAACAAACGCGCCATGTCCACAACAAACAACAGCAGCCAAGCCCATCCAGGCCCCACGCCCGAAGCCCTCCCCGCCCTCCTCGCCAAACTGCAGTCGCGCCTCCCCAGCTCCCTCCCCCGCAGCGCGCACTACCTCGTCCCCGCCGCGACGCTGCTAGCGCTACGGCAGCCCGCGCTTGTGGGCGGCGTATTCAGCGCCTTTGCCGGGCAGCAGCAGGGCACATCAGGCACGGACAGCAGCTCAAGCACGACGACAACAAGCGGCCTCACCTCGCTCGCCATAGAGCCCACGACGCTATCGCTCCACCTCCGCGACCTGCTGCTGAAAGCCTGGACGCTAACGGGGATCCCGCTCGTGATCGGCGCGGCCGCCTCCCTCGCCGTAGCAGAGACAGCCAGCGGACACGCCTTCCCGGCCGCGCATGCGCAGCTATCGGCACGGTACGGCGGGCCCCCACCCTCATCCTCACCCTCAGCCAGCAACCCCAGCCAGGCCCAAAACCCCTCCACCCAACCCCAACCCCCCACACCCCTCCCACTCGACCTCGCCCCCCACGCCCCGATCCCCGCCCGCGGCGCCACGCACCTGCAAAACCTGTACCGCGCGCAACTGGGCCCCATCCTGTCCACCCTCGGCGCCGCAGCCGCAGACATCACGTGGCTGGAAGAAGCCGTCATCTACGGGCTCTTCCTCAGCGACGACGCCGTGCTAAGTCGGGTCGAAACCTCGCTCGTCGTGCTCTGCGCCATCATGGGCCAGGACCTCAAGGCCCCCGCCCTGTGGCATGTGCGTGGCCTGAGGCGCTTGGGCGTGAGTAAGGACGACGTCGAGGCTTTGGTACGTTGTGTTGAGGAGGTGGCGGTTTGGGTGGATGGGGGGGGGGGGGGGTGGGTGGGTTGGGTGGGGGAGGTTGAGGGCGATTTGGTTGGGGATGAGGCTTGGGAGGCTGAGGGAAGGGGTGAGGGTGGGCAGAAGGCATGATGGAGTGCTGTGTAGTATTTTAGCTTGCTAGATCGTCAATACATACGGGTAGCCACTTCATTTCTTTGTCATATCATATCCACGTCTTCAACAGAGTACCTTATTCCCAGCAAAACACTTCCACACATCTCCCCGCATGTGTTGTTCCGCCATCTCACCTACGCATCCCAAAACAGCACATAAAACGCATCACCCAGCATCATCGCAACATATCCAAACACGTGCTAAGTATGTACTTGATTCCATAATCTAATCCGCTCCCTCCGGCCGACCAAGAGGGGAAAAATTAAACCATTAGCTTTCACCATCCGGCACCCAGTCCATTCTGCAACAATTCCCGTCTAAAAGTTAGGCTCTAGACGAGAAAGCTGAGGCACCGACGCGCAAGCGGGTCAAAATCCCATAAACTCTGTCGTTTGCCGGCAAGGAAGCAAGCTACAAAAAAAGGGGATAGGCCGGGGCAGAGAAAAGGGCTACGGAAAAGGTACAGTGAGCAGAAAGGCGAACAGATAACGGTGGGAATCTTTAAATTTTGAAGGGTCTCGAAAAATGAAGAACCGGGGAGAATCGGACGTGATCCTAACTCTCTACCTTTTGGAGCCAGGTTTCACTCCGTTACATGATTTCGGGGCATACATGACTTTCTTTCGGGTGACGGCGTGCGGGTGTAAGGTGTTGTGGGTCGTGATGGCGCGTTGTAACATGCAGCGAAGGATCTCGGGTGATCTAATGCTGTGTATAGGGGTGATTGAGGGTGCGACGGGTATTGCTGATGGGGGGTGTCTTGACGCTTACGCCGTCTCGTGGCCGCTGGACCTCGCGCAACTGGGCGTGGACCGGACGACTGAGGCGGCGGAGTGGTCTTGTTGCGGGGAATGGGGATTGTCGATGCGGCCACGCTGGCGGTGAAGCTGCCCCTGGCTTGGCGTGACTGTAATTCGAACTCTTTATAGGGGTCATTCGCAAAGGAAAAACCTCGGATACTCGAATGGGCAGGAACCATGACGTTCGACGGACGATCGTCAAGGTGTTCCATTAGATGCCAAACAGCCATAGCAAGGTACCGCACTTATAGAAGACGCGGCGCCAAGCAAAGCTTTAGGGCAGGCTTGTGAGGGTCAGGTCCTTCAAGCCATCTGGCCAGAGGCGCCACCTGAGTCGAGATAAATGTCAGTCTGGATGTAGATGGCGAATAAATGGCAATCGTGCTGAAAGTATTAAACCGAAAAAAATCTCACATACCCGTCTGGCGCTTGATCTGCTCGCGGGCCCAACGAGCGGTGTCGATGGTGCGAGGAGAGTAGTCACGGTTGGCCCTGGTCTCCTTGGCCATAAGCATCACCCACTCCGCGCGGAAGAGCTCGGCAAATTCGCCGTTGGAGAAGGTGTCGGCAATGTCACCAATGACACCCATCGAGGACCTCATGAGTGCTTCGGTGCGGTTGGCATCGGTGTGGATGGTGTGAAGCAATGCAAAGATGGGTTCCACGTAGGGAAGGAGCGCCTGCTGGTTGCCGCCATCCCTCATAGCAATAATAGCACCGTCCCAAGCATCCATAATGCCCTCGCGAAGCGAGACAATGTAGTCCAGCATCTCAAAGGAAGTGTCCTGGTTGAAGTTGATCTGGGAAGCCTGGACCAACACCTGAGCAACGACCGACAGGTAAGTCTCAAAGTGACCGCCGATGGACTGCGCAATGTCACCGAAGCATTGAAGGATGGCGGGCTTGAACTGGTTGCCAAGAGTGGAGCTCCGGAGGTTGTTCAGAAGGTAGTTCATGAAGGTGTCGCAGAAAGGCTGGACCTTCTCACCCAGCGAGCGGGTGATGTCACTGACCAAGCCAATGGCCATGGCGCAGAGAGCAGGCTCATCCTGGTTGCCAAGAGCGTTGTACAGGTAGGGAGAGAAAGCCTCCATATACTTGAAGAAGTCCTCCTCAAGCGCGTTGGCCAGAGAACCGATAGCAGCAAGGACGGCATCGGGAACGTTCGACTTGGGACCGGCGCTAGCAAGCAGCTGCAGGAAGACTTGCATGATGCGGTCGGCCTGAGGCTTGATCTCCGCCTCAAGTCTCTGAATGATTGCCTTTGATAACATGTCAGTTATAATTACATTCAGTCTGATAAATGTTCACAACTTACCATAACGACGCTGACCAGGCTGGTCTGCATTTCCTCAAGCGTCATCTTATCCTCAACACTGACAACCTGCTGCTGGAGAGGGAGGGTCTTCTCCAGGCGCTCGAGAATGACGAGGGAGAGGTGACCAATCATTTCAAGGCTGTCGTTGGCAGAGTTCATGGTGAAGGAGTTGAGGACTTCGTAAGCAGCAGTGCGGAGCTGGTTGTCTGCATCCGCCCGCTCAGTGACCTGCAGAAGGTGGGTAACACTGGCCTGGAAGTGAGGGGAGAGAGGGTTAGACTGGCAGCCAGGAGCGCCAGCGAAGCGGTCAGCAAGGTTCATAAGAGCCCAGCAGCAGGAGGAAGCCATCTTGGGGTGACTGGCAAGGCCGGTGAAGAGGGAGGAGATAAGAGGCTGCAGGTGAGTGGAGGGGTCGACGGAATCGGCGCAAGTCTCGCAGATGCGACCAAGAGCGTAAGCAGCAGAGTCGCGGACCTGAATGACGGGGTCCTCCATCATGCCAATAAGAACAGGGAGGGCTTGCTTGACGAGCGGGTCAAGCATCTTCTCCTCAGGACCCTCCATGATAGCACCGAAGGCGGAAACGGCGGCATCGCGCAAGTGCCAGTCCTCAGAACGCAGATTCTTCTCGACAAACTGCAGAACGGCAGGCACGACAGCGCTGCCAACAGTCTGGGCCCAGAGCTGCAAGCACTGGTAAGCGGCACGGGAGATGTTGTACTCATCGTCGGCAGCGTCTTCGTCTTGCTTTGCGAGCAGCTCGAGCAGAACGGGAACGACTTCCGGAGTAGCAACGCGAGCAAAGTTGAAGTACTCGCGGAGCTCGGTAGAGCCCTCTGCGTTGGCCTGTATATGTTTGATTAGCCGTTGAAATTGTTCGATTCCGACCAAGCGCCACCCTCCGTAGCGTAGTGAGTTGAGGTTATATACCTGAGTGTTGTCGTCCTCGATTGAAATTTCCTCCTCGCAGACCGTGCACCAGAATTCGACGGCGAGCTTGGAAACATCCTCCTCGTCGTTCTTCATGCCCTGAATGGTAAGGCCGAAGAGTGCCTTCTCCATGTAGAAGCTCATCTTGTCGTAGTACAGACCCATGATCCTGTTCAAGCAGCCATATGCGCCCTGCTGGATGCGAGTGTCCTCGGCCTGCGTAGCCTCGCAAATGACCTGCATGATGTAATTCCTCTCACCCTCATTCTCAAAGTTGGTCCGAACGAATTCGAGCGAGTCACTGAGTGCCGAAATGGCAGCGTTCCGCACGTCGCTGTTAGTCTCCTCCTTACGCGCACCTTGTACGACGGCCGTCAGGATTGCGTTGGAGTGGGTGGCAAGGCTTTCCCTCAGCTCGTGGTCCTCGGTGTCGCAAATGAAACCGATCGTGGTCAGCGAAGCCTGCTTCTGGTGGTCCGCGCCCTTGCCCACATTCTCCACCAAAACGCCCATAAGCTCTGGCCACTGGTTCTGAGGAATCTCAATCGCCGCAATAGAAGCAATAAACTGGGCCGCAGCGTTTCCTGCACGGGAATCGTTGGACGCCAGCGTGGTCAGTGCCAACGCCTTGACCTGCGACTTGATAGCGGGGTCCTGGGCGAGCCATCTCGCCTGCACCTCTCGTAACCTAGAGTATTCGCGAGCGGAAAATGAGTTCTTCAGTGCGAGGGCGGCGGCCGTCCGGATGTGCGGTTGTGCTTGCTCGTTGGCGAGCTCTGTGGCCAGAGTGGTCAGGTAGGCAGGCTGTGGTGCAAAGAGTCAGCGAAATGTGGCCGGAGGCAGCGGGAGCCTGGCGTCAGAGAGGGCGAGAGCAGAAGGTACTTACGAAGTCAGCCTCGGCGGCCTGGGTGAGCTGCGTCTCGGCATTCGTGCGGATAGCGGCGTCTGTTCAGAAGAGTCAGCTTTGCAAATCTGCGGACCTTGGGCTCGGACCAGAAGCAGAGGCGGCGCGGACGTACCTGGAGACAAGGTCCCCTCAAGCACCTGGTTAACGTCCATGGTCAAGGGATAGGGTAGCTACAGCTCCAAGAGTCGGTGAGGGCAGAGAGGAAGACTGTGGTCGCTGAGCCGGTGGGGTGGAGATTTGGAGGTCCGTGGCAGCGGTTGCGTAGTGAAATCGCTTGACGTTGGTTGTCAAAACACGTGAATGCTAAGACGGAGCGGCGGGCTGGGCAGATTCCGCACGGAGAGAGAGCGAGGTGTGGGAGAACAAAGAAGAAGCGGGCCGCAGCAAACGGAGGAGATGAAGAAAGAACAGAGGGCAAGTGTGTGGAAGGCGCTGGAGAAGGAAATCATCAGAGGGGCACTTGCCCTTCCACCAAAACAGATCGCCCGCTGCCGAAGTCTTACCGACAGGCCTTTTTTCGCCCAAGTGGAGCGCCGTCATCGCGAAGCGCAACGCGGCCATTAATTTCGCATTTGTACCTGACATGCACGGCCCCCAGTACGTACATTATTATTTACGACCAGCCTGTTACCATTCACCGTCGTCCGCTGCGAGGGTCCTCAGCCTCCTTCCGCCGCCAATCCCGCAGCTCTTTGGTGCCCAGGCTGCCAAGTCCTCCCTCGCTGCGCCGCTCCCATCCCCCCAGCCGCACCACCAGCGCTGTCGCGTTGTCCGCGTCTCGTGCCATTTCCGTCGCAAAGCTGACCACGTCCCGCGAGCCCTGTTCCGGCGTCTTCGCCTCCTTGACTATGTCCACGATCTCCTGGTCGCTGAGCGGCCCGGAGATGCCGTCCGAGATCATTACCATGAACGAGAACTCGGCCGGCGACAACTCGATCCGTCGCACTTCAGGCTCCGCTGAGACTCCGATCCGCTTCGAGCCCATGTCGCCAAACGAACGCGTGTTGGCCAGTCCAGACATGCGTTCCTCGCCGAAAGAGTCGGTCACAAACGTCGCCGCATATCGCCTGAGACGCGCGGCTTCGGACGGCAGGGACGGATGGTGGTTTGAGGTAAGTGGAACGGCCTGCCCGGTTGCCGTGTCGCAAAGGAGGATCCGAGTATCACCAACGTGTGCAGTGACCACTGTCGAGTGTGACTCTGGGCTCCAGTACGGCGTAGGCGTGGGCGTCGAGACCAACGCGATGCTGCACGTGCTGCCACCCTTGAAGCGCTTCGGACCACCAATGCCCCTCTGTGAAGGACGATCCAAGATGTCTGCTTCGTTGAGAGCACGATCTGCCAGCACCGCATCCTCCTCCTTTTTGTTGACTTGTGCCGACACAAAATCAAAGTCGGCTTTGAGGAATGCATAAGTGAGAACTGTCTCAATGCCAACTCCCTCGGTGACATCATCAGAAATGCCAGAATGTTGCAGTTGACGGCGTTCCACAACTTCCTTTTCGGATGGGTGGCCTTGACCGCCAGCCGCTGTAGAAAAGAACTCGGGTTTGAAGCGTTTGTAGTATCCGCCGACTAGCTCTTTCCAAGCAGTGACAATGCCTCGCTCCAAGTCTTCAGCTCTCCGGATATTCTCTGATTGGGGTATCGGTTCCTCGCCCTCGGGGGGAGGTGTCGAATCTTTGCGTGCACTTGGTGCGTCGTCTGTGTTGGATTCTGGGACCTTAGCAGGTTCCACATCCGAAGGTGTGTGCGTTTCAATTGAGTTCAGACTCTCCTGCTCTCTTCTGGGATTCGTAACGGCCCCAGGCTGTTTATCAGGTGTATTTCCTGGGTTTCCGAAGCCCGGTTTGGCCTTCTGAAGGCTGCTCTTGAGCTCAAAGCTCCTCGCACTATCCTCCAGGTATTGGTGCAGTCGTTCGCGCAAGAACTCGCTGCATTCGTTGCCGCCATGTCCGTCGAAGACTCCGTAGTAGAAGACCTGAGGATCACCCTTTGCGCTGTCCGCATTGGGGTTCTCTCTCGACTTCCCCGTGTGTGTGAGGGATATCGGTCGTCGCTTTGCGAATGCTGGCAGCTCGATGGTGCCAGCTTGGTATGCGTCTTCGTTGTATGGTCGTGTGCCTCGAGATATCGAGACACCAAAATGATGCTTTGCGCTCTTGAGAGGGATGCGTACGACGGTCATGTCGCGCGACGCGCCCAGCGAGGGCACTGCCGCCGGCGACCGGTTGGTGTCCTTGGGCCCATAAGGTAGAGATTGTTCGCTGAGGAGCCTGGGGCCAGGCCCGGCGATGGATCGCGCATCGGGGTGGACGGAGGAGGTGGGGAGATGGGTCACAAAGTATTCGTAAAAGAGGCGGCGGTTGATGATGGTTGGTGCTGGAGCAAGAGGCCGAATGCTGGCTCTGGAGATGCGGATTGGTGATGTCCACATACTTTGTCAAATAACACGGCGGGCTGCATACTGCCTAAGAGGACCAATATGCCAGCTGATGGATTACAGCATAATGCATTGCGGTGAAAAAATAGAAGACGGTAGAGGTAAAGATAACGATCAAGGGGGATTGGGATGAGGCGCCGCCACTGGGAAATCAAGTGCCTTTTGCCCGTTCCGCGCGCTCGGCTTTCCCCACACTCACGACAAACCCGCGGTGCCGCGGAGTAAGCCGCACCGCGTCCCCTCCATCTCACTCCACGTCCCCGCCCACGGAGCCCCAGGATTGTCAGATGATGGCTATATCAGCCGATGCTGCCATGGCTGCCTTGCTTCTCGCTTGCCATCAGCACTAACCAGTCGGGCGCGGGCTGCTTCCTGCCCGGGCAAACTCATCCATTCAATTTCTTGGCCACGCATGCCGCCATAGCCGTATCGTCATGCCTGCCAGCTGCAGGACCGGCCAGGGTCGTCTTGTGCGGACAGATCTGGATGCGTGCGCACTTCTGCATAACATCAGCGGAGCGATGATCAACATACTCAACCAGGCAATCCAACATAAGGGCATCTTCAATTGTCTCCAATTGGCGTCATCCAAGAACCGCCTTGAATCTATCCAAAAACTCCAAACTCCGCCCATGCCAATTGTGCGATGCAGCCCCCAATCATGCCATCCGTACTGCGGACCCCAACCAATCAATATGCGTTAACCACCTGGACCATGACTCCAGACTTCAGAAACTCTTTCATCACCATTCCACCATCAACGTACATCCTCGAGACAAGGTGAGGCGTGATTCCAAACACAACCTTGCAGTACTTGTACTCGGATTCTTTGACGCTCTCTGGGTATCTTATCTTCATCGTCTGGTGCCGGAAATGGTCGTAGTGGTTGTCGAACTTCAAGAACCACGAGCGAGGCATACATCGCATCATGAACGCGATGCGGAAAGCGTCCAGAGCAAGTTCCTGGAGCCCTCCCAGGCTGTCCTGTCGATCCTTGCCCGGAGAAATGATGGGCATGAGCAGGTCTCCCAGTTCCTTGGCCATCACTACCACCTGCGTGTTCCTCCACTGCTTAAAACCCGTCGTTTTGTAGACAGCCCGCCACATTTCCGTCTCTTCTGTTACTAGCTCTTCGAGTTTCTGCGGGTCCTTGGGCGTAGCTTCTTCTTTTAGGCGTCGGATCTCAACAAGGCGACTGCTGGCGTCACTGCTGAAGCAGTCCAGAAAGCCTTCATCAAACAGCGGTAAGAGAAGATGACGGTTCAGAAGTGAGGCGACCAACCACTTGCGCTGGCGCATGTCGAGAAAGACCTCTTCGAGGTTGTGCGTGTGTAACAGATCCCTCGAGGCGTCAACAAGCCGCTTCACGCTGGCCTCTTTGGCCTTGATGGAAGCGTGGACAGTGCAGCCGTATCTGCTTGCCCACTTCTCAGTCTTCTCTAACCATGTTTCCATCTTCTTGACAGCCTTCTCTACGTCGGTACCATGTTGCGGGGTATTAGCGGCGACGACGTGAACAGGAACGGGGGTTGAGGTAGGCGGGGCAGCAGGTTCAGAAGCATAGTCGACAGCAGCTTCATCTAGAGCAGGAAGAGGAGCTCTCCAGTTCTTTGAAGACAGGGCCCGGTCGGTGGAGCGCGGTGCGGTCAAGGCCTGAACCTCGTTATGGCGAGCGGGCTTGCATGTCTCTTGCAGTGAACCGTTGTTGTCCGCGCATACGGTGAGGTCGAACGTCTTAGTGACCTCGAAGGACTTCTTGTTGTACAGAGCGGTTTGGGAAAGTGTCGGACCACGTTGCGAGGGCCATTCGGAGCAAGGTGCGGTGAGGCCGCTCAGCCGCAGAAGGTTAAGGTCATTGCGAGCGGAGTGGAGCTCTTTCTCAAGGCACTCGATCTTGGCCTCTTTAGCTGCATTGCGTTGGGCGAGGATATTGCGCTCCTCTATGACTGCCGACAGTTTCTCGTTCAAGCCGTCTAATGCTGTTTTCAAATCATCACGCTCATGTGCTAAATGTTCCGCTTCAGCTTGGACTGCTCCAAGCTGCTGAGCGAGTTGGACGAGGAGGGTGTTTTCGTCCGCCATGTTGAGGATGGCTGGAAGAGGTGGTTGTTTGGGCAGCCATCATCAGAGGGGGAGGCTCCTTTATAACCTTATAGGTAGTCACTCTACCGGGATACTCCGCGTGAGTCCTTAACAGTCACTCCTGGGCGTGTGAAGGGTGGCCGATCTAGCCTTGGCAGGTGACCGTCTTCGATTGAGTGAAAGGCAGGACTTAACAATACGTCCACAAACACAAAATGGTGAATGTTTGTATGGATCAAAATGCTTTGTACTAACAATAAGATGGTAAAGGTAGGTATGGTACGAACAACACCGAAGGAACGAGAATAACATGGATAAGTATGAATACAAACAACTTCAAAGAAGCGAGAGCTATCCCTCAGTGTCTGAAAATTCGACGACACTACAACCACGCCTATATAGAATCGTGGAAAGCACTCACTACTAGCTCCCAGACGAAACTAAGACCAGTGATTGAGGAACGGAATCTACCGTACATGAAATAGCTAGCTAGTGCTTTATATAGTCATCGCCATTCAGAAAACTGTCATTTGAAAGCAACCCATACCTATGCAAACTCCTCTAGTTTGAGCAAACATATAATCCATATCACATCACATGCTTGCGTGCCCAAAGGAGCACACCTTCTTGTCCAGTCACGAACTTCTGTTATATGTACAGCTAGGCTAGAATTGATCATATATATTATAAATCTACAGGCCACACGATCAATTCTTAGGCTTCTGGTATATCCAATTGTACACGGGACCATCTCGTTTTTATCGACAATCCAGACGGCCGTGTGGTCATAGAGAGCAACATTGCTAAGGCAGAAAACCGACCGAGTGCAAGATAGAGATAGACAAAACAAGCAGGCGAGAATGGGAGTAACCTCAAACATGTTCACATACACCGAACTTCCGCAAGAATTCGTCTTAGCACAAAATATTATATCAACGCATGGAGTCAGCCAGCCATTTACATGGCCTTCGAGAAGAGACTGCGGTAGACGGCGTCAACCACGGGCTGAGCGGTGATCGTACGGCCTCCGAAGAAGCGACCATTCAGACCTTTGATCGCGTTCTCGCCGCCCTGAACGGTCTCGAACTTGACGTAGATGTCGCCCTGGGTGTTCGGATCTAATGCAATGTGAACGACAGTACCGTACTTGGCTTGGCACTCTTCCTTGACATCATCTTCAAGATCTTTCATCCAGCTTTCACCTTCCTCTCTGAAGACAGTATGTCAGCGAATGTAGTATCAAGCGTGGGGAAGGGCAGACTTACTCGGCCGGATCGAACATGTTCTTAAGCACGACGCAACGGCTAGCCATGCTAACGTTAACAGGAAGTTGGCGGACCGGAGCAGCAGGCGCGGCAATCTTCTGCTTGTCTTTGGAAGTATCACCAGAGTCGTCAGTACGAGCAAGCTTCCTCATTAAGGCGTCGCGGCTGAAGTTGTTGAAGTTGACGCCAGCAACATCGGTGTCGTCAAGCGCACTGGCACCCCCAGCGCCCTTGTCGTTATCGCGGCCTCCCGCACGGTCGAAGTTGCCGCCGGAACCTCCAGCATGAGCGCCGCGACCACCGGAACCGGAGAATGCTGAGCCCTGGAAGTTGGGTTGGTTTTGTCCCTGGAATCGCTGAAGGAGGTTCGCAGTAGACTCAGGAGTGAACTTATCGTTGCCCAAGCCGACACGGATGGGACGTCCTGCCAAGTCAAAGCCGTTCATCTTCTCAAGAGCTTCCTTGGCTTGGGTGGGGTCACGGAATCTGACAACGTTAGTCAGAACCGGGGCAAAAGGGGGTGAAGAACATTACTGCACAAAGCCGTAACCTCTGCTACGACCACCTTCTTCCTTCTGTAGTTGGACAAACTCCAACTCGCCGAAAGGCTCAAAGACATTCTGCAGATCGCTCTCAGTAATACTGAAGTGTATGTTACCGACATAGAGTCTGTGGAAAGGAACACCGGTAGCGTTGTTGCTGTTGCCCTCTCCGGAACGGGCTTGACGGTTCTTCTCAGCTTCGGTGAGCTGCGCGATGATCGGGATACCTAGGAGCTTCTGGCCAGTAAGCTGAATGGCAGCAGCAACCGATTCTTCGTTTTTAAACTCCACGTAACCCACACTGCGTATATGTAAGCTTAGGCAAACAAAAGGATTGCGTGTCCAACATACCCCTTCGAGCGGCCGCTGACTCTGTCCTTAACAATCTGTGCCTCCTTGACAGGGCCAACCTTCTCAAAGAAAGCCACAAGCTCCTTGGTTCTCAAACGAGCTGCGAGTTGTTGGACAAACACTGTGCGACGGTCACGCTCATCTTCAGTCAAAGGAGGAGTCGCAGAGCGTTTGGGGGTGGGGCTGCGGCGCCGCTCACGACGGCGTCCGCCGAATCCGCGTTCGCGTTCGCGGTCTCTATCACGGTCTTCGTCGCGGCGGGAGCGGCCGGACGGACGCCAGTATCTGTCATCGTCACCATGCGGGGAACGGGATCTGCTACGAGCGCGGCCACTGCCACGGTAGTAGTCGCCGCGGGAACTGCGATAGCCATCTTCGTCAACGGATTCGCGGCGACGGCGAGCACGGCGTCTGTCGGAGTCGCGGCTTCTGCTACGGCGCCTGCTCCTCACGCTACCGTTGACGCTGCCTCTGTCGCTGCGAGGGCTCTTCATTTCAGTATCGCCATCACGGTCGCGGCTGCGATCGCGACGTCTACGGTCGCGAGATCCGTCTCTGGTGCGGTCGCGGCGGTCATTCTTCTCGTCGGGAGCGGGGGATCGGGTGTCGTCCTTGGCCTCAGCCCCGTTGGCATTGGCAGCGGTGGAGTCAAGTAAAGCTTCCACATCTAGACCTGACATGGCGCGAGTTGGGACGCTGTCAAGCGAAGTAGTGGAGTGAGGAGTGTCACTACAGGTTGTTAGCGGAAGGAAGCCCCCGTGTGAGGCAAGCTGGCTAGAACGCACCCTGTAAGTGTAGCTAGCGTTTGCGCAAGAGGCGCAAGCTCGTGCAAAGTGCGTAAGTGGAAAGAAGGGTCCTGCGCCGAGGCGATGGCTGGGAACAAGTAGTAGCGGGCGGGGGTTGCTTGGGGGTGGAGTGGGTGAAAGGTGAGGGATGGGGCAATGGTCAAGATTCGAAGCGAGGCGGGCACGAAAACCGCAGTCCCTAACTAACGCGTGCACGTGACGCGACGCGCCGCGCCACGCCATAAACGCGAGACAGGGCCCGAGAACAGTGCGCAACAATTACTTAGGTGTCATTATTAGGCAAGAATAGGTATTCATGAACCCCTGCTTCCAGTACCAGGCACGCCTCTCAACGCCTCCGTCCTTTCCTTCCATCATTACAAGTAGTGTACAGTCATCTACACGCGCAACTAAGAAGTCTTGACCACCTTGGGCGGGGGAAGGTTGAGCTCCGTGTTGAAGACACGGTCCCAGAACTTGCTCGTGACACCAAAGCCGTTTTGGTAGTCGGCAAAGTGGTGCTCCAGGTGATACTTCTTAAGCTCGCGGTAGTAGGCGGGAAGGCTGTGCGGTCTGTTAATACCGTAGTACAGAAAGAGCAAAATGCAAAATGTCACTTACTTGCGATGGTGGAGGAAATAGTGCGTCAAATCGTAGCAAATGTATCCAAAGATACCGCCGCAGTAGACGGCCGTAGCGACGTGCCAGTCGTAGAAGAAGACGGTATGCGCCAGCTTCCAGAAGGGGAAGGCAAGGACCATGAAGAGCGTCGGTGGCATAACGAGGCGGTACTTGTCCATTGGCAAGTAATGATGGATGCCGTGGAGCAAGAAGTGCAGGGTAATACCGACGCGGTTATCTGGCAGGTACTCATCGAGGTGGAAGAGAAAGCGGTGCATGAGATACTCGACCAGCGTCCAGATGCTGAGACCCAAAACCCAGTACAGGGAAAGGGTCAAAAAGGACATTTGCTGGCTCGCAATGAATGTACCGTAGGCAACCGGAGGCAGCCAGACGATAGGAACCACATACCAAGCCGTCTTGCTCAGCGGCTCCAGGAAGTTGCCAAACAAGGGTGCAGATTGGCCACCTTTGTAGTGCCTAGGGCGGTGGACCTGCTCCAGGTAGAAGGCCTTGGAGAAGCCTCCACACCACACCTGGGGGAGCAGCGGCCGGTTGAGATCCAAAAACTTGTGGGTCTTGAAATCGGTGGCCAAATCGGTTTCCTTGGACAAGTCTTCGGCAGTAGCCAGGCCAGTGGCAGCAAACACGTGCTGGCCGTCGCCGTTGAGCTCTGCGAGACCAGCCTTGTTCGGCGGCAGCGGCACAATATTGTCCGGGTGCTGGCTCTTGGTCGCAGCGTCCAGGACGGGCTCGGTAGGCATGAAACCTACCAGATGCTCGTCGAGGATCTCATAGGCAGAGTCCGAATGTGTGTGCGAAGCCTCGTCGGCCAGAATCTCCGTAACATCTTTACCGCCATATTCGAGAATCAGATCGCCTCCACCGGGGTGGTCCTCGACGAACTCCGTGACATCGTAGACCTTGGTACCGATTGTGACATAGCACGATTTGGCGTTGTCGTGAGCCTTGACTTCGGCCTGGGTGATCGTGGGAAGGGTCCTGCCTGGCATCCTGTAGGGCTGAGGGTTGGCTTTGCGGGTTGCGGAGGCGACGGAGATTGCGGACGGGGCGGTCGAGGGTCCGACGCAAAGTAACTCGAAACCGAGAAGATACGACGAAATTCTACGGCGAGGCTGCGCTGGTAAGTAGGTACAAAGGGGACCGGGGTTTTATTTGGCGGATATGTAGGTAGGCGTTTAGCTTCCTTTCTCCTGACGGGTGGCGACGGACCGGCGCCGCCGGAGATGACAGACGAAAACAAAAAATCGTGGTGTGAGTTCCAGGTGACAACCACGCTCCTCCTCGACCGCCAGTTATCTATTCCCGGTCCCATTAGCTGGAAAAGTATTGACCTTCCCTCTACAGGCCTGCATTTTGGTCCAAGTAAATCTGTGCATGGCATCCTTCTCCCATCTCTCCGACACGTCCTGTAAATCATCAACCGCAAAGAGTCTAGGTAGAACACATCCAATAGTTTTTGCTTACCTGCTGCACATCGTAGAGCCAGACATTTCTGTGCGAGCACAACTTTTCCGGAACAATGACATAGTCCTACATCCTTTGGAGCGGACGAGTGCACAGCCAACCCAGTCGCATTTTCCTGTATTGCATATTGGATTTGTAGAGGCCACAATATTGAAAAACACATGGATTTGGTGGGAGGTTTTACTCATTCGCACCATGAAGGTTCTGCCACCCAGCTAACGGTTGCACGCCTTCTTTGCTTTACGAGGTGCCAAGCTGACAGGGAAGTTAAGGCTACTTCATAGCAGCAGAAAACGAATTATATCATATCCCATCTACTAGCTATTCAAAAAGGGCACAAAAGAGCAGACGTATAGCTAGTTGGAAGAGTCTTAGATGCCTTATGGTTACTTTTGGTAAGTGCCATGAAAAGGTAAAGCGCTGAATCCTGCCCTGCAACATCTTGCTCCACTATAGAAAAGCCAGGCTTGGGTGAAAATAGAAAGAAGAAACTAATGCAAGGTCGAGGGTGTTGAGAACAGCAGAGCCGACGATGTTCAATTGCCATTCTGCCAGACAAGTCTTCCACTTCATCTTTCATACCGCAGCTCGAGCTTAGGACCTCCCAAGCTCGACGCCTTCACTCACCGTGCATCTTCACCCGAAGACTCTCTACATCGAACACTTCGCAAGGCTTTTCAACCTGAGGCTTACTGTCGTTTCTCTTGCGCAAGGAGCTCTTTCGTCCAACCAATTCATCCTCCAAGCTTCATAATCCGCGCTGCGTTTCAATCGAAACGGCACCTGCGCTTCTTTCTGCTTTGAATTTTCTCTCACTAACAAAACGCTTTGTGGTCTCACCTTCCAGCTCGATCAGGATGGCAAGCTCTAGCTCAAAGTCGGCTGCGGATACCGGCTTTCTGGGACCAGACAAGCTGGACGACGAGTTTGATATCAGCCCAGGCGGTTCGAGACACATTGAAACTTCAGGCAATGCGGATCGGGTGTACACCTTGTCAGGCTCTCGTACTGACCCCCGCAAAGTTCCGCCTTTGCATGACACGTTTGTTCCTAGCGACGCGTATGAAGTGCGGCCAAAATGGTTGGTGGAGGAACAACGTCAACAAGCTGCAAGAGACAACCAACTTCTTCACTCGCTCTTCGAGCATCAACTTGAGGACTGGCGCGTGGTACTGAAGGAGAGAGAGCAAGCTGCCCTCGGAGCAGCCGCTACACTTGGACAACAGACATGGCAGCTGGACCTTTGTGCCAACAACGTTATCAGACAAATTTTGCGCAGGCTTAAGAGTAAGTCAATCGTGGATATGCCTTGGTTGTCTACTGATTTGTGCCTAGGTGGATGCGTCTTTGTAGTACGACAACGAACTAACGAAATGCTGGCGTGCAGTCACCCGATGTGCCCTTTGACCATTAACAAAGCCACTGCACTAGAGGGATCGGATTATGTTAATCTCGAGCCTTTCGACAGCTGGCACAATCTAGAAACAGTCGATCCCATTGTTGTTGACGATGACGAAATACTGGTCTTCAAACGGCCTTCACACAGCTCACCGGATGTTCGGGTTATTAAACCAAGCACCGACCCCCCTTCTGACAACCTTTTTTTCTGCGTTGATTGTCTCAAAAACCTTTACTCCAGGAAGTCTTTGACACTTGCCAACAATCCCAAATTGGCACCATCGACTAAAGACACCTCGCTTTCCCAGCAAGGCTCTGCTGCTTTATATACTCTTACTGATACCAGGACCGGACACCGTCTGGCCAGACATTCCACCTCTGCGATAGAAACTTCACCTTTGAGCGACAGGATGTTGCCGCACAAGCGGACCGGCAGCGAGGCCGGGCTTGACCAGTTAGAAGACCGCCAAACTCACATCAACCAGGCATTTGGCACTCGAGGAAGCGACTACAGTGATCCCATCTTCTCATCGAATTCATCTACCTATGGCGGCTCAGCCTTTGGACAATCCGACCAAACGGATGGGGCACGGGACGCTATGTCCATACTCCACACCAGTGAATTACTACTAAACACCAGCGGATTGTCATCACCCGATCACTCATTGCAACAATCTGAAACCTCAAGCGGATGGAACAGGATCAACGAAGTAACAAAAAATACAAGCGGACTGACACCCGCCAACTACACCTCCTTACCCTACCGCGACACCCATGACACCGAGGATGAGTACGACGACACCGACGACGACAGCAGCCCCTGCCCGTCGCCATTCCTCCCACCTCACTCCCTCCCCCTCTCCCACGACCCCATCCTCAACAAATTCCTCGTATCCAGCTGGCCCCTCGACGTCTCCTCTACCACCACCAACGACCAAAACACTAGCACCAGCACCACCAAAAAGAAGAAACGCAACCCCACCACCTACCACCCCGACCCCTCCCCTATCTTCCCCTCAATCATCGGCACCGTCCCCCCAACTTCCCCGACTTCCCTCGCCCGCCGCAGCACCCAAATCACACGCATCGTGCTCGCCGCCAACTGCAGCGCAGCGCGCGCCGCGCGCAACGAGACCACACTGCGCAAAGAGGACATCGTCGCGTACAAGAAGCAGCAGGCGGGGTCGGCTACGCCCTCACCATTATTCTCCACTACTCTGGGGGCTCCTGCTGCTCAGGCAGCCCTTGGCGCTCAGCCAGCTTCAGCCGCCCAGCCAGCTCCCATCGGACTGAAGCCAGGAGCTCCGCCGTCGACGCGCCCCCTCCGCCTCCCCGTGCAGTACTGCCACATCTGCAACGAGCCCCAAGGACGACGCGTGCTAGCTGAGTGCGCAGGGCCGAGATGCCTGAGCGGGCGCGTGCACAGCCGGTGTGCGGCGCCGGGGCGGGCGAGCGTGCCCGAGGGCTGGCTGTGTGCGGCGTGCAGTCCCGACAAGACGAACGTCGTTCGTACGCCGCTTCCGGAGCGGGTGGTGGTGCCCGTGGCGGAGGAAGAGGACGAGGAGGTAGATGTGTACGGCTTAGGGGTTGTTAAGAAGGAAGATTCGGAGGGGGAGGGAAACGAGGGAGGTGGTGTTGGCCTTGGCCTTGGCCGTGGAGGTGTGCGTATGCGTCCAGATGGGCTCAATATGCCCCTCGACCACCGCGCCGTCCTGCCCCCGGAACTCTTCGCGGACCTGCTTGCGATGTCGTGGCCCACGCCCTTCCCGCCGAGTACGCCTCCCAGCTGCGATCTGGAGGAGAGCGCGTCTACACCCTACTTCCTATACGAGAAAGCCTCACCCTCGAGCTCACCATCCGCTAGCACAGCAGTCTCAGACTCCTCCGATGCTACTTCTTCTTCTTCGGACACTGAGACTGAAGCACCCGCCCGTAGCCCCTACTACCACCACAACAACGTCAACAACGCCCCCCGCACCACAGCTTCCCAGCTCCTGCCCGGCAGTGTTTGCACGGCTTGTCGTCGCGCAAGGAAGCGGTGTGACAGGGCAAGGCCAAGGTGTGGAGCGTGCGTGGAGATGGAAAGGACTTGTGTGTATCTGCCTTCGGGGTAGAAAAACATGGATTGACTGAGAGTTGGTGGAAGGGTGAGAAGTGCTCACACTCAGGTCCTCCTTTGCACTCCACTTACTCCGTGCGAGTCTAGTTTGCAGTTGCATGAGTGGACGCTTGATGGAGTCTGCGGCACATAAACAACGACGGATAGAGATGAAATTGGAAACGAAAAAAATGCAATTGAGATTGAAATTGAAATTGCTCTAGCTTGGCCATGAAATACATTAAAAACGTCCTACCTGCATGATTACCGACCTTTCCAAACATGTATACCCAGCGCTATGCCAAACGCCCCGCCAAATACACAAACCATACTCTCCATCCCCCTACCAATCCTCAAGAAGTTCGTTCCACGGCTCACACTCCTCATCCACAGCCTTACGCGCGCTCTCCTCGCCACAAATCGGCAACTCCTTGACCCCGCGCTTGCGCATAGCCTCAGGCACATCGTCCAGATCGAGCAAGCCCACCTGCACCAGCACAGCCGCCTGGTCCCAGTACACGCGCTCGGAGCGCAGCTTCCCGGCACGCACAGCCACAATGCTCACCAGCACCGTCTCGACGGTGCAGTTGGTCGGCGGCACGCCGGGCAGGATCCACGGCATGGGTTGCGTGTGCTTGAAGGAAACAAAGAGCTCGTCGACGATGCGGTCGACGCCAATGGTGCGCGAGAGCAGGCGCGTCTTCAAGTTCGTGGGCGCGCCGGACTGCGGCGCTAGCGAGGGCAGGAAGAACTCCTCGTAGAAGCGCGCTAGGTCCGCTTTTCCTTTGCCGCCCGTCATCGTCGGCGTGTATGTCACTGTTGGCTTGGGCACGTCCGTCATCGTCCGCAGCATCTCCGCGACGTTCGGCTTGTGGTATTTGTCTGCGCGGCCATGGGTCAGCGGGGCGCGGGGTACGTGTGGGGGCGCAACGCACGCTCTTCGTTCTCTTCCCACGCGCGCTCAATGTCCAGTTCGGCAGAGAAGCCTTTGCGGATCGTGTCGAGCGAGCGGCTCCACGACACGGCATCGGCAACCTTGTCATACTCATCCAAATCATGCTCCGCGAAGCCCGGCTGCACGCCCTGGTACGTATAGCAAGGGTACGACAGCTTCTGGGTGCCGCCGGTACCAATGCCCGGCGTGATCCTCTTCTGCACCGTCCGTCTCTTGCCCTGGATGCCCAGGATCTCCGAGTTGCGGTTGACGCCGACCTGCGCGCCCGCGAGATGCACCAGCACGCGCAGCGACGGCGCGTACGTTGTCTGCGGGTCCGGGATCGACGAGGGGTAGTAGGCCACCAGAGCCGCGAGTTTCAGGTCCTGCCGGATGAAGGTCTCGAGACAGACCGCTGCCGCATCGCCAAACGCTGCCAGCGAGTTGTCAGTTCTAGCCGACTCGCGCCTTCGGACTCGGATGGGCGCGGAGTACCTACGATGGCATACGTCCCTCCCACGCCCAAGCTCTCGCCTAGGCCGTGGAGCTTCCGCACATACTGCTTGCCGCCACCTCGGAAGGGGAGATAGACGACATCGAATCCTTCATCCTGCCAGGCTCCAATCGTGTACTCGTCAAACTCGTCATCCTCGGCCGTGATATACAGGCGTGGAGTCGTAGCTTTCCAGGTGAGGAAGCTGCTGCCGCTGTGCACTTTGAGAGTAGCCATTGTGTGAAGTTAGAGAGCAGATGATGGTGCAGTTGCCAGAAACAAGTGGAACAGGCCGCGACGGCCGCCGGGCATTGTATGACCCGTCTGTTCGCCATTGCAGGTTTGGTTGCAACTGTGTGACTGGGCGGCCCGGGACTTGTTACGTCATCGCCGACATGCAGCTCCGAGAGCTTCAACATCCAGGCAATCACCCCGCACCTATTCAACCTTACTCGAGGCAACATGAGCATTTTTTTTATTGTCTTGATATCTAGACATGCAGCGCACACGCGCGCATAAGGCCGCCTCTCTCTGCTGCCCATAGAGCTGTCTGCAAAGCGTGCATAGACAAGAGAAGAAATCCGACCCGAACCCAATTTCACGCTCCAAAACCATCCCCTAGTCATACATAGATAGACGGCGCCTCAGCGTACCCCGCCGTTCCGCACCAAACTTTCTTCGCGACTCTTCCCTGCACAGCGCGTCTGAATCCCCGTGACAAGAGACCAGGCTGGAAAACCGCAGAGATGGGAAGAGACAGCGCGTTGCGAGAAAACAAAAGTTTTAAAAGGAAGAAAGAAGAAAGGAGCAAAAAATCACTCGAAAAGTTGATACTGCACGCAAGCAAGTAAGAAATACGACAAGACAGAACGCCGTGGCCCCGCACTTTCTTTGCATCCCAATCGTCAAGTGTTGAAAAAACGCCCGCAGAAGGCCAGTCGCGGACGTAAACATAAAGAAACGAATAAATAGCCGTCTCGGGCAGAAAATAAAAGACGGTTGAACCTGAAGCCGCTGCGATGCTCCGTGGTTCCAAGCAGGCGGCGAACCTCCAGCGCTGCGCCTGTTGTTATGGTGCCCCTACAGGCAATGGCCGGGAATCATTACCGATCGATGCTCTTCTTATTAGCGCGCACCTTCTCCATCTTCACGCCTCTGGTCCTGCTACCAGAGGGTGTGGTGCTGCTGGGCCGAGAGGTAGGTCGCGAGTTAGGTCGCGAGCCAGAACGCGAGCCGGAGCGCCTCGCACTCTGGCTTATCCGGGGGTCCTCGAAGCTGGTGCGCTTCTTGCCGCTGCCGCTTTCCTCGTCGCTGTCGTCCGCCAAGTCACCTAAGCCAAACGTATTCGCCTCCAAATCATCGTAGTCGCGCATCAGTCCCTCACGATCGCCCACTGAGACCGAGGAGCGCCGTGCTTGCATGCTCCGCCGCGTCTGGAAGGTCGCAATGCCATCGGTAGGGACAGCATCGCCGAATTTGTTGGCCAAGGAGCCGTTCCCATCGGGGTCAGAACGCGAGAGGTTGAGGAGGTAGACACCGCTGAAGATGACGAGGAAACCGCAGAGGAGCGAGATGGTGTTGACGGCAGAAGTGGTGTTGAAGCCACGGAAGAGGATAAAGGAAGCGACGAGAGTAAAAGTGGTGAAAGTGACATAGTACAGCGGGTTGACGCTATGACATGGGTTAGCACTTTTGCGACAGTTCGCAGCCCTGGTGAAGACTTACATGTTGGTAGAGAACTGGCTCAGGGCCTTGTTGAAATAGTTCATCTGGGTCAAAACGCAGACAATGACCACGATAGCGAAAACGTAAGTACTGGGATACGTGAATTGGTTGTCTCCGCCCAAGGTCTTCTTCAGCGCAATGCCGAAGGCCTTGACGGCCATGACGGAGAGTGACCCAACGGTTGAGCAGATGGAAAGGTAGATGAGCGGGTTGTTGCGTCCGTATCTTGGCGCAATCTTGTAGATCATGAAAATCGAAAAGACCGTGACAGACACGCAATAGAAGAGGAAGCCTACGTATACTGTCAGAGATTGACGGCCCCGGAGATTACCAAATGCGTGGTGACAACTTACCTGGCTGAAGTGCAAAATGAAGGATCTCATCCACATTCACCACTTCCTTATCCGGAGGTGCATGAAGCACAATGATAACGGAGCCAATCAGACAGATGGCGCAGCCAATCTTTCCTAGAGTCCCGAGCTTCTCATCAAGGAAGTAAGCCCCCAGCACCGAACTTTGAGGCGCAGTCAGTCTTCGTAATTCAGGTGCTCTGGCGCCATTTTGACTCACCCTATCAACACACTCAGAGCTCCCAGAGGCGTGACCAAAATAGCTGGCGCGAAGGCGTATGCAGCGAAGTTGGCGATTTCTCCGAGGACCACTGCAAAATGTCAGCACGGGTCCCCTCCTTAATAGGGAGTGTGCGCGCACTCGTGGAAATGCCCCCCCACCACGTCGAGCTTCGCAAGTACGAAAAGCCATCACCAGTATAGCCGTGCCGTTTTTCCGCGTCGTTCAGACCCTGTGTAGCCTCGCCATCAGTCCCAATCCTGTATTCGAAAATGTGCGGCGGGGAATTCGAGATTTCGCAGGGAGGTGCGCGGGGGTGCGACGGACCTTCTTTGTAAGGACGAAACTTGTGCCTGAGACTCGAATGTTAGCTCTTGCCACACAGCAATTGTCGTTCTACTCACCGATTGCTAACGACGAGGATATGGCCAGCATCAGGCCAATGTATCTGCGTGCAGTCGCTCGTTAGCAGGGCCTAGCTTCGAGATTCGCTGGGCGCAGCAGCTCATCTACGTCGCCGGGCTTGGATACGCACTTTTCTTCGACCATGATGTGTGCGAGGCAGGTCTGGTCGACCCAGACTATCCTTTTCTACAGGAGGCGGGAGGTGGACACTTTCCGCGCAGCGCGTCGTCCGATTCCGTGGAGACTGATCGCCAAGTCCGGTGGTAAATCGTGTAGGCCGGGATCGCCGCCAAGAGGCCGAGTTGCGGGAGCGACAGACGGCAGGTTGAAGGAGCGTAACGGAACGCGGGGAGGGGGAGAGAGGCAAGAGAGGGTTGTTGGTGTTGTTGTTGAAGAACGCGGAGGTAGTTGGAGCAAAAGCGGCAAGCTGGGGCGCGCGTTGGGGTGTGACGGCGTTAAGCAGGATCTGGTTGCGGAATAGGTGGTCAAAGTGCGGGCGAGCGTGCCTGAGGTGCGACGTGGGCAGTGTCGGACGGAATGGAGACGAGAGTGACCCGTGACGCAGGCTTCGGGGAGCGAGTGTAGGTGGGTGTGGAAGTGTGATTGGGGTTGGGAGGCGACGCGCTGCGATGCGGGAAGTAGTCAAGCTCTGCGACGACGACGACGACGACGCCGCTGCACCTGTGCCCTGCCGCGCGCGCGCCTTGCCTTGTTCCTGTGCCTGGCCAGGCGGAGTACGGGTGTTAAGGTCCCGGGAATTTACTAATTTTCCTCGGGACGATATATGACTCGAAATTTACGGATCTCTCTCTTACGGGAAAATATAAAAAGGCTTAGTGGTTACCTTTTTCAGCAGTAGGGAGGGGATGAATGTGGCCCGGACTCGACACCCAGGCGGTCTTTTTACACTTGCATTACCCAAAACAGAATAACTACTTCTATTTACTACTGCTTTAGTAGTAACGTCATGATAAAGTCCCAAAAATAGCGTAATATAACCACGGAATTTTCCCTTTACACCCCTAGGGCGGAGGCCGGAGGCTGGGGTTGGACGCGAGCTATTTTCAGCCACGCGCGCAGCTGGTGGAGCATAACGCGTGGCACTGACGAAACACGCCACTGCCTCTGCCTGCTCATCACACACAATGCCCGACGATTTGCCCTCCGCACTGTCTGCACAATGGCATCGCATTCCGCCCTACATATATTTCCCACCCCCCCTGCACGGTAGATCTGATGAAAGCTCCCAGGCACCCCTCCACCCTGCCTGTGCGCGTCCCGACCATCGGGCTGTCTAGACCCCGCTCCGACCCATCTCCCCCCTCCCTGCCGCGCGCGCCACAACACCTCCAAACCAGGTACCTCGCCAGAAACCAAAGAAAGAACATGGGGGGTATAGAAACGCACTTTTCGAGGTATCTGAACGGGTTAGTGGTTAGCTCGACACTTACTGCATGATACTCTCCCTTGAGCAGCACTTCCTGCTTCGCCAATCAATTCTGCTGTCGCTATTGCTCGTGGCTGCTTGCGGCGAACTGGCCTACACGTTGCCCTGTGCAACTCGCCAAGTGTGCTGAATGGTTATTGGGGGAAATGTTAGATGCGTGTCGGGGGTTGGCGGAAAATCAGGAAACAGAAAATCCACGGGCGTGGTGAATCCATGGGTACCAGACGCACGGTAGCGTCCTCATTGAGACTTGACCTTCTTTAGTGCTGTGATTCTGTTAGCATTGCCATCATTCAACAGGAGAATAGAAGACCAACCTTGAGTATTGTCGACGTCTTCCTCGCCATGGTCAAACTCCTCTCGACCGCGCTTGGCGGACGAGGGAGATGGAGCCATGTCTTTCGATGCCGACTGATTGTCATTTGCGTTTGGGGATGGAGGCTCGGAAAGCTCCTCGTCGTCGTAGTCGATGGTGTCCAGATCGTCCTCATCCGCAGCCTCGCCACTGCTTTGTGCTTGATCATCGGCGGCGGCATGGGCGTTGTCGCCCAAGTCCGAAGCAGCCTCATCGAAGACAGTGTCCACGATCTTTTCTGCATCGGCGTCATCATACACACCATCATGGAACGGCTCCTCCAGTCCATGCTCGTCAACAGCTGATGCGCTCAGCTCCTGTGGAGCATCCTGTGTACCAGCATCGAACTCCTCAGACACAGCGTTCTGAGTCACATCTACATAATCACCTTCATCTTGACCGTGCTCGCCTTGGTCGTCGTCAGGGAAATTCAACGTCTGCTCATCTGTGTACTCATCCTCGTCTTCTGGCAGATAAAGAGACTCAGCCTGATCTTCTGCTTGGCCCTCAAATGTGTCTTCTGCTTGCTTGTCCGCCTGCTGCTCAGGCTCATAGACACCCTCGCCAGCCTGGCTCGCGTCCTGATCAAAACTCAGGACGACCTCTTCAACGTTTTCTGAGAGGTCATGCTCTGGGTGGACACTATTCGGCTCTTCGGGGGCTCCAGGATCCTTTGCAGCGGCAGCTTCATCAGACGGAGGGCTTGCACCAGTAGCTAAAGCTTGGTCGGTCTCTTCGACTGTCAAAGGATGGTCCGGATGTGACGTACTGCCAGCTGCTGCAGGAGTGGCATCTCCTTGAATCGTTGAAGATTCATTGGAAGCATCACCCCTGGAGTCTGCACCATTCTGGGCGTCATCATAATCAATCAAATCATCTTCAGGAGAGTCTTCCGGAAGCGGCTCTTTAGCGGGCTCCTGAAAGTTACCATCCTCTTGGTGCTCGGGATTTTCGGACTCCGGCAGGTCATCGTCGGAAGGTAGGTCGCTTGACTTGACAGAATGAGGCGTACCGACTGTCTCTTGGACCGACGTAGGTTCACCATGCTCGCCCACGTCGGCACTGGGTTGCTCTTCGGCAAAGGCAGTGCCCTGGCTATGGTGAACCTCATTCTCCTCGACCTGTGGGGCAGAGGCTTGTGCCTCCGACTGGTCTGTCTCATTAGGGTAATTGCCCTCTTCAATTTGTGGACGATCTTCGTAGGCGGATGCATCATACGAATGATACTCTTGTGACGGCTCACGGTGGCTCTGTTCATCATTGTCACCCTCATCTTCGGGGTACACGTCTCCTTCGACATCATCATGTGAAAGCAAGACCTGCGAAAATCCTTTTGACTCGGCAATAGCTTCGATGAGGAAGTTCAGTCGCGATGAAAATCTGGCTTTAGTGTTCAAGGTCACGTAAAGGGGGTCAGGGTTCTGCACTCCATCAATATGATGGAGCTGGATAAAGACATCGAGAACCTGAGCAATGCTCGTGTTCGCAGCGTGCGCCGAATCCTGTCAACAGTCAGTGTGCGTTTTCAAATGCAGTGGATCAGATGGAGCTCACCTCACTGACGCAAAGCCCAAGCTCTGCATTGTCTATCTCCAGCTCCACTTCATCCCGAATACTGTTACCCAGCACAACTCTTAAAGCATGGAATAGGTTTTGAATGCTTTGATGGGCAAGCGATTCGTCGCTAAGAAAGAAAGTCTCAGAAGTGTGACCTTCGGCCGGAGGGAAAAGGAAAATTTCTTCACCATGATAGTTGACTATCACAGGATGCATAGACCGAGCGGAGTCAGACGACCCATCTGCCTCGCTATAGTGTTCGTTGAACGGTAAATGAGAGAAGTCGGCAACTGCCTCCACCGGCTCGGGCGGCAGCTCAAAACTTTGCTCAGAACTTTGCTCAGTACCTTGCTTAGCAACTTGATTAGTACTTTGGCCAGTACTCTGCTTAGTACCCTGCTCGAGAGCCTGTTCAGACCGTTGTTCAGGTCCCTGTTCGGGCTTCGAGCCTTCTAAAGCAGTGCCTTCGCTGGCTTGTTCGCTTTCGCGTACTTCAGTTTGGCCGTGTACTTCAGTTTGGTCGTGCACTTCAATTTGGTCGTGCACTTCAGTTTGAACGTGCTCTAGTTCAGGTTGAGTTTGCTCCGGCGCTTTTTGAGCCTGCTCGCTGGCCTTGTCTTGCTCGGTGGTTTCTTGCGCTGAAGCAGTAGGTACATGCTCAATCTGTGAATGGGAAGCAGTGCCCTGCTCAATATCCACGTGGTTTTCAGTTCGCTGTTCGCCAGATTGCTGCACTTCAATAACGGCCGCATCGGCGGTAGGTTCTGACGGTTGAGCTTCGACACCTTCCCTGTCCTGGTCCTGAGTTCCCGATGTCTCAGCACCGATAACTTCGGCACCTTCATCAGGGACGGGCAGAACATCAGGCTGCTGCGCTGTAGCCTGAAGATGATCTTCGGGTTGAACGTCGACCTCATCCTCATAACCAATGTAATCATCGCCTTGACCGCGGTCTTGAACCTCCACGTCTTGGACCTGAGGGGTCTCTTTGACGTCGACGTCCACATAACCTATTTCGCTCGCATCGGTGAGATGCTCATCTGGTAACGAAGCATCGTCTTGCATGATACCATCCTCGTCATAGCCGCCGTCACCGTCGCCATCGAGCATGATGTCGTCTTTGTTCTCGTGTTCTTGCCCGCGCTCAGAGCGGGCATCTTCTAGCATGTAGTCCTCGTCCTCGTGATGGCTGGGATCAACAGTGAGATCGATGTCGACGTCGATCTCTTCTCCAATACGCTCGTAGTCGGAAGAAATTTCCATATCTTCATCGGGGGCTGTGACGTGTAGACCTGGTAGGTTTGTGGCAGCCATGGCCATAGTCTAAAGACCCACTAGGGGTAGAGTGTCGGATTTTGGTGTCGTTCAGTGGAATGTTGTTTGGCAGCAATCGTGGTTCAGGATCCGTTTGGGATCGGGGAGCTGGTAATTAGTAAGTGAAGTGGAGAAGGCGAAAATAGCATGGGTGAGCTCTCGGGAGCTATCGATCGGGAGGGAAATTAACAGCGCGTGAATAGCTGCTAAAGAAAGCGGTAGGCTGGCTTCGCGATGTAGTGATAGGTCACTAGCCTAGAAGCCTGGGTCGTTGAGCCTGAAGTGCAGTGGTGTGGGTAGGAACTGGAGGCGACAAGGGAACAAGTTGGACGAACGCGGCACTTGATTTAGCGCGAATCTGACTAAGCACATGGTGCCAAGCCTGGGCACCTTCGGGGACAACCACAAGAAGCCAGGTTGTTGAAGGCAGCGGTGATAGTACAGCACGCATCACCGAGCACGGCCAGCGAGGTATAACCGCAGGATTATCTTCCCCGCTCCATTGCTCGCTCCTGCTTCATCATGGTTAGATTCAATTTTCAATTATCATGGACAGCTCCAACTAATCCTCCACCCCTAGGTTGTTCTGGCAGCATCGATATGCACTCGCGGCGGCAAGGCCGTCCTGTCGCGGCAGTTCCGCGAGATGCAGAGGTCGCGCATTGAGGCTCTTCTGGCATCTTTCCCCAAGCTCGCCGACTCTGGAACCCAGCACACCACCGTCGAACAGGACAACGTCCGCTACGTCTACCAGCCCCTTGACGAACTCTACATGGTCCTGATCACCAACCGCCAATCGAACATTCTCCAGGATATCGACTCGCTCCATCTGTTTGCCCAGGTGGTCACCAGCATATGCAAGAGCCTCGATGAGCGTGAGATTCTCCGCAATGCCTTCGAGTTGCTCAGCGCTTTCGACGAGCTGGTTACGCTTGGCTACAGGGAGAACCTCACCCTGAGCCAAATCAAGACGTTCTTGGATATGGAGAGTCACGAGGAGCGGATCCAGGAGATCATTGCAAGGAACAAGGAGCTCGAGGCGAGCGAGGAGCGCAAGAGGAAGGCGAAGCAATTGGAGATGCAGCGCAAGGAGATGTCCAGGAGCGGCCGCAGCGGCACTATCCCCCGCACTCCTTCCTACCCCACGTACACTCCACCCGTTCCCACGACCGTTCCGGACACGTACGACAGTTACAATGCGGCGAAGCAAGAGTCCAAGAAGCCGATGCCGGTCAGAAGCAAGGGCATGCAGCTGGGCAAGAAGTCGAAGACCACGAACATGTTCGATGCTGTCCGCGCCGACCTTGGTCCAGACGCCGAGGCTTCGGCTCCTTTGGTGTCCAACGCGCCTACGCCTGCGGCAGTTGCTTCGCCAGCTGCACGCGCATCACTATCTGCGGACCGTGAAGGTGTCCACATTACAGTAGCTGAAACCATCACCGCAAGACTCAGCAGAGAGGGTTCTCTCGAGCACTTTGAGGTCAAGGGTGATCTGCAGCTGCGCGTTTCCGACTCCGCCTTGACACAGGTCAGGTTGGATCTGGACATGGGCAACACGCGTGGCGCGCAGCTCAACTCGCACCCCAAGGTCGATAAGCCGTCTTTCAGAAACGAGAAGGTTATCCAACTGGCGGACACAACTAAGGGCTTCCCCGCCAACATGGCGGTTGGCGTCCTCAAGTGGAGGATGGTCGCTAAGCCAGGCGAGATTGACGACCCACCGATCACGTTCACCGTCTGGGTCAGCGAGGCGGGCAACAGCACGTGGAATGTTACGGTGGAGTATGAGTTGACCGGTGGAGATACGCTGAAGGATGTTGTCGTCATGATTCCTTACAGCACCAGCGAGCCGTCGGTATCCAGCTTTGATGCTGTCTACGAGGTGTCTGGGGACAGTCTGGAGTGGAACATTGGCACTGTGGATGCTTCAAACTCGACAGGAAGCTTCGAGTTCGAGGCACAGGCGGACAGTGACTCCGAGTTCTTCCCCATGAAGGTGCGCTTCGCGAAGTCGAGGCCTTTTGTGGAAGTTGATGTAAGACCCCCTGCAATACTGGAATTCAAAGGGTGAAAGCTAACCTCACGTGAAATAGGTGTCGTCCGTCACGCTGCTGAACATGAATGAGGATGTCTCGTTCTCCAAGGATATCAAGTGTGTCGCGGACAACTACGAGATCGTGTAATGAGTGATGTTCGAATGAGATAGTGGAGGAAGGGTTTAGGAAGGGCTCGTGCAATGGGCTGCAGATGGAATTTTGGAAGAGCGGTAACTCGTCTGGCAGTTCCATACATGCAGGTGCAGAAGCCAGGCTGCTGTTACTACAAGATCGCAAAACTTAATCGTTTAATCATGAACCGTCTGTGTGAAAGTGCAATGTCCTCGACAAATACATCAAAACAAAATGATGGTTGGCGATCAATGTCCGGACCCCGGATTGCTTTGACCAGTCACCTGCTCTCGTGGCTTCCATTTTGGTGCGGACGCGTTTCGGGCAAACGACGCGACTCACAACCCAGCCAAGGCCGACCGTCTTCCTACCACCCACGAGACGACTCTTCTTGAAAGACCTACGACTCACAATGGACCTTGACGAGGCACCAATGCTAATGCTGCAGGCCGAAAAGGCTTTGCAGCAGCCTGTGCGCCCGCATCTCATTTCGTATTGTCCCACTATGGATTTGGTCGCTGTCGTTACGCGAGAAGAGCAATTGGACGTGTACAGGCTCAACGGTCAACGTGCCTTTGGTCTTAAGCAAAAGAGCGTGGGAAGCTCCATTGACGCCATACGTTGGAAGTTCAACGGTACAAATCTTTTTTTGGCCCTAACTAACCACATCGATCATTTCAGTTCCAGACTCAAATGTGGCTAACTTCTCTTTCCTCTTTCAGGTCAATACATTGCTGTAGCATGGGATGATGGCTCCGTGGACATTGTTTCATCGGAGACTGGTAAGGCTGTTAAGCAAGTCCGTCGCAGGGTTCTCGGTGCAGATAGCGCACCCAATCCTCGAGTTTCCTGCCTTGGCTGGGGTGTCAACTTCATAGATGCCGCTGCCGTCAAGGCTCGGACTAGGTCAAAAGACGGTAAATCGGATGACGCTGCATCCGAGCAAAACCCGCTGTTCGGGACAACAGATCAGTGGGACGATCGGCAAGACGAGGTTACCCTGGACGACTTCCTCGAGCGGCAGCCGGACCTACACAAGCTAGGCATCACGCCCGAGCTTCCTGATCAGCTCGCACTCATAGATGTTCAGGATGTCCTCCCAAAGCTCCCGGCAATACCCCCACCGCCTGTGGTGGGGATTACGATGATGAACAAAGCGAGCACGTCGGATGCATTCAGCTCCCAGCAATCTATTGACGCTATATTCCATTCTCAACACCTGCGGGATCATAATGCTGTCGACGTCCTGCTACTTGGCTGTGACAATGGTACCATCAACCCGACCATATATGATTCGCTGGAGATTGGCGGAATGCGTGTTCCTTCCGACTGGTCATTGCCAGACCACAACCCGCTCTTGCATGCCTCGCATCCGTACTCTTGCAGCCATCTCACTTTGATGGAAATCAAGAACGACAAGGAACAAACGCCTAGGATTGCTCTAGTTCCCCTCATTCTCCGTTTCATTCCCACCACTGGTATTTACCTGCATCTTATCGCTTCCAAAACTGCTCAGCTACAGAACCTTCTACAATATGTCCAGTCATGTCTACGATGTATCATAGCATACTTCAACCACGCTCGGGATTTGCCATCCAAATTTATTCGGAACGTTAATGAGACGCTAGAGGAAAAGGGCGAGGGTAACCTCGTGCAAAACCTGTACCACCTCGCTGTGACAGGGCACTGCCCGCCTACAATCAAAGAGTGGTTGACTGACGAGTTGACGGAAAGTGTAAGGAAACGTCTTTTACAGCTTCATTGAGTCCATTAGCTCATGCTTATATAGGGCCACAAGCGATGGGACCATGCCGCTAGCCAAGGCTACGCCAAAGTCGTTGACTTGACGCATGAGAATCTACTGCCAGCCCTTGATCGGTTGAGCATTGTAGTCAGCATGCTGCGTGGCCTAGCAACTTACCACAAATCCAGCTCAATCATCAACGTCCCATCCGATCAACTGACCGCTATACTCGACACTATCCGATGCCTACGACTACTCGGTCATAATGTCATGATCTACGGCAATGAGGAGCGGCGCCAATATGAAGTGTTCTCCAAATGGTTACGCCATGAGATTGACGTGCAATCCTCGGATTCGTCGTCAAATGCGCCCGAGGATGCAGACAGAGATCCAGGCATTGATCATGCACAGTTGTTGGCTTACATTCCAGGCGCTATGACACAAAGCAAACTCATTCCTTTCTTGAGGCGTCAGACAGACATTCCTAATCCGCCAACCGGATTGCCAGAGTATCACGAGGTCAAACAGAGCATGGCACAGCATAGGAGAAATGAACCGATTGAGGAGGGGAGTCTTTGCACGTGGTCCGTTGCTGGAAAACTCCAGGATCAGTGCCGAAACCTCTTTGCTCAGATCACGAAATGGCAAGCTCAAAATAGCACAATCGACTGCGGCTTGATGTTGGAGGATGGTCAAGTCTCAGCTAAGGATATGCGGATGGTTTATGAAGTATGTTTTCCGAAGTGCTTATAGCAAAGGACTATTTTGACAAGTCGCAGGATCAGGAAGATGGCAACATAACCACGTATGTTGCACTAGTTCTGTCGGACTCTAAGAGCGAAGGTAGGAGACTCCGATGCTGCTAGTCTACTCCCTCACTAATCACAAATAGCCCGCCTCCACCGTATCGAGCACGGAAACGTATTCTCTCTGGACAGTCTCGAGCCCGGTCAAGTCCAAGCCGCAACCATTAACTTCGGCGACGGTGAAGTCCAAGACGTACAATTCATCGACGACATAGCGCTCATGATCCTCTACCGTACGCAAGGCAAGTTTCCACCCCACTACCGCCAAGCACTCCAATCCTCCACTAACATGCTCGACTAGACTCTTCGCAGCTCCTATTCCTTCCCTACGCTTTCACGCCTACTACCCCAGACCGTCCAGACATCTGGCCCTCCACCCCCAACAACGCTCCATCCACAGCGCAAGCCCTGCCCACGGGCACGCCGCCGGCGCCGTCGACCCGCACCGCCTGGGACCTGAGCACGCCGGAGGCCCGCCGCCCGTTCGTGCGCCACGTCTTCCCTGCCGGCGAGCGCTTCACACCACTGCGCATCGATGTCAACGGCCGCAAGGATCGGCGCGTCGTGTGCGTTGTTGGGGACGATTTGAAGCACTACAAGATCTATGATTTAGACTACGAGAGCGGGAAGGAGGGCGAGGGCGAGGGTGAGGGCGATACGACGGTCGATACGATCATGAGTGGGTGAGTGGGTGAGCGGGTGCGGGGGGTTGGGCGAATTGGGGGAGAGTTTGGGTGCTGTGAAAAGGAGATTTTCGGGTTTGGAAAAGCGGAGCATGCATAGCATAGCGCGGTCTAGCATAGCAAGGCATATTTAGAGGCTCGGAAGGAATCTAGAAAAGTAACGAGGAAATGGATAGATGGCTTCTGCGATGACATGAGATGGATGCTTCGTTCTTAATCTTCAGCACACTCATGTACATAAAATACCTGTTCTCAAACAACGACGGTATGGATATCCATTCATTCTCAAGCACTCAGTCTGTCTCTAGATAGACACTCTCTTTCTTTCTTCCTCACACCCATGCACATACTCACAGCTTCTACGCAAACCAAATAATCCATCCCTAGACAACGCCACACCGAAGAAGAAGAACAAATAATAAAAAGCAACATCCACCTCCCTCTCCCCTCCTCTTCTTCCCCTCACCACACAGCACGCCCCCTCCCTCCTCTTCCCTCGCTCTCTCCCCACAACTACAGCGCACCACACAACCCAACTCAACACTACAACGCAACCACGACCCCCACGGCCAGCGCCCCAACAGCGCACACAGTCTGCCAAACCCCCACAGCAAAAGGGTTGACCAACCCCGCCGCCCCACCCGCAGCAGCAGGGGCGTTTGCGCCGCCCGCGCCGGGGGTCCCCAGCGCCGCGGCGTTGGGCGTCGAGGCGCCGGGCGTGGAAGCTCCCGCCGCGCCGACAGCAGCGGGCGTCGCGCCCGGGTCCGTCGCCGTCGCGATGTCGCCGGGCGACATGTTCTGCGGCGCGGCGCCGGCGAGCTGCTTGTATGCTTGGAGGGTCTTGTCGCCGGAGGTGGGTCTGTGGGGGCGTTAGCTGGGTTTGGAAGGGGGTTGAAGACAAAGGGAGACGTACGCGTTGATGGCGCCGACCATGCCGGCCTGGCAGTGCATGCCCTGGCTGCAGTAGTACCACATGGGGTTCTTGTCCATGACCTTGACCGTGTAGGTGAGTTTGGAGCTGTTGGCGGCCGCGGCCGTCGCGGGCATGAAGCCAGAGTAGAAGGCGTTGGTGGCGTTGGGCATGACGTTTTTCATAGGCACGCAGGGGGCCGAGAACGTCGACTGCACTACTGAGTGGTTCTGTACAGACAGACACACATGTATGTCAGCCGGGGCTCAGGTTCAGGTCTGGGTTCGCGTTGTATTGCTTTCAAAGAAATGCAGAGGGACAAGCACAGAGGGGGGAAGGAGCATGTGTTTGGTGGCCTTACCTTCGGGTTGAACTGGAACTGCACGTAGTCGCCCACCTCGGCCTGCAGGTTCTCGGGATAAAACGCCAGCGACCCGTTCATGCTCCCAACCTGCACCACGTGCACCTTATCGCCAGTCGCGCGCCCCGACAGCTGCGGGTAGTAGCGGCGCAGGGCCGCGGGCCGCGCGCCGTGTGGCAGGACGGGCGGAAGCGCCATGCGTGGCTTCGGTTGGATGGGTGCGGGCGCGGGCGCGGGCGCGACTGCTCCTGCGCTTGTTGCTGCCAGCGCGTCGGCCGCGAGGAGCAGTGCCGTCGCGATGAGGTTCGTGAAGCGCATTGTCGCGTGTGGGAAAGGACAAGGTATTATGTGGTGTGTTGGAGCGTGGGTATTAGCAGCGGCTCGCGCTGTGGTGTGTGTATGTTGAATGTAGGTGTGATTTTGTGTGTATAGGTGTGCCGGACTAGCCAGACAGGCGGCGAAAGAGCGCGCAAGGAAAGGTCGTTGTCGTCAAAGAGCCGCGGAGAGGAGAGAACAGAGAGATGCACGGTATGAAAGAAAAAACAGGCAGCACGTCGCAGACTGCGTCCCTGGAGTTTGAAGCGGAGAAGAAGAAAAGAAGAGACTCGTCAATTACACCGCAAGTCGAGGACTTGCACTCATGGCTACTTAAAAGACGACTTGGGCCGTCACATCCGTCTTCGCTGGTGCTGACGCGAGTACCCTACGCCGCTGCGACGCTCAAGGGCGCAGTTGTGCTTCAGGCCTCTCGGCACGCTGCGCAGCGCATACTGTAGCAGAATGTGTGGGGTTGGTTGCGAGAACGGCTACAAGGCTGATCAGAGGGGTAAGCTTAATGTTAAGATTTGGCGCGCCCACGGTTATGGGCGACGATCTCGGGTAGCAGCAGGCAGGAAGACACGCCGCCGAGTCTCGGTTTTCGGCGTAGGTAGTCGAGGAGTAGTGGAAAAGCCTGGGCTGAGAAGGGCGTTGAGACAATGACCACCGGGCGAGGGCGACGAGCCGTGCGCCTCGTATTCTGTGACTTTTTTTACCATTGACATTTCCCACTGTCTTTGGATCCTGGATCGTGGCGTCGACGGGCTGTGTGTTGCGGTTGCGTTCGAAATCGATCTGAGACGAAGCGAGTCGCGGGTTCGGAGGCACGACTCACAGCCTGCGTTACAGCATGCAGCAGCGAACACGCCCTGACCCGGCCTCTGCAACAGCGGAGAGTGGAAAAAAATAAAAATAAATCAAAAGCTGGGGTAGTGGGAGGCCGTGCGAAAGGCTATTGTTGGTCCTTGGCCATGGGTATATTCCAGGTAGAAAGCTCCCTGTACCACTGTGAGCCGCCAGCTATATTGCTCGACGCCTCACCAACGGTCGAGCTGCAGTCGAAATTTTTGTAGGGGGCCGATGCATGGCGCCACACGCCCAGGCGCCCTACAAATTGGTCTCACCCTTCGTATGCAAGTCCCGTGACGTATGCTTGAGTAAAAGCCTCTTCCCCGTCCACTCCAATATACTCCCATGCGCATACGCCACTGGCGTCCGATTGCCCCAAGCACTCTGACATCATGCACGAGGCAGCCGTAATCAAGCTAAAAGTCGAGCAGCAGCTGCGGCGCCAGTCTTTCAAGGTCCTCCACCTGTATATCCCAGTCAGCCGCGCATTCCAGAAAAAGTATTCCACACCGTAACACGCGACCTCCCCAGACTCGACCAGAGCAAAAGCACCTCTCGGCCTCAAGCTCTTCCCTGCCCAATACCCGCCGACCCAAACAAACCCCATGCCGACACAATAAAACGCACACAACGAAATACTCACTTGCAGGAACCCGTCGCCGCGCTCGCCCATCTCGCTCTCCACGTCCCTGCGCTCAAACATGGCCCGGGCCAGCGCTTCGCGCACAAACGTCTCAACGTATTTCCCCGCCACCGCCATGGCCTCGCGCCCGATGCGCATCTCCTCGTCCTCGAAGCCCTCGTGCAGCAGCTTGTTCAGCAGCTTCGCAGGTATGGGCGGCGCGACCGTGGGCGCGTCCTGCGAGGCCGGCGGCACAGCCGCGCCCGCGCCTGCAGGTGCGGCGGTGGCTTCGCTTGGACGCCTTTGTTGCTTTTGCTGGTGCGTGTGCTCCTGCCGTGGTCGATGAGCGTGCTTGTGCTCTGCAGCGGTGGTTTCGAACACGTCGCTGCTGTCGTCCGAAGAATCGTTCATTTTGTCGTCTTCGTCTTCGATGTCGTCGTGCTTCGAGGCGGCGTGCGAGGACGCGTCGGCGTCTTCGATGTCGGAGATCTCCGGCGACGACACGATGCTAGTGGCGGGCTTGAAACCTGGGCGTGCAGAGGTGTTGGTGGTGGTTTTGCTGGCTGCGCCTGCAGGTTTGGCGACTGTGGCAGTCGGTCGAGCGGGAGGCGCCTTTGAGACCGAGGGTGCGCCTACTCTGCTCGGAGGCTTGAACGCCTTGTTTGGGATCTGTTGATGCGTGCGGACGGGAGGCATGTTGACGAGTGTCGGCGACGTCGAGTGAGTGTTGTGGAGTTGTCGCGCGACCTGAGCGATGATGATGACGCGCTTAGCAATTAGCACGGAAACACGCGGGCACGTGAGCATCGACGGTATTTGAGCTAAGGTAAAAACATGTGTTCAATAAGTTGCTACAATATGATTGATGTGCCACTCGTGGCCAGCCCGATGGCTTTGTAAAACAAGAGGGTATAGCTATGCAGCGGCTGCCAATGTGTCGCGTCGTGCACACCGGTGCCGGAAAACCAAGAGAATCAAGACACGAAATCCAATGCGCCGTGTTGCCAATGCACCCATGCTCCTCCGCAGTCTACCCCTCCCCAATGTGTCGTGCACCCGAATCAAGTACTCCGCTTCCGGTCCGGAAGCTTTTACTAAACCATATCCAACGCCGTCCTGAGGGCCGTCGGCCCCATGCATCACGTCTGCGACTCTCGGACGCAGTATCACCTCCTGAAGATGGCTGCAAGGCTCTTCGACTTGCCGACCTTGGGCTTCTTCGTGTCCTCAGGCGTGGGCGGAGGCGATGCCATCGAAACCGACTGGGACGCCGTCTGCCTCGTCTGTAACTGTGCGAGCTTGTCGTTGTTCTTGCTGTCCACTTGCGACAGCTCCAGGTCATCACCTGCGAGATCCACAAGAGTATTGGGCGAGTCGAGAGTGCCGGGGCTGGACACGGACGGCGCGACAAGCGTCTTGCTGGACTTGATGGAGTTTTTGCGCATAAGCTGCATGCTGACCTTGGGCTTCAGGCTCCTTGACTTCTTGGCGCCCTTGGTCATAGCAAGCCTGACACCACTCTGCTCGGACATCTTCCTCTCCTCCTGCTCAACCTCGCCTAGGAGGGTGTGGCTGTTGATGGCGAAGTTCTCCTCGGCCAGAGCATGGAACTGGACGATGCCACGTTCAGGCTCAACGGTCAAGATATCCCTCAGAAACTCTTGGAGCAGGGCTGCATTGCGCTTGTTGGTGACAGGCTGCAGTTGCGAGGGAAGAGCAGTGATGTGAAGAACATAGGCGGGCTCAAAGGTGCCGCCGAAGAGGAGACATGCCGAGTGGTTTAGGTTGACCATGATGGAAGATTCAGACCGCTGGAAACGCCTCGACAGCTGGTTAGAGAGCGACGTCGCCAGGGTGTACTCATCGTCGATCTAGAGAAGGTCAGTAAGTTGGGACGAAAGAAATTGGATGTTTGCAACTTACAATGACATTGGTCTTCAGCTCAACAACAACTGGGGAGTCCCTGGCCACACGGTCTCTGGCTTGGCCCGTCGTGTCCCTTTCGTTGAAGCGGCCTTCATAGTACTGGGTACGCTTGCGCGTCTTGTGGCCGTGTGAGATGCCCTTGGTGACGGCCGCCTCTTTCTTCTCTCCCGGAGCGCCCCATTCAATGGTGCGGATGATCTCTTTCCGGTCAGCGAGGGTCTCGGGCTCCGGAAGAGGAGCAAAAGCCCGGGGCGAGACGAGAGCATCATCGAAGGAGAGGGTGGAATCGGCAGGTGAGAGGGGTGACTTTGGGTTGCCGTCTTGTATGATCAAAGTGGCGCCTGCCTGTTTGGGAAATTGATCGTTGGACTCCATGGTGGAAGTAGATTGCCTCTCGTTAAACATGGCCTCGTGGACGGAGTGTGGCATATTTGGAGTAGAGAGGAAAAAGAAAAGGCAGTGGAGGAATGAAGGGTGTGTGACTTGGGACTGAAGGGACAGGAATGGGGAGATGCTTGGTACTATTTGTTTGGTAGGCGGGAGGGGACCGTGCAGCAGCGTGGGAGATTCTTCGAGGCTCTAGGGTTCGTGGCGCAGGGAGTCTGGGGGGGCCAGGCGGACGCTCTGGGCTTTTGTGGCGGTCTCTGGTTCAGCTGGGACGGAGACAAGAGTGGAGAGGGGGTTCGGTGTGTCTAGTATGGTGTAGAAATAGTAATTAGTTAAAGACAGCGTGAGATATCAAGGGCCGAGGGAGAAAAAAAGAAAAAGAAAAGCAAAGGGCGCGGGAAAAGCAACGTCGACGCAATGCGCGCTGCAGACGCACTCGTCCTGCGCCCGTGAACATCCTGGGCGGTGGCATCGTGGACATGTACGGTTAAGGCTCAGTCCGTCTTATCGGGACCCTTGGGCGGCGTTAGGCTGCCCGAGAGCTGGGGAGGCGCCGCTAGACTCCCACACCCACACACCCACGCCCGCCCTTTTTCCTGCCCACATGACAACCACCGAGGGCGCTCCGCCGCCGCCGGTTCATCACACTCCCCCTCATCCCCTTCCCCCCTCCCCTATACCCTAACGTATAGTTACCCGCCGTCGCTGTGCACATGTCTTGTCGTCGTCGTCGCTGATCTGATCCACATGCCTGCACATCACCCCAGCCCGTCTTTTTTTCTCGCCAGCCCACCGTGCCCACCCACCTGGCCGGCCCCGCGAGCCAAAGCGTGTGCGTTGGCCGACTTGGACTTGGGTCTTGGACGCTTCCGGCAGTGGCCGCCTGGCGCTTTGCTGGAAATTGCTTCTCATGAGGAGGAGATTCTGAAGGATTGTGGCAGCGTGGTGGTTGGTCTGGCCCGCACAGCCAGCGCTATGCCACTATGGCATCCCATCCCTGGCCCATTCAAGCTGAGCCTCGATGCCTTTTTCAGACCATGCCACAGCTGCGCATTGCACTCGCTCGCTGCGGGAGCGTTTGAGCGACGACGCTGCTAGCCCCTTGCGGGATCCTTCGCCGCAATGACGCCTACATAGACTTCTTCCCTTCCTCGACCAGAAGCCACTCGTAAACTCTCTTACCCACGCTCTGCAAACCACCCCCCCCGAAAAAATGCCTCCATGACGGGCCAATCGACTCGGCAAAGATAGAGAACTGACCCCCGCCCCAGCTGCAGGCCGCGTCAGACAGCCGATCGAGGGGGAGCAGCGGTTCAACGATCGCTGACACGGCTGCCCGTCGTGCACTCTGCTAAAAAAGTCGTCGGATAGAGTAACGTCACACGGTTGGTTGTAACTTGTCTGCAAGTCTGCACCGTGTTTCCGATTCGCCTGCTCTGACGAAACGGAAGCGCATTCGACAGTTAGCATATGCACGCAAACTGTACTCCGTGTACAAGGTTATCTTCTCTGCCGTTTGATCATCGTCGTACGGCTCTCCAACGTCAAATCCGGCGGCCTGGTCTGAACGCCCCGTAGGTTTAAACGGCCATCCCAGCCAGAACGGGCCTGATCACAAGTCAACACCTGTTCCTGCGTTCACCTTCTCAAACGTGGGGCGGCTTATTGAGGGGCGACTAAGGTACGCATGACGCCACTCTACATGCATTGCGCTCCCGCTTCTGGCAGCCAAACGCAAGGAAAAACCGCCTTCCCTTGCCTGCAGCCCGCCGTATATTATGCCACAGACGGGAAACACGTTCGCAATTGCCAAATTCCATTACCAAAGTCGACTGCTATTTCCGACCAGTCATGCTTACGGGTGTCGTCGGGTCGATGGTAGAGTAGAATGCAGTCGCAGTAGCGGCCTCGGCTGCGAAAAATAAGCCTCCAGCGGGATCTAACGCATGCTTCGGTACCCAATAGAGTCGGGCAGACTATTTTAATCGACTTGCGGGGGAGATGGCCATGCTGCCGACCGAGGAACATCAACCACCGGATGAGCTACTGTTCGGCCTCGCGCCAGGCCCTCGATTGCAAATCGGAAGCGGGATCGGATCTGTCATGCTCTGGACGAACCTCCCTTGCTTGGACTAGGCTGAGATTGCGCCAAGGACTCGTAAAGGATGACGGTATCACGGCCAGTCACGGGTTGCCCCATTGGCAGAACGCGTCGTATCGCCCCAGACAGTCTCCAACACCGGCCTCTTCCGCGTGGTCGAGGCGTCATATCAAGCGCAGAGGCGGAGACAAAACGGCAATAAATGCGAAAGGCGATGATGGCCATGGGGCCATCTAGAACTGCTTACCTAGAGTACCCACGGCCAAGAGAAGGGCATTGTCGAGAAGCTGCTTACGTCGCACTCGCATGAGACACGCCCGCGCAACGAAGCACTGGAACATCTAGTAAGCGGCTCTCCTCCAACCCTCGATACCACCATCGAACGAGCGAAGGCCTGGCCTCAATGCCCGTCTCCGCGCTGCTGCTCCCTCCCTCTCTCTCGCCCCCAGGCAATAACAGCGGCACCAGCCAGCGCCCGTTTGTGTCCAGCTCCGCGCCTCCCTCAAGGTACTCACTCAACACGTAGGTAGAGTACACGGGCGGGCGCTTCCAACCCTCTAGCAAGAAAAGTCCTCTACTCGACACGACTCTACTCTAGAATTCTCGTCTACCCGCGCCCCACAACCACCACCACCAGCAGCACCACCCGCCGCCACACCCCTACGCATTTGTCACCACGCGCCCTCGCCCTCGCCCTCGCGCCCGCAACCAACAAAGCCGCGTCCACTCGGCCCGCCCGCCAGCCCGCCCCGAGCAAAGCTCGCAGCGGACCGGGCCCGCGCCGGCGCCATGCAAGCGCGGCTCCGCGCCCGTAGCCGCAGCTAAAGTACCGGCAGCGGAGGAGGAGGAGGAGGAGGAGGACGACGACGGCGGCCGGGCAGGCTCTACTCTAGACTAGAGTAGAGTACGCGGGCGTGGGTCGTGGGTCGTGACGTCGTGGACTGGTGGTGGTGTCTGCCTGGCGGGTGGGACGGGGGCTTGGCGGGTTGAGGTGGTGGTGGGCGTGGGCTAGAGTACCTAACCTACCTACTCTACGAGGAGGTTAGAGCGGAAGGTGGGGTTTTTTGCTTGTTGCTTATTTGTGGTTGGGTAGGTACGCCCGCTACGTGGGGGGCAGGTATGCCGCGGCGAAGGCGCGGATGGTAAGGCAGGTAGGTAAGGTGGGTGCGTGTTACATCGGGCGGCTCTACTCTAGTGCGTTGTGTAAGTTTTTCTTTTTTTTTTTTTTTTTTCCTTTGTTGGGCGGTAGAGTGGAGTGCTGGCACGGCTGGTTGCTTGCGATGGGGTGGTGTCTGTTCTGTTGTTGAGCCTTCGAGCATTCAAGCTTTTCTGCGAGGTTGAGGTAAGTCTGTCAGCCAGGCAATCAGCAGTCAGGCAGGCAGTCAGGCAGACAATCAGTCAGGCATCTGTCCGTGCTGTGCTATGCTGTGCTGTGGTAGTTTTCATCCTTACGTACTCCTACCTATATATCTCTATCCGTCTGTAGAGTAGATACGCAGTCTTGAGTCTTGACATGAACAATAGAGTAGAAGCAGCCGCAATCTCTTCAGCCTCTCTATTTCTCGAGATCATATAGGTATATACATGGCAGAAGGAGCGTTGCGTTGCAGTGTATCCCTAGGAGTATAGCAACGCGCTCGCCTATCTCCACCAAACCATCTGTCAATATGTCGATATGTCAATATGTCAATATGTCCTGATCCAACGCTCCAGCCCACTGCATAGCTTCTGTATCCCTAGTAGCTTCTCATCCATCCATCTATCCATCTCCCAAGCACAGCACAGTGCGCAACAAAGACGTCCATCGTCATCGAGTCGTCGTCGGCGGCGGCGGCGGCAGCGGAGCAGAGTAGCCAGCCCCACGTCTCGCATCACAAGCAGCGACACTGCCACCACTGCGCTTATAGCAGAGCAGAGCAGGCGTGTATGTGCGTACTCAGCTACAAATACCTACCCATGTACGAACAGAGCATCAAGCACGCACCCCCAAGCCCTACGGAGTAAACAACAACAAACCGGACGCACACCCAGCTTATCAACACTGCCATTCCCGTCTTCAAACAGGCCAGGAGCACGTGCGAGCACGTCCATCACGTCTGCAAACGGCTCTCCCTTCACCCCTCAAGCACCCCCACGACCCTATCACGGCCCGCGGAGGCTTGCCGGCGAGATGACGCAGCAACGCAGTCAGGATGAGGAGATCGTGGGAGGGGTAAGAGGGGGTATAGGCAGAGTATGAAATAGCGTGCGGGGTCGTGTCTACCTCTATCCTACGAGTACTCTGCTCTGCATTCTGCATTCTGCAATTCACCTACATCTACGGTCTACGTACGATACGATCTACCTACTCTACTCTACCATCTGCAACCTACTCTCTACGATCTAGGATCTAGGAACACGATCTACCATCTCCCTGTTTATCAAGCATCCACCGCTTGGCTGCTGGTTGATTGAGTGGTTCAGCTACTCCTACGAGCGTTATCAGGATGCAGCATACCGAGTCGACAAAGGCGATGCACCGGGGCGCGAACGCGTAGGCTTGTCCTCCCTCCCCTTGCATGCTTTCATGTTTGCTTGCTTATGTTTATTGCTTGTGGGTGGGAGAAGTGTGCTTCGTGCTTGCCTTGTCTTTTGTTGGATTGCTGCTTGTGTTGAGAGTACCTAGGTATGGTAGGAGCAATGCTGACGACGGTAGGGCCATCTTCTCGACCGAGTTCACGACTGCGCTGCATGAGGATGCGGTGGATAGAGCGGTGCGTACCTAGCCTTGCTTTCAATGCCTTGGGTCTTCTTCTATTTCGTCTTCATCCCAGTCTCGTTCTCGTAAGGATTCGCTAACGCAGCAGCGCAGGAATCGCCGCTCCCGAGCAAAATGGCCGCCAACCTGACGGGCGGGCCCAGCCCGGCATTCAGCGCGCAGGGCGCGGTCGGGAAGCAGTTTACGCGTGCGTTTGCCTCCGCCCTTCCTTCTCTCCCGCACTCTTAGGCGCGCACGCACGCACGCACGCACTCGCTGGGGCCTAGCTCGCTCAAGGCACTCTCGGCCACGCTGTCTCGCTCTCCACAGTCACTCTCGCCAAAGAGAGGAGGCCTGGAGAGGGGGGAGGGATGGCGAAGAGTGCCTTGAGGTACCCTTTGAGGTACCCTTTGAGGTACCTAGGCGGCAGCTCGTGCGTGCGTGGGTGCGTGCTGAGCCGATCATCAGGCAGGCAGTGCTGACGCACGCAGCGGAGGGCTCGGTGGGCGGCATGGCGCAGAAGCTGGGCGGGCCGTTTGACGCCAAGGGCGCCATTGGCAAGCAGTTCACGGAGCAGGGCTCCATCGGCGGCATGGTGCAGGATGGGGGCAGCGACGGGTCGGGCGGCGGCTTGCGCAAGTGATGTTGTTTTGGGTGGGGCTGAAGATATGGAAAATGACGACGCCGGAGGCTGGGGACTGGGGCTGTGATAGATGTACATACGACCGGGGTGCAAATGGATGCTGGCGTTTGGGGTGCGCGGTTGCGTGGGATGCTCGTGATGAGTGCGGGGATGGTGGCGATGGTCGAGGCCATAGCTCCTGTAGTGCGCTGCTGCTCTCGCCCGCCCGCCGTAGTTCTATCATGCGCTTCTGGCTCGCATCGCTGCCCGTAAACTATCACCGCGCGACCTCACCACTAACACACGCCTCCCACCCCATCCCTAGAAGTAACACAACCATGGCCGACCCCCTCCTCCTCTCAGACGACGCGTCCTACCACTCCTCCTCGGACGAGGAATTCCACCCCACAGCCGCCGCCGCCGCCGCCGCGTCCACCAGCTCCTCTGCCGACGAAGACGAAGACACCGAAGAAGTCGACACGGTCCCCGTCTCCGCGCCGCCCCAGGCCCGCGGCCGCAAGCGCAAGCGCACCCTCCCAACCACAACTACCATCAGACGCAACGCGCGCACTGCCCGCGCCAGCAAAAAAGCCACTGCCGACGACGACGATGCCCTCGACTCCGGCGACGAGGCGACCATCGCGGCAGGCTCCCGCGCCAAGCGGCGCCGCGGCGACAAGGCGGGCAGTAACGACGGCATTCTCCTGAGCGACGCGGACGAGGAGGGCGGCGAGGGCGGGCTGGTGAAGACGCGCGCCCAGCGCCGCTTGGGGCTCGAGTACGTGTGAACGCAGGCACGCAACGCAATGGAAGCTGACGACGGCGCCGTGTGAAACCAGGCAGAAAGAGCGGCGGCCGCTCGCGCGCATCGACGGCGCCACCGCAGACGTAGACGCCATCTGGGCGCGGCTGAGCCGCACGTCGGCGCGGGAAGCGCTGCTGCGGCCACCACGACAGACGGGCGAGGGGGAGAGCGGCGCTGCTGCTGCTGCTGCAGGCGCAGCGACGCAAGAAGCACCCCACCACCCAGCCGGCACCATCACCCTCAAGCGCAGCTACGTCTTCGCCGGCGAAGTCGTGACGGAAGCGCGCGTCGTGTCGCGCGACTCTGCCGAGGCGAAGCTGTATCTCGCCGAGCAGGCGGCCAAGGAGGCAGCAGCTACCAACCAAACCAAGACCAAAGCCAAAGCCGACGCCAAACCCACCGACGCCGACGCCGACGCCGACGCCAACGCAGCAACACCCACACCCACACCCACAGACGCAGAAGTAGGCGCCGAAGCTGAAGCATCCACAGACGCAGAAGCACAAAAAGCCCCTCCCCCACCACCCCGCCGCCGCCGCCCGCTCCGCCGCCCCTCCCGCTTCGACCCCAACCCCACCGCCGAGGTGCGCGGCATCCCGCCCGCAGCGCAGCTGACCTGGGCGCGGCGGCGCGCGCTCTTAAACCCCACCACTTCCGCCTCCCCCCCCTCTCTTCCCTCCACCAATCCCAACTCCAACTCGACCGCCCCCGCCCCTGCCCCGGTCCCCGGCGTCGGCGCTGCCTCCGCACCCAAACTCAACACAGTGGCCAAGTCCCGCCTCGACTGGGCCGGCTACGTCGACAAGACGGGCATTGCGGCCGAGCTGGACGAGCACAGTCGTGCCAAGGAGGGCTATCTCGGGCGCATGGAGTTTCTGGGCCGGGTCGAGCGGCGGAGGGATCAGGGCGCTAGGGCTGGTGGTGGTGGTGGTGGTGGGGGTGGTTAGGTTTGTGTGTTGTGTGGGACGAGGAGAAAGGGAGTGGAGTGGAATGAATGAATATGAATATGAACATGAATGCAGAGAAGCATACATGCATGAATGATGGATGGATAGATATGTTATAACATAGCATAGGTAACGACTTATCCACCCGCGCACGCCATCAACCTACTACAAACACCTACCGCCTCCCCCCCTTCCCCCCACCCCTCGGGCCACCCTTCCCCTTCATCCCCCCCTTCTTCGCACCACCAGCAGCACTCCCGCCCTTCTTCCCCCCCTTCCCCTTCGCCTTACTCAGCGCGCCCTGCCCCGCCCGCTCCGCCTTCCCCTTCTTCCACATCCTACCTTCAGCCATCTCCTCGCGATCCACGAGGCGTTTCTTCTCCTTGCCACTGAGCTTCTTCTTCTTCCCGCCCTCGCCCACCACCCCACCCTCACCCAGATTCAACTCCCTGGCGCCCCGTTCCTTGGCCGCCACCTTCTCCCTCTCAGACGCAAACCACGTGCGCTTCGGCCGCGCCTTGATCTCCTCCTCAAAGCGCACCAGATTCTCACCCCTGCGCACCTGCGTCTCGGCAGCGCCGAGCTCGCGCTCGAGCTTCTCGTCTTCCAGCACAGCCTCCACCTCGCCCTCCAGCGCCTGCAAGCGTGCGTCCCACGCGTCCAGCGCCTCGGGCGGCACCGCCCGGCTGGCGACAGGCGCGTGCTGCGCGCGCGCGGCCCGCACCGCTGCTTTCACGACTTTGCGGTCCGGCTCGGCGGCGATGGTGCAGGCGCGGCCGGTCGCGCCGCCGCGGGCGGTGCGGCCCACGCGGTGCAGGTAGATTTCGTGGCTTTGGGGCGCGCTGTAGTTGAGCACGGTGCTGACGCCTTTGATGTCGAGGCCGCGGGAGGCGAGGTCCGTCGCTAGGAGGTGGGTGCTGGTGCGGGCGCGGAAGGATTCGACGGCTTGGATGCGCTGGGGGAGGGGAGGTGTTAGTTAGGGTTTTTTTTGGGTGGGGTGTGGTGTGGATGGCTTACCTGCTCCTGGCTCATGCTGCCGTGTAGCTCGGCGGCCTTGATGCCGCAGAGGCCGAACAGGACGCGCACGCGATGGGCCTCCTTTTTCTGGCGGAAGAAGATGATGACGCGGTCGGTGTAGACCTTTTCACAGAGATACATGAGCACCGCGAGGCGCTTGTCCTCCTTGCCCTCGCGCAGGCGCACAAACTCCTGCACCAGGCCCGAGACGGTGGCCTTTTTTGCGTCGACGAGCAGGCGGACGGGCCGGTTCAGGCCCACGCGGATCAGCTTGTCGACCGAGTCGGTCATGGTCGCCGAGAACAGCATCGTCTGCCTGCTCTTCGGGATCGTCGTGAGGATCTCGTTCAGCTCGTCTGCGAACCCGTCTTCCAGCATGCGGTCCGCCTCGTCCAGCACCAAGATCTCCAGCGTGTCGACCGCGAAGCTGGCCGAGTTGCGCATGTGGTCGATGAAGCGGCCCGGCGTCGCGATGACCACGTCCGGCCGCGTCTTGAGCACCTGCTCCTGCTCGCGCAGGCTGTAGCCGCCCACTATCTGCGCAAAGGTAATGTCCGTGTAGCTGGCCAGCTTCTTGGCCACGTTGAAGCACTGCACCGCCAGCTCGCGCGTCGGCATCAGAATCGCCACGCGCGTCGTCGGCACCTTCTTCGGGCGGTACAGCAGCCGCTCCAGGATGGGGATGACGAATGCCGCCGTCTTGCCCGAACCCGTCACCGCGCCGCCGACGACGTCCTTGCCCAGCAGCGCCACCGGGATCGTCTTCAGCTGGATCGGCGTCGGCTCCGTGAAGCCCACCGACGTCAGCCCCTTCAGGATCGGCCGCGACAGCGACATGCCCTGGAACGAGCCGGTGCCCTTGACCGCGGGGGCCTTGTGGCCGTCGAGGTTTTCCTCGGGCGCGAAGAAGGCCTTTTTCCGCTCGGCCTCGACGGGGTCCTCTTCTTCCTCGTCGTCCGAGGACCCAGAGTCGACGTCGTCGGGGTGCGCGACGGGCTTTGCGGCCTCCTCGTCCTCTTCGTCCTCCGACTCGTCCTTCTCAGAGTCGTCCTCCTCGTCCGATCCCTCGTCGGAGCCTTCGTCCGCTTCGTCGCCAGACTCGTCCGCGTCCTGGGCGCCCATGCCGAAGCCGTCCTCGGCCAGGAGCTCCTCGTCATCCAGGCCAGCAAACTCGGCACCGCCCTCGACATCCTCTTCCTCCTCCTCGTCGCTCTCCTCCCCAGCAGCCTTCTTCTCCTCCTTCTGCTGCTGGCGCCTGCGCGCAATAATCTCGTCAATGTCGACGGGCTTCTTGTCGCCGCCCTTCTTGACCTCGTCGTTCTTGGAGCCAAGGCCCCAGCCGTCAAAGTCGTCGACGACGCCCGCATCGCCATCGCCAATCTGGAACTCAAAGTCCGAGTTCATGGCGCCGTCGTCCTCGCCGTCGGCGGCCCAATTCCTCTCGGCGTCGTCGTCGTCCTCCTCGGGCTCAGGCTCGGGCTCAGGCTCCTTCTTCTGCTTCTTGCTCTTCTTGCCCTTCTTCTTGCTGCTCACGTCGTCGGCGGCGGGCTCATTGCGCTTGCGCTTCTTGGCATTGGTGGGAGCGGGGGCGTCGGCGTCGGCGTCGTCGGCGTCGTAGTCGGGGACATTGTCCTCGTGGTCGGAGATGGTGAGGACAAAGTCGTCGTCGAGGTCGCGGGGCGCCATGGTGGGTGGTGGTGAATTGCGAGTGAATAATTGTTGCGAAAACCAAAAAGTTTCGGGACGCGACTCGTTCTGCCGGCGGGCGGTGAGTGATAGTTTGACACCGCCACTCGCCCATACTCGAGTAGATAATGCACCGCCACAGGCTATGGATTTTTCCCGTGCGCGCGCGGCGATTCTTGATTCCGCAGACGGCCAGCTGTCTATTGCTTCAAACCTCAGCCGTCTCAACCTCTCCTCATCGCGCAAATCCATCGTCTCATCATCGCCATCAATACCTATCAATCCTCACCCGCCATGGCATCCTCGGCCGGAAGCGATGCGGTTCACGGAAACGACGCCCGCCCGTCCGGGCCCGACTTCATCGCCCTAACCCCCATGGCCCATCCGGGCGCACCCGACACGACGACGACGACGACCAACAAGGCGGGCGCCGGCACCAGCACCGCCTTCGAGCCCGTGACGCCCCCGCCCGGCGGCCCCGACGCCCACGACCCCATTGCCCGCCACGCCGCGGGGCGGTACAGCAGCGCCTCGGCCAACGCCAGCGACGTCGAGCGCCAGACGCCGCCCGCCTACACCTGTGAAACGGACCCGTACAACCTGCGCGGCTGCCTCAAGACGCCCGGCGACATGCAGCGGATGCGCGCGAACGTGGGGCGCAAGCGGGCGGGGGGTGCCGACGCGCTCTGCGGAGGCAGCGCGGCGCAGCTGGTGACGCGCGAGGGGCGGCGCGCCCGCAAGCTCGAGGCGTTTTACGAGCGCCAGAACGAGAACATCGAGCGCCTGCTCAAGCCGGTGGATGAGCATGTGCGCGAGGCCAAGCACGAGGAGGGCGAGGACAACCTACGCGTCAAGATTGCCGTGCGCGGCTCGTTTGCGGCCAACGTCGCGCTCGCCATCCTCCAGCTCTACGGCGCCGCGTCCTCGGGCTCGCTGTCCCTGTTCACGACCATGGCCGACGCCGTCTTCGACCCCCTTAGCAACCTCACCCTGCTGCTGTGCAATCGCGCCGTCAACCGCGTCGATCCCCGCAAGTTCCCCTCAGGCAAAGCCCGCATCGAAACAGCCGGCAATATCGTCTTCTGCTTCCTCATGACGGCCGTCTCGCTCATCATCATCGTCATGGCCTGCCGCGAACTCGCAGCCGGCACGCCCGACGACCCCCGCGGTCTACACATCCCGTCGGTGGTGGCCGTGTGCGCGGCCTTCGCGACCAAAGCCGTCCTCTTCCTGTACTGCTGGGCGCTGCGCAACAAATACAGCCAAGTCCGCATCCTATGGGAAGACCACCGCAACGACCTGCTCATCAACGGCTTCGGCATCCTGACCTCGGTGGGCGGCGCCAAGCTGAAATGGTGGATCGACCCCGCGGGCGCCATCGTCATCTCCACCCTCGTGGCCACCCTCTGGCTCTCGACCGCGTACCGCGAGTTCCAGCTTCTGATCGGCGTCGCCGCCGACACGGACATGCTGCAGCTGATCACGTACATCAGCATGACGCACGACGCGGGGGCGGTGCGCGCCATCGACACGGTGCGCGCCTGGCATAGCGGCCCCAGACTCATTGTCGAGGTCGATATCGTCATGGATCCCGAGGCCTCGTTGCGCGCGACGCATGATGTGGCGGAGGCGCTGCAGACGAAGCTCGAGAGTCTGCCTGATGTCGAGCGCTGCTATGTTCATGTCGATTATGAGACGAGTCATGCGCCGGAGCACTTTTGGAAGAAGGAACTCTAGGCGCTGCGGGTGGTGGGCAGTGGGTAGTGGGGAAGGGGAGAGTGATGAGTATTGTCGTTGGTGTTGTGGGCGCGGATGCGGTATCCAGCGTGTCGAGTGTGAGTAGCAGAGACGGTGTCCGAAGGCTCTTCTGCAACATGCTGTATACGGGTGAGTGAGTGAGTGAGTGAGCGAGCGAGCATGAGCAAGCGAGTGAGCGAACGATTGAGAGAGCGAGTGAGAGTATGCTACCGAAGACGAAGACGAAGACGAAGACGATGACGATGACGATGAGACACGACCTACCTACTTCACTTACTGTCCCACCCACGCCATTCCTTTTCCAGGCCGCGGTAACGGAGCCTGAGTTTACGATTCTACGATACCTTCGACGACCTATGCAGGACTATCTGTACCTTCCTTCCTACGTTAGACAGCAATGATACATAGGTACATACGTATGAACAGAACAGACGCTTTAGTTGAGTGATTGGATGAGTGATTGAACAAACGACAATGACAATGACGATAGACAAAATGTATAACGAAGCAATTGGCAAAGAGTAAATATAACGAGATCTACGAACGCCACCCCACTCCAACTTTTTACCCCCACCCCAACTAACCACGCACCCCCGCCCAAACCACCCACCTACTGCAACATCCCCTCCAAGCTCTCGCCCAACACCTCCTCAATCCGCCTAATCCACCTCAACGTCTCCCCCTCAACCCCCTCATCATCATCCTCCTGCGCCTCGCTAATAAACGGCAGCATCTCCGGCAGCAGCGCCAACCAGTCCTCGCCGAGGGCGTCCGTGAGCGCTTGCTGCGCGCGCACAGCCGCCAGCCGCGTGCCCGCGCTCGCGGCGCGCATGTGCCGCAGCACGCCCGCGTTCAGCGCTTTGTGGTGGTCGGGGGAGGCGGCGGCGCCGGCGAGCGCTGTTAGCGCGGGGATGATGGCGTTGGCGACGAGGGCGGGGGAGGGGTGCGTGAGTTGCGTCAGCAGGGGTGTGCTGATGGCTGAGAAGTGGCTGGGCGACTGCCAGAAGTCTGTGCGTGGCGAGTTGGTTAGCTGTCTGCGTGCGTCTTGTGTTGTGTGGTGTGGTGTGGTGTGATGAAAGAGAGGGAAAGGAAAAGGAAAGGGGGAAAGCTTACCGTCCTCGTCGTGCTCGAAGCTACTCGTCAGCGCGCCCAGCACCGCGCCCAGCAGCGTCTCCTGCTTGATATCGCCCGGCTGCGGCGTGCGGCCCAGCACCTCGGCCGCCAGCTCCAGCACGTAGCTCGAGTAGCCCGTGACGATGGACTTGAGCTTGTCGAAGAAAGCGCCGAGGAAGACGAACAGGCTCGTCGCGCGCAGCATGCGGCCCTCGCTATCCCTCTTGGGCAGGCCCGCCGCCGCCCACTCGACCAGCCGCACAAAGAACGGCCGGAACGACGCGTCGTTCAGCTTCATCGTCATGATCAGCGCCACGTTGTTGATTTGCGCCTCGAGCGCGTCCAACTCCGCCTTCTCTTCTTCTTCTTCCTCTGCCTCGCTCGCGCCCGCCCGCGTGCGCCGCAGGTCGAACGCCTTGAAGAAGAAGCCGAAGAGTGTCTGCGTGTTCTTGACCACGACCGCCTTCGGCCTCGACTCCAGGGCCGTGTTGAGCATCTCCAGATGCTCCTTGGGCGCCGGGTAGCCTGCCTGGACAGCCGAGTCCCAGTTGCGCTCGACCGCGCCAAAGACGTCCTTTGCGTCGATTTGGCGAGCCGCGAGCGTGTAGAACTGCGCGCGGTTCTCGTCCGCTTCGTCGCCGAGGTCCGCAACGGCCGACTTGTGCGAAAGCTGCAGCGCCGAGTCGAGGTACTTGCCAGAGAACATGAACGGAATGCGCTCGATAAGAGAGCAAAGGAGCGAGTAGACGGCGTTGTGCAGGGCTTGCTTCTTGCCGCCAGCAGCAATGCTCTCTCCGAGGTACTGGAAAGCAATCGGCAACACCTTTGGGATGATAGGAATGAAGTCATCCTGCAAGATCTCAACAGTGGACGCAAGGCAGAGCAGCGAAATGATGCGGAGACGGTCCTCATTGCTGCCAAGAGCCTGGGGCCCGGCGACAATTTCAGCGGCAGAGGCCACGGCAGAGGTGTCCTTCTTGCCGAACTTCTCGGAGATTTGGTCGATGCAGGCCACGGCCGTGTGCTTGAGGCTGACGTCCGGCAACTTCTGGATGACGAAGGTGATACGGGGCAAGAACTCAAGCAGGGCAGTCCTGGCTGACACATCGCTCTGCTTGACATTGATGGCGGCGGCTTCGACGGCCTTGAGAGCAGTCCGACGGACATCGTCGCTAGAGTTGCCGAGCAGAGTGTCAGCAGACTTGACAAGCTCTGCAGTAGGCAGCAGACGAAGGAGGCTAGACAGCACTTGTCCGCAGGCATCACGCAGAGACTCTTGCTCCTTGAACTGCTGCGACATGGAGATGGTCTTCTCCAAGAGCTGAGTGAAAACACCCCGCACGTCAGCAGCAGCGTCGCTCTCATCTCTCAAGACTCTGATGACTCTGTTGTGCAGCTGCGCATCACGAAGCAGCTCAGAGAGGGCATCAAGAAGGTTGACAGCGGCGCTCTGGATCTGGTCGGCATCCTTCTCGTTCAGGCCAAACAGGACTTCAGACACAGTACGCTTCGGCTTCAGAGCATCCTCAACAAGCTCGAGGTACCGTTTGGCTGCCTTGAGGTTAGTGGTGGGATCAAACATCCTCATTAACTCCACGGCAAACCGGCGGACGTTCCTGTCGGTAGGGTACTTCTCGAGGAGCATCGAAACGATGGCGAAAAGCGAGTCATTGGGCCCGAGCGTCTTCGCAAGCTGTCCGAAGAGGCCTAGACGGCGATGCAGGGGAATGTGTTCATACGCAGCAGTGAAGCTGAGCAGAAGCTCAGCGACACCAAGAACAAGGTCCCGCTTGCGCTTCCTCAAAGATGCGGCGAGTGGCGGGACCACGCGCGAAACCGTCTGGTCAATGACGTGGGCGGAGTAATCGTCGCTCTGGCGCAGGATGGAGGAACCCATGAACGTGAAGATGGGCATGACGCTGTGAAGAACAACATCGGGCACGCACGTCGCCAGGCTCGAAATGAGGAGCAGAGCGGAGTTTTGGACCTGAGGGTTGGAGGTGTGACGGACACAGTCAACAAGGAGATCAGCACGAATGGCAGACTGATCGATGGTGGCGCCAGTAGACTTCATCTGGTCAACAATGGACAGCAGCGAGCTGATGACAAGACTCTGGAGGTAGACCAAGCTGGAGCTGGTCTGAATCTTGTAGTGTTGAAGTTCGCCAAGGACATGGAACAGGCCAGGCAGAAGCTGGGGGTGGTTCTCAGGAGACGAGCTTTCAATCAGTTCCAGCACAAGAGTCAACTTCTCCAGAGCCTTGGTAGTTTCCTCTGTGTCACGCGCATCGAAACGAGCCATTTCAGCTTTGCTAGTCCGTCTACGCTTGGCAGCCGGCGGGTTCTCTGGCAGTGACATGGCCTTGGGGACGCCCTCGAGGAAGGAGACAAGCACTTCGGTGGGTAGCTCAACAGTCCGGAGAGTCTCCAGAGCATTCTCCTGGCGGCGGCGAACGATGGCGTCCTCAGAAGACTCCAAAGCGAATCCCAGAAGGAACTCAGCCGCTTCTTGTCTTATACCCAGTTTCAGTGCAGACCAGATGGTGCGCAGGCGGTTGAAAGCGGCATCTTGAACGTTGAGTCGCTCGAGACCCAACTTACCGTCAATGACCTTCTGAAGAAGCTGCACGCCCTCGGCGTCACGAGAGCCAATTGCTCTGAGGTGCGCCCGGTCGACTTCGGCGAGATCAAGTGATTCAACTGCACAGAGAGAATCGGCTTCATCCTTAGGGAGCGAGAGCCAGTTCTCAACTGCTGGAAGCAAGATCTGAACGCGAGAGCTCGAGCCGGTTTTGCCTACCTGATCGAAGAAGGAGAGCAACTGTAACCTGACAGTCAAAAGAGGCGTGTTTGCAGCATGGCTGGCAACAAATGCGCAGGTCGCCGTTCGGAGGGAAGCCTTGAACTCTGGGCCGTGCGCCGGAGCACCTGCGTGCTTGTGAGCGCGATCATCCATGGCCGTCTGGAAAACGTGTTTAATGTGGCTAGAATCCATAGAGCACTCCTCCAGCGTAGGCATAACGGCATTCGAGAGAACCTTGGACGCATCCTCAGTGGAAAGCCACTTCACGTACTTCGTAGAACTGCCATAAAGCGATTCCTTCGCCCAAACAGGCGTCTTGCTGCCCTTTTTAGAAGTTTCCTTGGTCGAAATGCGGGTAAGAGCTGCAGCGCACTCCGCAGCAGCCTTACGAACACCCGCCGAGCTGTCCGAGAGAGCGCTGACGACATAAGGGATAAATGCCTGGAAATCCGAGTTCGCATCTTTGTGGGCTGTGAGCCAGCGGGCAAGTAAACGAAGAGCGGCGCTTCGGGCCAGAGCAGGATATGAACCACACCAGAACCGGGCAAGGAAAGTGGGATACAGAGTCTCGTCCTCTGCAAACAAAGAGACCTGGGAAAACTTCTCTAAATTGTCCGGCGAGGACATGCATCGCAAGAAGGCCGCTGAGAGAGTATCGAATACCTTCGACTGGTTTGAGTTAAGGAAGGAAGCCTCGTCTGCCTTCGAGGGCAGAGAGGATAAAACATCATCTACGGCCTCGGGCAACGCCGGCAATGAGTCCTCCATCTCAACGTCCTCAGAGTCCTCCGGCTTAGATTCCGATATCGCTGGCCGCAAGACAGTCTTAAGTTGCATCTCCAATGTCTCAACATCCATACCTTGCTCTTCGATGATCCTGCTGATTGTTGGTCCAAAAGCAGGCGATTGGTTAAGCCTCACGATGGAATCAGCCAGTTGGTTACGTTGCTCAGGAGTGACGTCGGAACCCTGTTCCATTCTCTGAACAGTAACCAGGAGCGACTTGACGATAACCGACGTTTGAAGGTCGTCGTAGATTTGAGCTTGCAGAGTCTCCTCTACGACATCCAACCATGCCGTGATATCCGAGTTTGCCGACTTGGTAAACCTTTCCAGGATTGCCAACACGCAGCCAAAAGCCAGCCTGTCGACACGACATTGCTGCGAAAGTCCCAGTATCCGGTCGGCCAACTTCTCCAGTTTCAGCAGGCTCTTGACAACAGCCTTGGGCAGCTTTGCGCCTTGCCGCTCTTGTGCCAAAATCGCGAGAGAAACGAGCGCACCGTCCAGCGTCTCCACAGACCAACTCGAAGTGATAGCCTCCATTAAACTGTTGAGCACCTTGTCCTCCAATGACGCCTTGGTCGCCATGACTGTCATGATCATATAACAGCCCAGTTTGAGCTCCGGTGCGTTCTTAAGGGAAAGCGCTTCGTTGATGACCGGCAAAACCCGCAGGAGAAGCTCTTCCTCTCGCTGGCGCTGAATGCTAAGTCGGCCGGATTTGGCCTCATCGAGCGAACCATCTACGGCTTGAGTTGCCACGCTAGCCCAGAAAGAGAGGAGAGCAGGCGACTGGTGGTGGGCCTTGGTGACTTTGAGCACGTAGAAATTGAGCGCGGAGAAGAATGCCGGGAAATGTGTAGCGGTATAGACGATGACCTGGCGGGGTGGGTTGGCCAGCGAAGTCATATACGGGTACAGGAAACGGTAGGTCGGCGAAATTTTGCGAGGCAAAATCGAGAGTAGCGTAAGAAATACGGGAGTACTGTGATATGGCAGGAACGTAAGGATGGTAAACTCGGTGTTGTACTCGTGGATGCTGTTGCGCCAAAATGATTAGCTTTCAAACAAGAAACATATGAGGGCTAGTATTCGCGCACCGGAACCGACGAATCAACCATTCGACTGCCTTGACAGCGGGCTTTAGCAATATCCTAGCCGATACAAGCCCCAGGAAGCTCTCTATCACAACGTCCAACTCTTTGTTTTCCTCGGCAGTCATCTGAGTCCTGTCTTCCGTCTTGCTCTGTTCGCTGAATAGGTTTTGCGCGAATGCGGCGAACCGGGGGTCCAGCAGGCACAGTTCCTGGAAGCCCTCATGGCAGATCTGGTATACGGTGTTGAAGTCCTGGGAAGCGGCAATCTTGGCCTCGAAGAGGAGCGACTTTCCGTGCGCGGCTTTCTGGGCCTTAAGGTCGAGCTGGTGAGTGCTCGTAGCGGCAATGGCCGCGAGCTGTTGCTGAAGAGATGTCATGTTGGCTTGAGAGAACTGGGGCCCGGGTCCAGCGCTCTGTCCATGGAAAAAGAAGGTGAGGGTCCGGAAGGTGTTGCGCTCGCGCAAAGTACAAGACGCGACAGCGGCAGATCTCAGGCTTCGCGCTCAAAAAATCCCGGGCGGTGTGGCGGGAGCTTTTTCTGCCACCATCGGCGAAATAAACCACCGATCGACATCATCAGTTGCTCTGCGCCTGGCCCTCGACGAGCGCCAGGTACGTATTGCAAGTTGCACCTGTCTGTCGGTGCTAGGTAATAAACCATGGACCAAGCTGACAAGCCCACCGTCCCCAAGTTTTCAAGTTTCAAGCCAAAAGCGCAGCCCCCGGCCTCCCAACCGCCGGAACCTAGCTCGGAACCCGAGAACCGTCATCGTCATCGCCATAGAGAGCACGACGGACGTCGCGAGAAGGATCGCGAAAGAGAACGTGAAAGGGACCGCGACAGGGACCGCGACAAGGACCACGGAAGATCGCACCATCGGAGCCATAGGCGTAGCGACCGCGAAGACCGCGAACATCGCCATCGTGACAGAGACCGGCGTGAGGAACATCGTCACAAGCACCAGCATCAGCATCGTGCTGAAAGTCCAAGACGTCATGCTAGCGAAGAGAATACAGAAAAACGCAGTGATATCCAGTCACTGGTTCCAAAGTTCGACGAAGGCAAGGACTATTTCGTCGTTGATCGAAAGGGCGACCCAGCAAACTTGATATATGGAAAACTTCATCAGTACAGTATACCGACGTATCGTAGGACTGGTTACGGTTGTGTTCTAGGTCTGCCTTTGGATGCTAGAATTGACAAGTTTGCGTCGGATGATCGGTTTGTTGTCATTGATGACAATCGCCGACGCGGTAGACTCGACCGTCAAATATTGTCGAAGCGCCCACGCGCAAGGGAGCCGCCAACATTACGCCTGATAAAGGTTTCGGATGCAGATTTAGCCCAGGAGTCGCAGTTAGACTACCTCCCTCTACCGGGCAGTAAGAAAAGAAAGCGTGGGTCTGAGTCGCCGGAGCCAGAAGAAGAACATGTGGACTACAGGTCTATTGAAGGAAAAGCTAAACCTAGCAATGACCCTGCAGACCCTGACCTTGAATATGCGAGCGATGAAGATCCAGCGCTATACCACGATTTTCTGGTCGAAGCTAAGGAACGCAACGCTAAGTTGTCAAGGAGAGTGAAGGATGAACCGACCAATGTTGAGGCATGGCTTGATTTCGTCGAACACCAAGAAGTTATGATTCGCATAGGATCTTCTGACGTGCAACGACAATTGACGACATCTGAACAAAAAGCGCTTGCTTCCCTCAGAGTGGGTATCTACCAAGAAGCGCTGAATTCTATGCATTCGGAGCGTCTCCTTGTTGGACTCATGGAAGAGAGCTCCAAAGTTCAAGGAAGGAAGGAGTACTTTGCGAACTGGAAGCAAATTCTCGAGAAAAATCGACAAAGCTCGAGTCTTTGGGTGAAATATCTCGATGCTCTCCAGACGAACCTCGCCGAATTTCAATATGAAGAATGCAGATCTAAGTTTCTGGACTGCCTGAAAATGCTCTGCGGAACTGGTCTGGATTCAAGAGACTCGCAAATATTACGCCTCTACATTTTCCTGAGGTTAACGACTATGATGAGCGACGCCGGCTATCGAGAGCGAGCTGTTGCATTATGGCAAGCACTGCTGGAGTTCCAAATCTTTAGGCCTGGGAAAGGCTTGCAAAACGATGCCGATTACAATCAGTCGCTATTAGTCGATTTTGAAGATTTCTGGGAAAGTGAATGCCCGCGCCTCGGTGAACCTGGGGCTGTTGGGTGGGTCTCTTCCAAAGTTGACGAGGAGTATCCTGACCCTCCTGAGCCATCTACAGAGCAAGAACATGAGTTTGAAGTGAGCGATATGTTCGACTATTTTGCCCAAAAGGAAAGGTGGCAGATGAATTCGTACCCATGGCCAGGAAGGACTATCGACGAAGTCGGGGAAGACGACCCCTTCCATGTTGTCCTATTCGCAGACATCGAGGAGGAGCTAGGGTTGCTACAAGATCCATTCCCACCTACAATGCTTGTTGAGGCGTTCTTGTGCTTTTGGCACTTGCCCCCGCTTCCTACTTCAGACCCCCTCACTCGAGCATGGTGGCTTGACCCTTTTCTTCGAGATGAGAGGTTTTACGTGGATACGCCTAAAACTTTGCTCCTTGAAGCATCATCCGCTGAGACCGAGACTGTGGGGCTTTCTACACTTGAAGCCTACAAGCCTCCAATGGCCAATTACCTTGTCACAACCCAAGAACTATTCGGCGGCGGGTTTTTCAGTGGCGAACGTAGCCCGGATCAACAGGAGTGGCTGAGAAGAGCTTTGAAGACTTTGGCAAATGCCACTTCAGAGGACATCGTCGCTGAATATCATCTCGCTTTCGAATGGCACTGCAACCCGAGTGGTGGTGTGGCGAAGACTGCCAAAGCGCTGCTGAAGAAGCGTTCTTCCAGCCTGCGACTGTACAATGCCTACGCTCTCATTGAGAACCGCACCGGTAAAAGTGCAGCTGCAAACCACGTCTTTGCGATGGCACTGGGTATGAGCACGCAACTTCCTCAAGACGCTCAGAAACAGTCAATATTATTATGGCGCACCTGGATTTGGGAGGCCCTACGTGGAGATGATTTCACTGCCGCGAGGCACCGAATCGGCTCTATAGGTGCTGCCAAACCAGTCCCCGAGCCACCTACATGTGCTGTCGACGAAGAAGACTGGTTGAGTCCTTCCACGGTGCTTCGAGTCCGCAACATCTTGACCGAGGGCCGTGATCATTCATTATCAACAGGCGTTGCAGAACTCGGCGTCCTGTACGCAGAGTGTCTGGCACTACTCGCATACATACAGTCGGACAGCGACATCACACCGGCACTAGCAGTATTCCAACAAACCAACGCTCTACTCTCCTTGCGCAACCTTCACCACTCCGCTGCCAACGAAGCCCTGCACCAAGCAAAATGCCAACTCCTCACCTATCACAGCCAACGCGCGCGCCTCTCCAAGCCCTCGATCACACGCTCCGAGCTCCAAGAGAGCATCGCCCTCTTCCCAAGCAACACCATCTTCCTCTCCGTGTACGCGGCAAACGAGGCGCGCTTCCGCATCGACGACCGCGTCCGCGCCATCATGCACGACGTCGTCCTCAAGCAGGACGCCCACTCCATCGTCACGTGGGCCTTCAGCATCCACACGGAAGCCCAGCGCGGCGCGCATTTGGGCGGGACGACGCACGCGGTGCGCGCGGCCTTCGAGCGCGCCGTCGAGAGCGACGCTGGCCGCCGCTGCGCCGCCCTTTGGCGCTCTTACGTCGCCTATCTCGCTGCTCGCCCCGAGTCCGCCGTTGCGGCCAAGGCGGTCTTTTTCCGTGGCCTACTGCACTTGCCTTTCAAGAAGGAGTATCTCATGCTGGCGTTTGAGCGGCTGCGCGAGGAGCTCGGCCCATCCGATTGCAGGCGCGTGTATAACACGTTGCAGGAGAAGGAGCTGAGGGTGCGCGTGGAGCTGGACACGATGCTCGAGAAAGCGGATGCGGTGGCGGAGGAGCGGCAGAGGCGCTTGAAGGAGGCGGGAAGGGGATAGATAGTAGTAGTCGACAGATTTCCAGTTTGCCTCACACATCAACAGATAACGTAATGCTTCTAGAACCCATTCATGCAATTGGCATCAACATCCATGTTCTTATTCGTACGCGTACATACGTACCTATCTCTATATAAGCCCGACCCTGCCTTTATTCGCTCTCTCATGATTGAGAAACGTCGCTACTTATCCCGTCAAAGCAAGCAAGCAACTACCTAGCTAAAAGGAAAAACCGCGCCTATGCCATACACACCATGCTTATAATTGCCACCAAAAAAGATACCACACGAAAGAAGAAGAGGAAAAAGAAGAAAAAGAAAAAGAAGAAGCAAGAAAAAAGAATCAAGCAAAAAGAAGAGTTTGAGCAAAACATGAAGGGAAGAGAAAAAGTAACCGTTCCGCCGCTCTACCCACCAGCCAGCCATCCCGCCCGTGCCGTGCCCGATAGGAGCTTTTTTGCAAAGCAAGTGCAGCAAAGCAAGAAGATGGATGCATGAGAGTGAAACATGATGCATGATTGATGCCTTGCTCGAGAAAACACAGAACGCCCAGTCCATGATGTGCGATGCACGCACGCATTCGCGCATGCTTTTTTGTGGCTCCACGACGACGATGCTGTCTTTTTTGTACCGAAAATCCTCGTCGCGGTTGGAAACACTACTGCTGATGCTGTCGAATTATGTATGTATGTAAGGGTGTGGTACTCCCATGCGCGCCAGCAATGTCGAAGGACTTGAAAACAAGACGAAGAGAACCTAGGTTAGGTAGCGAAGCCTCATGCCCGAGTCGCGGCAATGGCTGCCTGCAGGCCGACAATGCGCAAGCTCTTGCCGTTGCGCGGCTTGCCCGCCATCAGCGCAGCCGTGGGCTGAAGCCCGTCCTCCCATCGGCGGAAGACGGCCTTCATGTCGCGCGGGACACCCTCGAGCACGACCGTGCTGACGGGCACGAAGGGCCGGTCCTCGAGTGATGCAGCCAGGATACCGTACTCCTGTGCGAACAGCAGCGCCGTGCTGAAGGCGTGAGCCTGGGAACGCGAAAGCGCGCCGACAATCCTGTAGCTGTATTAGCAACGCGTTCTGTAATATCCACGGAACCTGTGGGGACACTTACACATAGACCTCGAAGAAGGCGTCCAGGACGTAGATTGATTCGGCCTCGAGGTCCACCTGGGCAAACGGCGCTATCTCCGTCACATCGGCCTTCATCTTGGGCTTGTCTCCTCTTTCGGGGCTGTCGGGCACGGCGAGGGCGTTGTTGTGGCTCTGCGGGAAAGAATTCCGTGTTGGCGATTCTGGAGGTGGAAGGCTACTCGAGGAGACGCGCCGCACGAGGGCGGGCCAGAAGGAGCTCACCTGCATGAAGCTGCTGCTCATCGTAGCCGCCGGTTTCTCGTCGATGCGGAACAGACGCGCTCCGTATTTTTCGTACTTGGCCTTGAGCCGCCAGTGGTCGGCGCTGCGCGGGATCCGCTTGATTCCGTTTTCGGGCGCCGGGAATATGTCCAAGAAGGCGCTGGGCTCCTTGCCCTCGTCGACCTCTTCGATCTCTGGCGTTAGGCCCAGGTCCATGCCGATCAAGCGAGCGCAGCCGAGCTCTTCCGCGTTGCAGCCGAGGCCCTTCCAGAGGAAGATCTTGCCAGACAGAAGGCCAGTGCGAGAGGACACAAGGAAGGGGAAGCCCGAGCAAAGGTTGCTCAGGACCAGCTCCACCTCGTCAAAGGCAATGTTTCCAAGGTGCTGCCGACCGCAAAGCATGTACTCGTTGGAATGCTCTTGCCGCGTGCCCTTCCTGGTGATGAGAATGCCACCGATGCCTTGGAAGAAATTGGGAGTCTCCTTGCCTTGTCTGATGATGATGAGCTTGCCACCTGCGTCGCGAGCTGCCTTGCGAGCAAAAAGCTGAGCGTCATCGACCATAGGCTCAGGCACTGCCGATCCAGCCCATAGATAGACCTCGGTAGTCTTGGCGCCGTTGGAACTTCCAAAGACGTGAGTGCAGAGGTACATTGAGTTGTCGTACAGGATATGCTCCTCTTGGCTTGGGACAGGCGAGAGTTTTCCATCTCCAGTAATTTCTTCCACTTGCTTGCGCACAGTCTTGATCTTCTCGTGGCTCAGCGGCTGAGCAGTCAGTACAGCGTTGGTATCAATGTCCAGCTGGCTAGTCGTGACGGGCAACTCGTCAAAGAAGTCTCCAAACATGCGGCCAGCCTCGGATGTGTGAGGAATCGGCGACTCCTGCTTAATCTGCGGCAGCGGGGGTGACATGGAATCAGGCTTCTTCGGCGGCTTTGGCGGGAGGCCAGCGCTGAGTGGAGGAGAAGGAAGTGGCTTGGAAACCGGGCGAGACTTCGTTGGCGGGGTAGGCTCGGCAATTTCTGGGACAGACGGTTCCTGCTTTTCCTCGATCTTGCTCTGCAAACGGTTGCTGGCATCCTCAAGGCCAATACCCAAGCCAACAGGACCTTTGGGGGGCTCCGAGCGCACAAGGCCGGCATTTTCCATAGCTTCCTGCTCATCCTTCCTGGTAGGCAACTTGATAGGAGATTTCGTCTTGGAAGCAGTAGACTCAGTACTCTGTCGGCCCCAACCGGCAGCGGCGTTCTTGACAGACGGAAGTCCATCATTCGGCTTGGCTGGCAAATCCTTCTCCTCTACAATTGCTGACGGCTTAGGCATAGGCTTCAAGGGCTTCGGTGATTCAATGGGCGTCTTGGGGCTTGATTGTTGCTGATTCTGCTGGAATTGACGCATGCGCTCAGCAAAAAGCGGCTTCGGAGCAGCAGAGGGAGTTTGTTCGGCATCCTTCTTCTGCTCCTCCTTCTTCTCCTCAATCTCCTTCTTTTGCTCAACCTCCTTCTTCTCTCCAGAAAACCTCTTTGCAAGCTCTGGGGATTTGACTGGAGGGCTAGGCTCAGCAGGAGTAGAATCAAGCTTTCCTGAGATTCTCCTGATAAGATCGGGCGATTTCGCTGGAACCGGGGGTTCGGTCGGGGTTGTGGGCGTGCTCAATCTGTCCGAAGCCCTCTTGGAGCTGTCTGAACCACTCTTAGAGATACCTGAGGTTCTCTTGGAGCTGTCAGTTGAATCCCTCTTAGAGATTTCCGAGGCTCTCTTAGAGCTGACTGAAGCCCTCATGGAAGTTGCCGATGTCCTCTTAGAAACCTGCGGCGACTCGGTTGGCACACTAGAGGGAGAAGCAGTTCGAGACTCGAACTTCTCCGAGATCCTTCTCGTAAGCTCAGGCGACTTCGTCGGAACCGGCGGCTCAGTAGGCGTAGCCGGCGAATCAAGCTTTGCAGAAACTCTTCGCGTAACCTCTGCCGACTTGGCTGCCACAACAGGCTTCTGCTTCTGCTCAAGCTTAGGCGAGTCCGCGGCGGGCTCCTTGGCAGCGGGCTCCGTGGCAGCGGGCTCCGGGGCAGCGGGCTCCGTGGCAGCGGGCTCTGGAGCAGCAGCAGGCTTGTTCAAGGAAGTCGGACGGGAGCTAGGAATATCAACTTTCGGCTTGCTGCTCAAAGAGGTCGGGCGCGAGCCAGGAAGATCATCCTTTGGCTTGCTCAAAGACGTTGGGCGGGATCCAGGAAGATCATCGTTCGGCTTGCTCAAAGAAGTCGGGCGGGAGCTAGGAAGAACATCCTTCGGCTTGACAAGGGGCACCGTCGGCACAGGGACCGAGGCTTTCCTGACATGCGTGGACTCAGTCTTGGCAGGGGCCTCCTCGGGTGTCGCAATACCAGAGTCAGTCTTGCCCTTGGGAGCCCGTCTCTTGGGTCCACGGGCACGGCCCTTGGTAATGTGAGTAAGCTCCTTGGCCGGACCCTTGGGCTCCTCAGGAGAAGCCGTAGGACCAGACGCGCCAGAACCACCAGATTCGCGAGAGCCAGGAGCGCCGTTTGCCATAGGTGGTCCACGGGCCAGAATTCCAGCCAAAGCGGGGTTGAATCGGTCAGCGAGCTTGCCAGGTCCAGAGCCTCTGTTGGCCAATTTTCCGACAGGCGCCTCTGGTTCCTTCTCACTCAGTGATGACTTTGGCTGATGCTTCGTCTCAGTCGACTTCAATCCAGGGAACCGATCGGCGAGCTTGTTTGGAGGGCTAGGGACCCTTTTCGGCTCCTCTGCTGGCGCAGCGGGTTCCTTACGTGCAGGAAACCGATCGGCAAACTTGTTAGAAGGGCTAGGGGCCCTGTTCTGTTCCTCTGCGGGCGGCGTGGGTGACTTCAGTGCAGGAAACCGGTCAGCGAGTTTGTTCGAAGGGCTAGGTGCCCTGTTCTGCTCCTCTGCGGGCGGCGTGGGCGACTTCAATGCAGGAAACCGATCAGCAAGCTTGTTCGAAGGGCTAGGTGTCCTCTTCACGTCCTCAGCGGGCGGAGTGGGCGACTTCAAAGCAGGGAACCGATCAGCGAGCTTGCCCGTAGTAACAGGGGATTTCTTCGGCTCCTCGATTGGCGGAGTGGGTGACTTCAACGCAGGAAATCGGTCGGCAAGCTTGCCAGGGGCCCTTTTCGGCTCCTCTACCGGCGTACCGGACTCCTTGCTCCAAGAAGGCTTCGCGCCATGCTTCAGTTCCGACGGCTTGGCAGCGGGAGGAAACCGATTGGCAAGCTTTTCGGAAAGGCCAGCGACCCTCGCTTGCACTTTCGGTGGCTCGGCCTTTGAGGCTTCCTCTATTTTGGCTTCTTCCTTGGGCAATTCTTCCTCCTTAGGCGCCTCCTCTTTAGGCAATTCGTCTGAGGTCTCCTCCTTTGGGACCTCCTCCTTCACATCTTCATTTTTCAGAGCCTCCACCTGCGGCTCTTCTTGTTTTGGGGTCGCCTCTTTAGGCGACTCCACCGGGGTGATCACTTTTGGGTGCTCCTCATTTGGGTGCTCCTCTTTTGGGTCCTCTTCCTTTGGGTCCTCTTCCTTCTTTTCGACCTCTTCACTTGCAGTCTCCGCCGGCTTCTCTTCGCTGGGAGACAGCTTGGCGTTGGCTACTGATTGCTTCCTCTCCCTTAGGCTCTTGCTTAATGCGAGAGCTTCAGGAATTGGTGACTCATTGCTTGGGCTTGAAGATGGGGGGGTAGAAACACTTCCCGTCCGGCCCAGATTGAGACGTTTTGATAGTGCCTCTGGAGCGGCATCTTCGGGAGAAGCGCGAGAGCCGGTCCTGCTGTGAACACCCGTCTCTTGGGCCTTCATCTGAATGGATTGCCTCTGCTTGACCAGGCTGTCGCGCAGTTCATCACGTCGCTCGCTCTTCTGCGGGCCATCTGTCTTGGTCAGGCCTCCCTTGCCACGCAGGATGTTGTCCTTTAGCGTGTCAGGGGCGACAAACTTGTCGGTTTGCGTTCTCTTCAGCTTTCCAAAGACATTCTGAAACTCCAAGCTCTGGTCCGCAGGGGAGCTGGTCTTGGGAGAGTCAGCGGGGGCGGTGGACGTGGTGGGAGCACGGGCCTGGCGGGTCTTGAGATGAGTTCGGAAGTCCTCCACCGGGGCATCTTTCTTGGGCGGCTCAGCAGCAGGAGAGGGAGATTGGCGAGACCTGAGTTGCGATCTAAAGTCGAGTTTGGGAGCCGTCTCGGGCTTAGCCGACACGGTAGGGCTCTTCGGCCCGCCTGTCTGCCTTAGGCCGGGCGACTTGAGGGCAACGGCCGGCTTCTCGGACGTGTCCGCCGGGCTGTTCAGAGTAGGGCTTGGAACAGGGTCCTCCATGGTCGCCGCCGTAGGAGATGGCAGGCGTGCAGTCTTGGTGTTGGGTGACGTTGCGGTAGTCTCTCCCGCTTCAGGAGCTTGAGGTTGCTCCGGCTCGGTAATTTTCTCGGTCGGACTTGGATCCGCATCAGGCGATTGCGCTACAGGGCTGCCTGCAGATCCCCGTGATATCGACTTCCCGCGGAACCGAGCAGCTGGGCTGATAGGTGCCGCTGGAGAGGATGGCTTCGGGAGGTCTGGTATTTTGGACAGATCGACGCTTTGTCTTTGCGCCTTCACTTTGCTGATCTCCGCCATCCAGCTGGGCTGCTGTGGCGGCGGTCTGGGCTTCGGCGACTCGGGCTTCGCCAAAAGAGCGCTCTCCAGCCAACTTGACTTGGTTGGGCTGCGACTCCAACGCTTGGTGGGACTCGACGCGTCAGGCGAATTCGTGTCGTCCATTCCAGGGTATGCAAATGAGCTCAACGATTTTCCCCTGCTGTGACGACGCATAGAGAGCGTGGGCCTAGGGAAGCCTTCGCTGGCGGGAGGGTCATGCTTCTCGACAACATTTTGTATCACGGTGCGGTTGCTGTTGCTTGAGCTAGGCCGCGAAGGGTATTCGCCATGGCCGCTGGGTATCGCCTCCAACTTCGGCAAGCTGCTCGAACCCATGATTCCGAGTCCACTAGTACTGCTGGCTGTAGAGGTATTCCTGGTAAGGATGGGGGCGCCGTGAGTGCTCCACCTCTTGTTGACGCTATCCGAACGCTTCATCATGGCGCTTTGCACAAATCCACCCATCCCCTTTGTCGGCGACGGTGACCGGTCTGCCGCAACGCGTCCCTGTGCTGGAGACATGGCCAATGGGCGAGGAGAGCCTGTGCCCTCATTGTCGTCTGTAGAGGAGCTGATCTCGGAGCCAGGCGGGCGGAATTTTTGAGACTCGAGAGTCGGGAGCAGGGTTTTGGCGGCGTCTGGGTTGCTGAAGCCAGAGACGGACGTGTCTCGGGAGAGACGCGTGCTCAATCGGGCACTGTTGCGGACGGAGCTGCCTCTTGACGGCGAATCGGAGCGGACGCTCTCGGTGGGCGGGCTGGACGCGCCCTCGGTGGTGGCAGTGGAATCGCGCATGCCCGGCAGCTGTCTCCTGCCAACGGCCGAGTCTACTTCGGAAGAAGCGTCTTCGTGGCTCCGTCTGTTGGCGGGCGAGCCAATGCCGCGATCGGCAGTCTGCCTGAACCAGGCGGGGTCTTTGGAGGCGAGGGATTGGGCAAAGTGGGATCTCGAGGGGTTGTCGTTCTCGTCTTGAGGAGGATCGGGGGTTGCGCCTCGGCGCGGGGAGCGTGCGACAATGTTTTCGGCGGCGTAGGCGCTGAGAGGCCGGCGGCCGCTAGACGAGGTTGGGCGGCGCTGCTGCCACGAGAGGGTGCCTGAGCGGGAGGGCGTCGGAGGGTCGGCGGGCGACGAGGAGCCGGTTAGGCGGCTCAGCGCGTCCTGGTGCGAGGCGTCCATGGTGATGGGCGACGCGAGAGGCTTTTCGTGCGAAGCGGTGGGCGTGTCAATGGGCGCGGGCGAGCCGGCGACCGAGCTCTTTGCGGGCGACAAGGACCGATGGCGCTCTGTCGAGGACGGGCGTTAGCAGCGAGAGGACGCGCGACCAAAACACAAACATCAGTGTACCAGCTCTCCGCGCAGCGCGCTCGGCGCGGCCTTGCAGAATCTGCTCCTCCAACAATCGATAGCGCTCTGCGTCCTCCTTGTCGCGCTTCTGGCCAAGCTCGCGGATGTGTTCCACAAAGGTGCTCGGACTGATTGGGTCCTGCTGGACGGGCGGGGCCTCCTCGTGTGAGTCGGCCATGATGGGCGGGCGGTTCTTGTTCCACCAGCCGGCCGCGGCGATGTTGGTGGGCGACTGAGAGAGGTGGTAGGTAGATAAACGCCCGCTGCTTCATCGGCCGCCCGACACGCTGCAAATCACATTACTATTATTCACGCGGTGGATCGAGCTGGCGCCCGACCGCCCGGCGTCTTTGCTGGCATTTGCCCTCGACGCAAAGATGCCAACACCCAAACGCTGCCGGTGCGGTGTGTGAGCCTTGTTTGATTGATGGTCGCGCTAGCCCCGATCCTCGCCCGCCCGCTTCCCTACGCTTCCTTTCCTTGCTGCCGCCCTCTCAGAACAGGAACAGCCGCTCCCTGGCGTCCTGAATCACCCATGCCAGCCCTTCCTCGAGGTTCAGCCCTGTCATTGCGCTACACGCCTTGATCGTCCACTTGTGCGTCGTGATGGCCTCCAGTTCGAGCCCCTTGTTGCGTTGTCAGTGGCTGCGCTCTCGGGCCGCCGAACAAACCCACCTGGCGTATCTCGTCGTCGCTCATTGCCCCAGGAACGTCGCTCTTGTTCTTGAACACCAACAGGCTTGCCCCCATGAGCCGCTGTCGATCCTGTCAGCCGCGCGCCTGCAAATGCCAACCCGGTACTTGCCTCTTCGAGGAGCAGCCCCTTCAATTCCCTGCGGCAGTCGTCGATGCGCTCGCGGTCCGTCGCATCCACCACCCAGATAAGCGTGTCCGTCTTCTCGAAATAGTTCTTCCAGTACGTACGCAGCGTCTTCTGCCCGCCTACGTCCCCTGGTAGCCGTTGAGCGCATGCCCAAGCACGAGGGGAAGAAACAAGCCCTTACAGATATTGAGTTTGTACCTGGCGCGTCAGACCAGGCGCCCGCACGGGGTTAGGTAGAGACTGCAACTCACCCGTCATAGTCGATCGTCTTGATGATGAACCCCAGCGTGGGGCTGACGCTGTTGACGTCCTCGTTCATGATCTTTTTCACTATGGTCGTTTTGCCGGCATTATCTAGGCCTCTGTACAGCTGTCAGCGGGCGCGCGGCAGGTCTGTTTGTCAACTCACAGCATTAGGATGCGCATTTCCTTATCCTTCAGCCGAGCCTTGCGCAGAATTGACAACATCTTGAAATTTGACGCGATTTTTGACGCGATTTTTGACTTGCGCCAAAGCAATGTCTGGGGTCGCGCGATGAGAGAGAGGACAGGCAGATCCGGGCGGGCGGCTCGTTTCGGCAACCGCTATACCGCTTTCTAACGCCAACGTCCAAACACCAAACGGTCGTCAGTAATAACCGTTATACGGCTTGTGGGTGCGGTTGCATTCATGACATGGATTTTTGGTCATCGTCGCGTTGACATGCAAGTGTCCTTAGTCTGCATTAGCTCGGCGTGTTACCTATTATTTCTCGCGCAACTCCCTTGTGTCTTCCTTCGTGTAGGTGCTTTCCAATCTTAATAACTCAGAATATCTTTTTTCAAGCCTTATAACTCTGAATCATACCCTCGACGGTAGAACCTGGTACCGATGAATAAATTACCTCTGTAGGTAGGTACCTAGTTACAATTGAGCCTTCGCATTCAGGAAAGAGCCCTCCGACACAAGTGACACTTTCATCTCCACGCACATTCCGCCAACCCATCTGTGAAAGTACGCCTTAGGGGCAGCTAAATTGTTTCCGTGCTCAGTTAAGGCTACCTCTCCCAGATACTGTGAAAGGGCATATGGACTGCGACGCCATTGCCACTTTGTCAGCAAACAGCAGTGCCGATACCGACTACAAACACTCCACAGAAGGTCTTGGTGATTGAATTTCTCTTTCTGAGATCCCTCCAGTGTGCCAAGCAAAATATTGTCACCGTCAGTCCTGTTCGAGACGGAACAAAAGCCAAGGGCTTCGTGGCGCACCCTCGCAGTCATCCGACGGGGCCTGCACCTAGCCTAGTCACTTGCTGCTTCGCTACCGACTGATTCACTTGAGGCACGTGCTTGCCTGTTTAAGTTGCAACCCCCCACGACGTCCCAAACAACACCGCGGCTTGAACTTCCTTCGACCAACATCAACCAAGACTCCAAAGGAAGGCATACTCGTCAAGCAATGGAGGACGGAAACGCTTCATCTAGGCCTCAACGCAACACGCCTTACATCCCACCACACCTAAGAAAGTCTGCCGCTCGCAAACCTCAGTCAGCAACGCCTCAGCAATCTTCGACCGTTGACTTCACCCCTTCCGCCAGTCCTTCTGTCAACCAACACGCTTCTAACCCGAACAACACGGAGCAATCTGGCGCATTTATAGCTACCAAGGGAAAATGGGCTCACCCAGAGCAAGTAAATGGACTCACCTTACCGACACATCACTGACTGTTTTGCAGGCAACCCGGGTCCAGTGAGACCAACCATACTATGGGTACTCAACCCACTCAGCCGTAAGTACACACTAGCATTCTACTTAAGCGCTGGCTTAAGTTGACCATATGCCAGCACCACCATTCACTTAGAGCATGGCCAAGAAAATGACAAGTCCAATCTGGATTCTTTCAAGCAAGATACCCACCAAGCTCCGAACCACGAGGGTACTATGCTTGACAACGAGCCAGTGGCAATGTCTTGGAATACGGCTAACGCACCAACTGGTCGTCGTAATGGAAGGAAGCCAACCAACACTAACCAGGAAAAACGTAACTCAAATTGGATAAGCAACAAGGAGATCAGGGAGATGGAAAAGAATCGACGAAAGCAGGCAAAGGACACGAAAGGCGGCTGGAACTCAAGTTTTTCGGAGAAATCCTACGATTCCAACCCCAACAACAGCCCTGATCATGATGTCAAGAAGCTTGTTGACTGGGAAGGCCAGTGGCTTCCGGGTCCCATTGACTGGGAGCAGCGTCGCAGCTACAGGCACCGCAACTTCGAGGAAGAAGTGTTCAGATGGGTAAATGAGGCAATCGACAAGGGCGCAACAATTGACATCGCCGAGGAAAAGGACTTCACTGCTGAGGTCAACGCCGAGATGGCTCCACGTATCTGGGCCTCCATCAAGGTTGAAGGGCTCTCACTTCAAGAATGGTGGCACAACCACGTCCGTTCCGACCTTGTCGATTCTGACAGCAAGGCATGGTGGATTACCTACATTTCTCCAGTCTCAAGTCAAATCACACCTCTTGAAGTCCCCGAAGCAAAGATAGAGAACGTCAACGAGGGACACTACCTCGAAGATAAGGGGGCTGAAGAGGCATGCAAGAAAAAGAACGCACAAATTGCGAAGAGGAAGGAAGCTAGGGAGAAGAAGCGCCAGCAAGAAGCGCGAATCCATGCTGCCGTAGCCGCCAGCATCCCGGCCTACCAACCTGCCGAGGAGGAGCTGAAGCCAGAGTTCAGCATCTACCTCCGTTTGGCTTTCCCCGCGGATACTGTCCAAATCAAGGATATCTGGAATTGGCACATCGCGAACTCCATCCACTCTTCGGAAATGTCTGAAAGGAGCCATGCTGACATCGCTAACCGCCTGTCTGAAGTTACCAACGCCAATCTGCCTTTCATTGTAGCATGTGCTAAGGGAAAAAGGAGAGGTGGCCGGGGCCAGGACCGGATCCTGGGATTTGCTTTGGCAGACGACTACGAGGGTATCAACAGCATGTACCGCTACACGGCCCAGGCTGAAGTATTCGTCCACCATGACTTCTTCAAATCTAAAGTCGGTAGTTGTCTGATGGACAAGCTGCTCTACCTTCTAGATGCGGACTACAACCTTCGTGGAGGCTACCAGTTCGTCGGTGCCGGTTCCAATCTCAACAATGGCGGTACCCGTGTGATCGGCAAGGTCCTCATGTGCTTTCCATACGACGCTCGCGACAAGTCTGAGCTCGAATGGATGACGAAGTGGCTCGGAAAATTCCGCTTCAAGAGGGCCGGAGAGCTTACGGACGTGGGCATGAAACTGGGCAAGATGTGAGTATTGAAGGTCCCCGTTTGTTTGCTTTGAGAGCGTTCTGACATTGTTGCAGGGTCAACCTCGCCATGTTCCAGTACCGTACTGGCACGAGTCTGGACCCCATCTCCATGCTCTAGACTGTTCGGCCCGCGAAGTCTCTCTTCGGATTCTCTTAATATTCCATATCGAAACTTGCCTTCACTTGGCAGGCTAACATTCTCAGTGGACGATGCTACGGGATCTCAAACGACGGCGTTGTCTCACCTTGACCAATGAATACTGCCAGCGGTTCCTTTGCCGCACCGGACAAGTGCACATGGATGGTTGAGGCAAGACTTGGTTCTGTGACCAAGGCCCAAGAAGTTGGGGCATTCGGTCGGCTTGATGGTTGTTTCTCTCCTCCTGGTTCTTTGCTTTTCGTTTTCTTTGCTTTCTACACGGTCTCAGGAAAAGTCGACACTCTCTTGGCTTGTGGCTTTCTTTTTTGCACTGCGCTTTCTCTCTTTCTCTCTCTCTTAATTACGGTCGTGGCTTTGGCTGGGGCAGCGGGAGTGGTGGTGTTGGGCACGGCTGGGGCGGTAGTAGGTAGGGTTGGCTTGACGACTTCCTTGCAGGCCCGCTTGGCGCTCTACCTACCTACTACGCACGGCTCTGGCTCGCGAGCACTGCCTTACTACTCTCAGACTGGCTGTAACTAAAGCGATACAGGCAGCAAGCACCTAATGAATAAAAAGAAGCACTCATCTCTCATCTCTCTCACACTCTCACACACTCTCACACACTCTCTCATTCCCCCCTCAAAACCGCAGCTTAGGCAACACAAACATGATAACAAGCACCAGGATCCACAAGCCCCCAATCCAGGCGTACATGATGACGCGGCCCCACCAGCCCTTGCCCTCGGTCATGCGGCGCAGCGTGCCCATGCGCTTGCCAGCGCTGTCCATGCCCTCGGCGCTGCGATCCAAGCCCTTGCCCGCGCGGTTCAGCACGTCCTTTTCGGCGTCCAGCGACGCGCTGAAGCGCATCGACGACTGCTTGAGCGCTTGCGCCATGTCGAGCAGTGAGGTTGTGAGCGTCTCTTGCTCGCTGCGCTGGTGCGTCATGTGTGTTTCGTGGGCGCGGAGGTGCGGGTTGTGCGCGCCGGTTGCTTTGGCTTGGGTGGTGTTTTTGTCGTTGTTGGAGGAGGGGGAGGAGGAGGAGGACGAGGTGCCTTGTTGTGGTCGCCGCGCCCGCAGCGCGCTCGCCACGTTCTCCGCTGCTGCGTGCAATGCCGTGTTGTTGCTCGGCTCGCGGTGCTCGCGGTCCAGCGTGTCCGAGGTGTCGCGCAGCGCGGGCGCATAACTGGGGGCGTTTTCGTCGTCGTCATCGTCGCTACTATCGCTGGCGTCACGGCCGGCTGACCTTTCGTCCTCCTCGTCCTCATCCGTATCCGTCTCCGTGTCCCCCACCTGATTCAGCTCATACAGGCGCTGGTTCAGCAGCTTAATGGTGTCGCGCTTGGCCGCGAGGTCAGCCTGGAGGGCCTGCTTGCGCGACTGGATCTTTATGGCCGCGGCGTCGTGCTCGAGGCGGAGGAGGAGGTTGCGCGCGTGCTCGAGGTTCTATGCCGTAGAGAAGCGGGGTGTTAGTGCCTAGGTGTGTTTGGCGCGGCTTTGGGGACCTACTGCGCCGACGCGCGTGCGCGTGTCGCTTGAGCTGCGCAGGGTGGGTGGCGCGGAGGATGAGAGCAGCGTTTGCGATAGCCGCGCGAGGAGCCGTGTTAGGCTTGTGAGAGTTGGGTCTGTGGGCGCGGGGGCGGCGGGGGCGGGAGCTGTGGATGTGCGCGCCATGCTTGCGTTTTGGTCGTGGTGGAGGGTTGTCCGGATCGTGGTAGAGGAGGAGGAGGAGGAGGAGGAGGTGGTGGTGGTGGTGGTGGTGTTGAGGGCTACCTAAGGTGGGTTGGCAGGTGGTGATGCGTTGGTGGTGTGGGTTACGTAGTTGCGGCAGGTACGGGCGGGCTTAGCCGCGGATCTTCTCTGGGATTGGACGTTTAAAAGAACCAATTGCATGTGGGGGCACGTCTGATGAACTGTTTGCTATTTTTAAGAAAAAATTGCTATTATGCAAGCTACGTGTTATGGCTTCAACGACTCTATTCCCAGCTCCTATAATGCAATAGCCATGTTTTCTTAACTCCCCGGCGATCAAGCAAGATGCGACCAGGGTAGGCTCGGTAGCTTCGGGCGGAAAAGCTCCGCGCCCGAGACTTTGACTCCACCCGCTCTTGCTTGACCACAGTCACAGTTCACTTTTCCTTTGATCTTCAGATTTATTAAAAGCTTTTTGGCTGTGCTACTTATAGTTTTAATCTACTAATTAGGTCTTGTATAGTTAATTACCATTTCGTAATAGCAACGCAGTCGGCCACGTCTTTCTAAAGTGGGTCATCAGCCGGCTGATAGGTATACAAGGCGAAGATAGTCGCTACCTTAGACTCCGTCTGAGAGCACGGTACGTGGTGCTGAAGTTACCAATGTTGATACTGATTATGTTACTGCTGTCGGCAAGGCTTTGCCAGGCTCCAGCTGTAGTTCCGCCGAAGAAACTGGCCAGGCTCCTGTGCTGCGTGCGACGCCACGGCCAAATGCTTTGTCTGAGGTTTGTACATTGTCCTGAGTGTACGGACGTGTTGGTTATGCCTGAACCGGGAGCTGGACTTGATAGGGTTGGTTCTGAGGCTCATTTGGCCAACAAATGATCTGGACCGCTCCTGGTCCAATCTGCCGTGGATGCTGCTGCTGTGGTTGCGGCTGTTGTAGCTGGTCTGGCTGTGAAGGCCTCGGCTGCTAAGCTGCTGCCCCAATTAATCCAGACGTTGGAAGATCTGCTGGAAAAAGACGTGAGCCGAAGGAGGTGAAGCATCTAGTTGGAGTAGGAACAGTTGCCGTTCTGCTTATTCAATGGGGTGTGCTCGCGTTCAGCTGATTCCACCGATTGACTACACGTAGTTACGGAATGGATACCGTCAATATCGCCCCTTGTTTTATCGCAACAGGCCAACGCCTCTGCCACACGAAGCCCAATTCAGTGTCGGTAACCACAAGAGGGGTGCGCGGGCCGCTCAGCAGTCTAGCGCGCTCTGCGGGGGTCATGGCGAAGACGCTATCGCCAGTGCATGCGAGAACGGAACGGGACATGGCGGTGGTCATGTCTGAAGTAGAGGGTGAGCGTGTGCTCGAAATCGTGAAGGTACATATCCCTTACAGACGTCAGCCCCTCTGGCTCCTCCCCGGAGGCGATGCGCTCGACGCCGCGTAAGAAGAGAGGTACCGTAATATGTACGTCTTCACCTCCGTCGACATCCCTATGCTAATAACCCCACGATGCAGTGCGACCGGTGCTACTCGCGCCGCCGACTTCCGAGAAAATGATCCACCGGACGTGACGCCAGTTGTCCGGGTCGAGGTAAGGATCAGGGACACGCTGAGTTTGTTGGATTCATTGACTGCGGTCGGCGGTCCCCCGAAGCGTTGTTCTATCAATGCGACTGAAAAGAGTATTCTGGCTAACTTTGCCAATCCCTTTAGGGCGTGTTCGAGAGCTGGTATTGTAGCGGGTACATGTCCAGGGGATCTATAAAACTCCGGCGGAAGCAGTACCTCGCCGCCAGTGCTGAATTCAATATCATGGTAACCACGCAGCATCGCCTCCTTCGTCTTCTCTTCTTCCTCCTTTGAAGAATGAATGAGTGCCTCCGAGGTGACATGGCGTGAGAAGTACCATATCTTTCGTCCTGAGATAGGACCCCGTAACGCTCTGGGCTTGGAAACCCGAACTGTTAGACCACATGTTGAGGTTCTGGAACTGACCGCTGAATAATTATAAGGCCGCAGCTAATACAGCAAGTGATCTTTCTGACATGCATAGCCATATGGCGCTTCAATTCGCCAACTCGGGATGTTAACTTACAAGCTGGAGTTGGCATGAGGTTCAGAGTTGTCTGGACTGCCGACTTCTTCTTGTTGCGGAACCTGCCGTGCTTGACCTCGCCAGGTGCGTGATCCTTCGCCCTGGGGTCGCGGCTGTTGCCCCACTCGGGCCAGTGTCGAGATGCGTGCTGGCCAAACATTTCCGTGATCATCTTGGACGTGCGGTCGTTCTTGAGTTTAGCGCGAGTTCGACAATAGTCGTCTTTGTACTCGTCCGTGTCGCTCAGCGCGTCCGGGTCGTCCATTGCCTCCTTGACCTCCTCAGTGTCGATGTTCAGGTTCGCCGTTCCGGCCAGCTGCGCCATTATTTTCTTGGTGGCCCTGTGCTGCAGCATCTGGTCGTAGGTGTGGTCCGTAACAAGGACTTTAACCTGTACGGCCTCGGACTGCCCCATCCTCCAGCGCCGACCGATTATTTGCATCAGTAGGTTGAACGAGGTGGGCATCTCCATGATGAGCACACGGTGGCAGGCATGCTGGATATTAATGGGCACTGCGCCGGTCTTTGAGTTGGCAAACAGGTCCTTAACCGGGTCCTTCGGGTCGCTGAACTTGGCAATAGTCGCGCCGCGATCCGATGGTGAATGAAGGGCCCTGATGCTGTACGCGGGTTCTCCGATCGTGTCGAAAACTAGCTCGCATGTGTACTGCGGGAAGGGATTGTCACAGAAGATTATCATCTTCTCGCCCTTGGCGAAGCACACATCGAACACGTCCTTGCACATGGCCTCGAGCTTTGCCGAGGCGCCGGTGATCCGCTGTGCCTGGCTGACATGCGAATCGTACAATGGGCAGTAGATGTAAACTGCGTCTTGCGATGATATTGCGCCGCGCCGCGGTCGCGCTTGGTGTTTGCCCGTTCGATACTGCTGACTTTGATGTTGACCTTCTATAATCGTCGTTCATGAGAACTAGGCAGTGGAGCTCGCTCACCGCTTGGACAGTGAGCTGCCCGCTGACGAACTCGCCTTTTTCTAATGATAGAGGAGTGGAGTCTTAATCTTTGTAGGCCGATCCATCTGCGGAAGTTCTTCAGATTTAGCAAACTCCAGGATGCTTACAATACTGTCTTTTTGGGTCGGTGGTTGCGTCTGCACTATAACACTGACAGTATCACCTGTAGCTACCTCCAATTGTAGCTCGAAATCTCCACGTGGAGCGGCATGTGATGCGACTCCAAGGTGTATATTCGGTGTGGCAGATTAAGTGCAGAAAGTTGGGAGGAAACCAGGACTCCAATGTAGGGGCCCTTGACGCAAGCAGCAACGTCGGTGTCCTTTACGATCGTCTCTTTTATTTGGACCGTACCACCCGGGATCGACTGTACCGGCATTAACACTGCCAGCCGATCCGACATGGTGAAAGGACGTGGCGGTGGTGGGACCAACCGCTCACCTTCCTTGGTTCCTGCTTCGCGCCTGCGACGGATCGCGGGCCTACGGCGAAGCTCGGTAATAGGCTGGGCTTGACAGGTGTCCCATCTGGGATGAGGATCACGAGATTGGTACAACTAGACAGTAGTCTTCTGATGATCTCGCTTCCGGTATATACATCCTAGGTGCCCGTTCGCTCCTCGGTATCTTTGTTCTCCTCGTAGGATGAGTCCTCGAAGTGTACTGTTAGCTCACGGGAGTGTCGGGCATCACCAATTCTGTGTTCAAAGTCAGCAAATGCACGTGTAAAGGTGAGGGAAGCGCCAACGTACTTCTATGATCCTCTAGCCCATTCTTCTCACTCCTGTAAGTCTTCCTACCTGGTTGTATAGTGCTTCGGCTCCCGGCTGGGCGGCGGCGCACTCTCTATCTTCGTTGTCCTCGTCAGCGTTGAGCTCAAGCAGCTCGATCAGCTGCTGCCTGTGTTCTTTGTTCTTGCAGTATTTCTTATCGGCGTGTGCTTCCATCTTCTCGATAAGTTGGACGATGCTCGACCGCCTGGTGAGGATGTATGGCGAGAAGCGGGACGCGCTCTATCCATCTCCAGGTGACAGAATATCTCATTCTCGTCTCTTCCAGGGTACCCCAGACATTATGCTGTTCGGTATATCGGGCTAGGGACGTTGAGGCTGAGAAGTCCGCTGGGTCGAGATAGTATATTTTCGCCGAACCGAATGCCACGCCCAAGTAGTTCTGCGTCTGTGTCGACGGCGACCAAGTGTCACTCCCAGGCCAGCAATTGTCATTCGACACCATGTTTGATGTGGACAGTATTAGGAACCCTTTCTGGTACTTTGGGCTCCACTTCATTGTTGAGCACGAGTCCCGTGTCGATTGTCTGCTCAACAGCATGGTCGAAGCTCTGCTGCGTGCCCATGTTGTTGCCCTGGTATCCCAGATTGATGTTCCGCGCCTGGCCATGGGACGAATATGGTCTCGTCGATCATGTCGTCGGGCAAATATTAAAAAGGAGCCCGAGTCGCCGCAGAGTTTAGTTTTGGCGAGGAGAACTTCGCCTTCGACGACGACATCCTCAATGGATGCTTCGCTCCGGCCCAGGCGCCCATGGATAGGTAGACGCATACCGGAAGAGCGGTAGGGCAGGCCAACGGAACCGCAACCGCCGCCATTGTTGTGGACACTGCCGAGGATACCACGTCCGATACTGGCAGCAGCAGTGGTACCCGTTGCCTAGTATCGCTCTTGCTGTGACGAGAGCCATAGTACATTATCATGTCGTAAATGGCCTTGAGGAGGAAAGACTTGCCGATGTGCCGGCAGCACCGTGAATGTCCAACAGGAACTGGCCTTTGTCTTCACCACGGAGCAAATCCTTGACCCGCTCACGGACAAAGTACATGTTATCGATATTTACCAGAAAGGTGACGTTCATAACTAGCCTTTACTATAGCTCAGAAGTCGGTAGCTGCATAGATACCGAGAATAAGCTGGTAAAGACGGTCCTATCATTATCAGCGAGAGGTGAGAGGTGTGAGGAGAACAAAGGCTGGCTTACCCCATATCAGGAGGGGACCTTACGCCGCACTGTAGAGTGTTGTCACCTCGGCCCAGAACCATTCATTGGCGTAACGTCCGTCGTTTTCTTTGCGCCTCTTAGAGCCCTTTTCCGTGTCCTGCTTCCTCTTTGTCGGTTTTGTAACCTTTGTTTTATCGCCCTGTTTTGCGTAGTCCGGAGACTCCTCGATGAGTGGACTAATGTCGGAGGGAATAACGTATGAAATGTGAGTTAATCGACCCATACGATATTTAACCCGCTCATGTCGGCGCGCAGTGACCTTTCTGACAAAGTCGTCATGGAGTACATATTTCCACTGTCATTCTGCCTCCTCCCACAGCTCGGCCGGTGCTATCTGTTGGTACTCGACGGGCATCCAAATCTCCCTCTAATATAAGCCACTGAGCCACGACATGGATAGCATGCCCGGTCGAAACGAGCGGCGTAGATGAGTAATTGCTTCTCATCGAAGCAGGTCCATCGTAGGAGCTCACCACCCAAAATGCTGCTACACTGTGTTCCGCCATTCCTGGGAGCGCGTTAGTGCATGGTTCTATGGGAGGTGATGAGTGGGCCGGCAAACTTACTCGAGAGGAATGCGCGAGTTGAGGGTGATGAACTGGGGTAGGGAGAGATATGAAGGGATGTTGGGGGTGTGTTGAAGGCTAGATAAAGCTGTCGAGAGCTTTTTCCTCTCGTATACGTGGTCGCTCTCTCGATCTACTAAAAATGTTAGCAAAGCACCTTAATGATATGGAATGAAAACGTCTCTCACTGCTTCTCTGAACGAGTCAAGACCAGAAACGAACCCCATACTATCCTCCTGATCCTACGCATCAATACCGCGTATGGACGGGCAGAACCTGATTCGTACACCCCACCGAACAAAAGAGATATATAAATCAACACAACTGATCTTCCACAACCCAAACCCCCACCACCAATATGTATCCCCCCTTCCCGAACCACCGACCCCACACCGCCACTACGCCCACCCCCACAGCCCGGGCCCCAGCATGGGGATGGGCATCAATAGATAGTTCTCTAATATCCACACGGGAAGCCACACCCCACTCTCTCAACACTCCCGCAGCCAAACAGCGCGAGCCAGATGCCCGCAGATGAGTCACTGCAACACCCACACGGACACGCGCATCCCCTCCCCTAAACCTCATACGCACCACGCATCAGCACCCTGGCGCTCCAGCGCAGAGACGGAGATGGCAAGCAGTGGAGCCCGCGCCCGCATCCCGCGCCCGCATGCGTGGCGGGAACCCACCTGCAGCAGCAGCCCCAGCATCGCTCCGCGCTCCGCAGAGCAAAAGGCCAAACACCGCACAGCGCGCGACACGATCGTCATGCCGTCGTGCCGGCGTGGCATGACCTAGCCGCTTCATTTGCAGGAGGCAGGGGGTTGACAGGGGTGGCGGCTTTAAGGCCCTGGTTGCGTAGCTGCCGTGCTGTTTGTTTGTTTGTTTCTGCACAGCTCCGTAGCGTTTGTTCGGGATGATGGCACCGATGGGCAGGGTGGTGCATGTTGCGGTGGTCGTTAATCACTGTCGTCACTGGGAATCGCCTCACTACCTAGGTCATTTCAAGGCTAGTAGTGCTCGGGTTTGTACTTCTACTCGTACGTACTATGGTCTTCTCATCTCGCAACTTTGATTGCTGCTAATTAGCTACCTATCTTGTTGGCAGTCTTTTTGGTTCCGTCGTCTTCGTGTAGCGCATAGAGAGCAGCCGATCCATCGCATGGTGGATAGAAGAGGAAGAGTGCGAGTGCGAGTGCGAGAAGGCGAGGAGAGAGAAAGAATGCGGCGCTGCAGTTTCGTCATGCCCTAGATGGCCGCCACCGCCTGCCTACATACCAGGTTCTGCAATACTTCCGTTTGTATCTGTCTGTTTGTCTGTCTGTCATCTGCCATCTGCCGTCTCCCGTTTACCGCTTTTCCCCAAGAGCGTGCGAGTTCTGTCCACAACATTTTCCAGTACTCAGTCCATCCCCCTACTTCTCTGCATTTTTTCTCTGTCCTCTCCCTTACTCTCTTCATCTCCTAGCCTCCTATTCCCTCCAAATCGGCGCCACAACTTCCACCGCCCGGTCCACCACCGCGCGCACCCGATCCCTCAAAACGCCATTCGCGCACTCAACATCCAAACCCTCCAGCCACACACGTGCAACATGCTTATCAAACCGGATCTCAATGCCCGGCACCGGAATGCCCAGCGCATGCAGGCGTTTGAGCTCCGCTTGATCCGCGGGTGAAAGTTCCTCCGCGTCCGCATCAGACGGCAGCCCAGCAACCGAGACGGTCGGCGGCGTGGGCGTGTTGTCCTTGCTAGCGGTGGTGGTGGCGTTGGCCGCGGAGTCAGTGGACGGAAGCTTGGGCCGCGCGATCGGCGTGATGTTGGACCCGAACTGTGCTTCCAGGAACATGCAGAGGCGCGAGAAGCGTGTTTGCGGGTCGACCGCTGCGTGGGGGTTGGGTTTTGCGGGGGCGGAAGGTCCGTGATTGTGTGTGTGCTTGGATGAAGATTCTGTAGTAGCGTTAGTTGGTCTGGTAGGTGTTGGAGAAGAGGACGGAGAAAGAACTTACGCTTCACGGCTGCGGGGCTACTCTCGACAGTGAACAGGACGGCGAGTACGGCGTCGGCAATGCCGTCGTTAATCATGTTGCCTTCCCATTCGACTTCGACGCGGCCGCCGCTGCGGCAGTGAACCGTGACACAATCCATGACGACGAAGCTTGTCGTCTGGCGGTCAATCTCCTCATCAGCCTCCTCCTCGCCGCTCTCGCTCTTATGCACGCCGTTCGACTCCTCCTCCTTGCCGTTCATGTCTGACGGTAGTGTACGCAGCGCGCCAAACGTGCCCTCGAGCGCCCACCGGATCAGCGCCACACCCGCCGCGCTTAGCGTCAGGTGCTGCCGGCAGGCAATAGTCGTAGTCGTGAGGCCGGCGTACTCGCGTAGGTCTTCAGGGGCCATCAAGCTCATCTTAAAGTCATTCTGTACCAGAACGCCGCTGATGAGCTGGGCATGCTGGTCCTCGGGCTTCCCGTTGCCGTTGGTTTCATCACCTTCTTCCTGCTCTTCCCCCTTGATGCGCTGCGGCATTGGAGGCGGGATCTGCGCGAGCTTGCCCACGACCTTGGCAATTTTGTCTGCCTTAAAGGGGATGCGGAGCTCTTCGCAATTGGCGGGCGAGAAGACTTTGACGGGCTTGGTTTTATCGGCGTTCAGAGACAGGAGCTTCGACTTGAGACGCATCATGTTATGCTTCTCACCATGGACTAGGATCTGTTAGGATAGTTAGTATTTGTATTCCTCGTATTTGTTTGGAAATGTAGATCGAGAAGGAACTTACCACCACGGGCGCGGCCACTTCCTCGATGAACTCCCTATTCTCAGTACCATCGACGTGTGCAGCAAAACTGAATTCTTGCACACTACACCTGCGAGGGATCATGACTTGCTCGTCCTTGCCACCGGGCCCACGTCTCGCGGCATTTCCCCTTGTCATGACCGCTTGGATCTGATCCGGCTCGTGCATGATCATTTTGCCCATAGTCCCCTCTACCGAATAACCGGTCATGATCACGCCGTTCCTTTGATCTGGCGCCCATCTCTCCAACAATTCTCGACTCACACCATTCTGCATCATACCTGGCGAAGCCAGCATGACGCAACCGCCGACATCGTCGAATCGCTCGAGCGATTTCAGACTCCTTACGAATTTAAAGTCCCATGGGCCGGCCTTGTTTGCATCACCGCTAGCCTCTGCCTCTTCCATACGTTCCCTGAACAATCTCTTGATATTGTCGTTCATGGCGTAGACATAAGTCTGGTAAACAACCATACATTTTCTCGCAATGTTGGAGGCGTAGTAGATCGGCATTTTCTGGTACTCTGGGTGCTTGCTCCAGTACTCGTCCAAGATGAGCAGCAGCTCTTGGGCTCGACCCAAAGCGAATACAGGAAGCAGCGCGCGTCCGCCACGGTTTAAGATCGATGTGATAGCTTTCATCAGTGCGGCTTCGCGCTCCAGGCGTGGGATATGCGATGCGATACCGAACGTCGATTCGGTGATTAGCACGTCGACCTTGACGTTCTTTGGTACTTCAGCGGAGATCAAATGCCTGTCTTCCTCTCTCGAGTAGTCACCGGTAAAGAGGATCTTGAGACCGGCAATCTCAATGAGGAACATGGCGGCGCCGAGGACGTGGCCCGCAGGATATGGCGTGATGCGGATGGAAGAGATAGTATGGGTGGTGTAGTAGTCGATGGCCTCGATTTGAGGAAATGTCGAGAGGTGATCGGCTTCGTTGTAGAGCTGGATGCGGGATTCTGAGGACGAGGAAATGTTGCCCACACGGACGCTGTCCTGGATAAGCCATTTGTAGATGGCTTTGGTGGGGTGCGTCATGAAGACGCGGCCTTTGAAATTCGTCTTAGCTAGGACATATGGTAACGACGCTGCGTGGTCGATGTGGAAACTACAAGTCCGCGTTAGCTTTGGTTCTGCTGAGGAACTTGCGTGCTGTCGCGGGGGACGGGTTGGCTATGTACATGGACAGGCCTAGGGTCTAATACGTTCAAGTATCATCACCACGGCATATCGGTCGGACGCGCAGAAGAATAGAGTTCCATTGATGTTCATATACAGTGGTGGTAATACAAGGTAGCTGGGAGAAGAACCACACATCGCAGAACGGGCTGTTCATCGTATCCGCCCTCTTTGCTCATCGACAGGGCATGCGGTAGACCAAGCCGTGCCCGCTGCGGTGTAATCGACACGGTGTATGGTATCAAGTAACGACTGGCACGTTGTGCAATGAAGAAAAGGGCTGCTTACTGGCTGATTAGAAGGACGTCAACTTGGCTCAGGTCGAACTCGTCGTAAAAGGGCAAGGCGGCCAGGCCATCGTAGGCCGGATGCATTCCAGCATCAAGCTGTTCCCTCATCAGCACATGGCCCTTGCGAATGCGAAGAGAGCGCCTTGCATACCATGACCGTCTTTCCCTTGTATTGTATGATATGGCTGGACCGGCCAACCTCGTTGCCACCGCCCAGGCAGTAGAAGAGCAGCTCGTCGGCAGGATCTATGGGCTCCTCGTCACCTGGCGCCATCGCGGCGGCCTTTCTCTTCGCAGCCATGGCGAAGGCGGGTGGTCAGGTGGCGTGGACGCGCAGCGACGTGAGGATAGTGGGCGCGACGATGGGAGGTGGCCGTGATTAGCAAACGATACAGCGTCGACGCGTCGAATGAAAGGACGGTGGATGCGGAATGGGAGCTTGCGCGCGGGCTCTTTCCTCACGTTGGCCGGGCGGTGACAATGAAAGAATCTGACTCAGGCCGCGCCGCACGTGATGGCGTGCATGATTCGCGCGCACGTGACTGGCAAGGCCGTGTTGCTGCCGCATCCACCTCACCTTCATCAGCGCATAACGACCGCATCAGCGCATAACGACCGCATCACCGCCCAACTAGACGCGCCCGCACCTCCGCCATCACTTGCGCAGCCCGCGCCCGGGAACGCCCTTGACCGCGCGCACCTATCCGCGACCCCGACCGCGAATGATCGACGACGTACGACGAGCCTAGGCGACGGAGAGCAGAGCCGGCAGGCAGGCTACGGGCAGGAGCAGGAACCGCCGAGGACCGCCTACCTACCTTCCCTCACCCACAACACGTCCTTCCCACTAGCCGCCATGGCGCAACACTTGCCTCCTCAGATGCCGCCCCAGCGGCCCTACTCGCCCTACCCGCCCACGGCAAACTCACCCATTCAGACGTCCATGCAGACGTCGCCTGGTGGAATGCCGCTGCCACCCAACAAGCGCCAGAGGCTCTCCCCTAACCCCGGTATCCCCGGCTCGCCGTATCCGCATACCATCACTTCTCCGTATTCGCCCTACGCCTCGCTCCCCGGTACGCCTGTGCAGGCGCACGCCCCGCTCGGCTTCAACCAACCGCAGTCGCCCATGGACCAGGGCTACAACATGCCGCCACAAGCTCCTCCTCCGCAAGGCCTGATGGGGCCGCCGCAGCGCCCCGCTGAGAAGGAAAAGAAGCAGGAAGAACGGCCGGACAAAGCGACGGATATCAACGATCTTAGTGATGTCATTGGTGCATCGGGCATTGACCTGAGGGAAGAAGAAAACTACTTGGCGCAAACCTATCAGAACCAGCACCAGAATGCTTCCTTTTCGTCGTCTTTTGCGCAGTCGCCGGCAACCCTCTCTCCGAACAACAGCTTCAACGCTCTTTCTCAGGGCAGTTTTGGCAGCTACGGCGCGTTCCAAGGCTCGGGACCGGTGAGCCAGCCTACTGTCCCGCAGAAGACGGTCGAAGATGAATTGTATGAGAAACACAAGGCCGCTGCGCGTGCGCTGAGCGAGCGGTCGCAACGAGAGCTCAACGATCCGTTCTTGAGAGGAAACTGCGTGCGACAGAAACTTGGCGGGCGCGCATATGAGCATGGCGTCCAGATCAACGTGGAGGGACTCTTTGATAAGCTTCCGGATGCCCCCCGCGGAGTCAATGCCACGCAGGCCAAAGGTCCGGATGGTTCAGGAATGGTCAAGGCGCAGGCACAAGCGCTATTGGATCATTCTGCGCCGTTCGCTGAAATCCTCTCACTTCTCTCACTTGCTACTAAGGAGAGATTACGCGGCGTCATGGAAGACTCTTATGCGCTTTCCAGAGCTAGGCAACTAGGCACTCACGGTACCGTCCCCCCGGACTTCTCGAACATCGCCGTGGGCCACGATGCTTCTCAGCCCCAGTCCACTACCCAAGTTCCGTCTTCTGTCACCAAGTCTTCATGGGACCAACCCGATAGCGCAATCAGCCCCACTACCGTGCCTGTCAAGCGTAAGCGATATTGTTTTTACATGAATGGATATGATTCTAAACCCACTATAGGTTCTCTTGACTCTGATGCTCCGAAAACTGACCCTCGCCTCCCTACGCCTCCAACCGAAACCCCGCCATCGCCCCAACCTACGATTGCCTTCAGTTCAACGCTTGTGCCGACTCTGAAGAAAATTCAACAGCAAGAGCGAAAATGGGAGCAAGAACGCGTTGCGAAGCGCCAGAAACGTCAAAAGAGCATCTCGTCTGACACGCCCATTGACGGCAAGATTTCCCCCGCGGACCTCATCGCGCCGACGAAAATGACGAAAAAGGAGCGCGAGCGCATCGCCAAGGCCGGCCAGACGGACGAAGTCTTGCACAAAAACGCCAACGCAACAGCAAACATGGCCGTCGGCGGCTTCGGCAAGAAGTACAGCTGGCTCTCGGGTGGTTCATCTGGCGCTTCAACACCGAGGATCAACACGGCAGTGGGCGGGAACACGGGCGGCGGCGCGGTCGCCGCGGCGACGAACGCTTCGAGTGCACAGGATAGGGGCCTTATCAGCAGAGACAGGAAGTGGGGCGAGTGGCGCGAGGATGGGGTTAAGGGACAGGGGATCCAGATTCGTGATCTGGTTGCGGCGCTGGAGGCAGATGACCGGGAGAGGAAGACGCTGGCGCGGGCGCTGGTGCGGCTGAAGAGTGATTCCTGAGCGGGTGGGCCGATGGCAGGCAGGCGCGTTGGGAGCTAGTGGCTGCAAGAATTGCACACGAAGAGGCAAGTGGCGTGGCTGAGGCGCTCCGATGAAAACAACAAAGTCAGCGAACCAAGCGCGCCAGCCCGGACATGCTGATTGCAGGAAAGGAAAACACGGAGAGCAGCAGCAGCAGCAGTCAGTCAGTCCGGAAGTCAGCGAGCCATACAAAACGAACAGGACAAGCCGACAACCAGCCATGCACTGGAAGGAAGGATTTTCAACAAAAAAGCAAAAAGAAAAACGATGCACATCTTTACTCTCTCCCCCACACCCTTTAGCGCCGCATAGGGCGTTTGGTTCTATCGAACTTTGGGCGTTTTAATCAGCAATTTAGCATTTCCGGAAATGGGACTATCACGGTGGAGGGAAAACCAAGGGGGGTGGGCTGGTGGACGGAGGCGGGTCGGCGTGGGATAGGGCGGTGGGGAGGGATTGGCGGACGGGTGTGTGCATGCGTGCGTGCTTCGAAGGTCCTGAGGGGCTTTCTGGCAGGCTGGCAGACAGGCCTGAGCTGGCGTGCGTGTCCTCATGCGTGAATGTGCGTATGTGGAGAGCTGGATCAGGCACCGGTCAGGCATGGGCATTGCGTTTGCGGGGCTGGGCAAGGCTTTCTTCTAGCGCAGGCGGCGAGCAGACAGGCGCAGATGGCTGCACATGCGGATATGTAGACGGGGAGGGGAGGAAGTGGAAGCCGCCTGTCGCGGGAGCAGTGGCGCGCAGCGTCACATCACTACCTAGCTCCCTGCGTATGTACGTACGTCTGCGTGGTGCTGTGCTGTGCTGTGCTGGCTCAAGAGCAAACGAACAGAAAGGAAGGAAGCAAACTGCTCGAGCTTGCTTGCTTGCTTGCTGGCTGGCTTGCTGGCTTGCTGGCTTGCATGCATGCATCACGAAGCACCTGACTCATGACTGAAGACTTCTTTGCTCTGTCTTGCTCTTGCTGGTTCTGGCGTGCTCCCTGTGGTGTGCTTGGTTTTGCTTTATTTTGCTTCCGACGCCTTTTTGCTACCTACCTACTCCCTGCCTGGGTACGTATGTAGTCTGTAGTCTAATCTAGGACACTGCTGGAGCATTGCTGCTGCTGCTGCTTGCATGTGAGTGAGTGAGTACACGTGTGTGCGCTTGTACGATACGCTTAACTATACCATAGGATACTTGGACAACTGGTACATAGCTAGCTACTGTTGGTAGGCGGGCGAGTCACGAGGGCTGGTGCCTGGCTCGCCCGCGTGGTGTACTGTACTGTGGCCGCGCTAGTGCACGCGTGCGCCGCGGTTCGCGAGTGCGTACCTAGGTACTGGACTGCGTACTACGTCGTGCAGTGCAGGTGTACTGTACGTATATAAAGAGCAGGTAGGGCGGTTTTTCTGTCTACGAGCCGCCTACGTCGTTGGCTCGTCATGTGGTGGGTTGGGCTGGCTTTGGTGGCGTGGTGGAGTGTTGGCGCTGCGGATGCGGTGCCGAATCCGCTGGACAAGAGCTTTGATGAGGCAGTGGAGGATGCGTTGAGCTTCTTTAATGTGCCGGCGCTGTCGATTGCCATTGTGGATGGGAACGAGACGTTTGCGAAGGTGAGTGGGGAGGAGTACCTTATGATCCATCACTGACAGAACTCCAGGGCTACGGGACCGCCGTCTTCCCTTCGACGCCTGCAACGGCCGACACGCTATACTATGTCGGCTCGACGACGAAATCCTTCACTGCGGCCGCGATGCTTCTCCTGATAGAAGACTCGGCCAACAGCAGCAGCCCGCTCAGCCTGACGACGCCCGTCTCGGAACTGATCCGCGCCGAGTTCGTCCTCCCAGACGAGTATGCCACGCGCAAGGCCACGCTCGAGGACCTCCTCACGCACCGCACCGGCATGCCGCGCCACGAAATGTCCTACGGCGGCCCGCGGCAGCCGTCGCTCAAGCAGCTGGTCCGCAACCTGCGCCACCTGCCCATGACGCGCGACCTGCGCGCCGAGTTCCAGTACTGCAACATGATGTACGGCGCGCTGTCGTACGTGATCGAGCAGCTCGCGGGCACGTCGCTGGCCGACTTCTTCCGCCAGCGCATCTGGGCCCCCCTCGGCATGCACAACACGTTCCTCTCGCTCGCCGACGCCCAGCGCCACGCCAACGCTTCCCGACTGTCCCGCGGCTACGCCTTCGACAACGCGACACGCGCGTTCGTGCCGACGCCGTACATGGACAGTCCCGTGGTCGCGGGCGCCGCCGCCGCCATCAGCTCCGTCACCGACTTCGCGCGCTACCTGCGCGCCCTGCTCGCGCGGGACACGCGCTTCCTGACGCGGGCGAGCTACGGCGAGCTGCGGACGCCGCGCCTGCTCGCCCCCGAAACGGACCTCACGCCCGGGGCCGGGCCCTCGGCGCGCGCGGGCGGGGACTACGCCCCCTTCTCCGGGCCGGGGCTGTACGGGCTGGGCTGGATGCAGCAGAACTACCGCAACGCGACGCTGGTGCACCACAGCGGCGGCGTGACGGGGTACGGCGCGCAGATGGCGTACGTGCCCGCGCTGGGCTGGGGCGTCGCGCTCATGGCGAACACGGAAGTGACGGGTTTCTTCGCGGCGACGGCACTGCTGTTCCGCTTGCTGGACGAGCGGCTCGGCGTCCCCCTGCACGAGCGCTTCGACTGGCAAGCCGAGTTCGCGCAGGCATTGCAGCGCAAGCGGGACGCCGTGGCCCGGACGAAAGACGCGCTCTACCCCGGCGCTGCTAACGCTACGACGCCCTTTGCGCACGCGCACGCGCTCCCGCTGGCCGCGTACGCGGGCACGTACGCCAGCCCCGGCTACGGCAGCGTCGCGTTCGCCGTCTCGGACCGCGTGCAAGGGGGGCGCTTGCTCGCGAACGTGGAGGACCGCGTCTGGCCGCATCAGATTGAGCTGGAGCATGTGGCGGGCGAGCACTTTGTCGCGTGGGCGAATGCGTCCAAGGACTCGCCCAGCGCGCTGTTCCTGGGCTTGGCCATGCGCGCTACCTTCCGCGTGGGTGGGGATCGCGTGCCCGTCGAGCTGGGCTTGCAGTATGAGGAGAAGATGGGCGATGAGTTGATTTGGTTCCGTAGGGTCGAGTAGCTGAAGTGAGTAACTGGAAGGCAAATAAATCATCTTCGCGCGGAGGTTGTTCTTGTATAGCTATGAGTCTATAGTCAACCCGTTAGCTAGATTAAAGCCATTGTAGATTCACTCCTGGCCCCTAGTGTTAGCCGTACAGTAACGAAGGGGAGCTTGGTGTACTTACACTCTCACTGTTGCACCTTCCTCCATTATTCGGTGGCTGAAGTGAAGACTTACACGGGCAAGACGGCGTAGCCACTTGCTACACTCCGGTCCCTTGCGATTACCAGACCGCACAAACACAAACAAGGCGCCAAGCCGTCTCCCCAGCCAGCCCTACTCAAGCCAACAATCCGCGAGCACTACAGTAGAAGCGCCGTTAGAACTCAGTGCCTATCTTAGTGGGATGGGGACATGATTTCAATCTCATTTCCGGCCATGCTTATCCTGCCTTTCTCTGGACAGATCCTCTTGCATCTGTCCAGGTAGTTAGTAGTAGAGCCGGGGGCATATGGCTCGCTTTCGCAAAACTTGTTGGGCAGTGCTTGCAGGCGACCCGGACCGGCGTCTGCTTCCCACTGCTGCCAGCGTGGAAGTGATGGCTTTGAGCGCGAAACGGAGATTTCTTTCATACCGTCTGCACGAACTAAACAGTCAGGCCTCAGCTAGATACTGTACACATCCGCCGCTCCCATAAGCACAACCATACATGGCTGCCCCAGTATCCTTCCTAAACCACAAGTAAGCGCACACCAACAACAAGCCGTTCACACCCACACGCCACACCCACACTCACGTGCACGCAGCAGCAGCAGACGCCGTAGGAAGGCGGCACACGTGCACCGCAGCTGTGATGCATCGCATCAAGGCGGTCGATACCTACCGTAAGCAGCGCTTGCGGTGCAGGGGTCCAAGGGCCAGGGATCCAGGGCGCATACAGTGCCCCACCTACCACAGTATAGGAACCAAGGCAGCGGGCTGCTGCCTGTGCCTGTGCCGCAGCCAGGGTTATGTTGGAGTCAGCAGCGTGCAGCCGAGATGGGGCTGAGCCGAGGTTCCTAGGTACTACGTAGACCATCAGCGGACGAGGCGTTAGGCTGGCTGACCGGCTGACAGCCTAACAGACAGGCAGACCAACCGAATCGGTGATTAAGCAGGCAGATAAACTGACATACCGATAGATAGGTAGACAGGTAAGCAAGCACAAAGCAGCCAGAGCCATTAAGATTAAGCGGAATAAGCCGCGGCGCCCAACCCAGACAGGCAGGCAGGCAGGCAGGCAGGCAGGTAGAGCGCAACCACCACCAGCACCAACAACAACCATCAGCACCCAGCAAAGAAAACCAGACAGACAGCCAGACAGACAGACAGAGAAACAAGCATTCATATCTACATTTCCCCCCACCCACACCCACACCCACACCCCGCGCCAGAGCCCCCAGGTAGGTAGGTATTTAGGACCTCAGCATCCGCAACCGCGCGCAAAGCGACGCAAAGAAAGAAAGAAAGAAGGAAGGAAGGAAGCCCAGCAGTAGGTAAGTAGGCACCTAGGCGCACACGCAGCGACGACGACAAGAAAAAAAACGAAGCTTCGATGAACAAAAACAAGAACAAGACTGGTCAAAAAAGCGAGAAGAAAGAGAGAAGACCAAGTCGTAGAAGTGGAGAAGAAGAAAGCGCAAGAAGTAAAAGCTTCCTAGGTAGAGACAAGAATACGCCCTATGCATGGATTTGTGAACCGCGTACCTAGACAGATGGACAGACAGACAGGGTCCGTGGCGTTTGTTGCGTTGTTGTTGTTGTTGTTGTTATTGTTGTTGTTGTTGTTGTTGTTGTTGTTGTTGTTGTTGTTGTTGTCCTTCTGTTCGTCTACTCCTCTGCTCCTCTGCCCCTCTGCCCCTCTGCCCGTCCGGTCATGCCTGCGCTGCGTACTGCACGCAAGAGCCCTATCGCGTGCGTCTGCAGCAGCAGCAGAACGTCCATACACACCTACGGAAACAGCCGACCGCACCGCGACCATCCATCCCATGAGAGTCGGAATCCGGACAAGCAAGCAGGAAAAGAAAGCAGACGGGGCGGGAATAAAAAAGGAAAGTATGAAAAAAAGCGATGTGATTGCCAATGACCTCGCCGCCCCACCCTCGCCCGCTCCATGTCCCGCGCGTCAGAAAAATAAAAACAGAGATGCAAGATGCCTCCCCACGCGTGCCCGCGGTCTTTGCATGCAACGATCCGGCCGCAAAAACAAAACAGCGACGACGTTTGTTACAAAGCGCCCCAGGGGAAAAAACTCAAAAAAAGGCCCGACACCGTCGCAGAGTCCCGGTCGGCGAGGAGGCTCGCGGTCGCGCTGTATTCACTCGCTCGCTCGTAGGCTCCGTCCTCGCGAGGTGCTTTGTTTCCCCCCACCAGAGAACCCGGACAAGCTGGCCGGCCGTGCGTCCTCGAAAGCTCTCGCGCCCCGACCATCCCAGCCCCAGCCATTCCCCGCAAGCGACTCGTGTCGCGCGCACCGGCCCGATCCGCACCTACGTGCTCTTCTTCTTGGGCAGTCCGAGCCTCTTCCTCTCCATGATATCACCCTCCGCGAGCCACTTGCTGGCCTTGACCATCTGCACCACGTTGATGAACTGCTTGAGAGCCATGCCCGGGAAGCTGACGGCGGCCAGGACCCACGGGACGGTGCTGTCCATCTTATTGGCGCGGGCCATCTCCATGGCGCCGGCGGACCAGGGGCTCGTGAAGAGGACGGACGGCTTGGGCGCGGCGGGGGTGCCGGGCTGCAGCGTCGAGGGCGCGGGTTGCAGCAGCGAGGGCGTCAGCAGCGGCGAGCTGAACGAGAGGAGGTACAGCGCGATGAAGAAGAGCTCGTTGAGCGCGCAGAGCGTGAACAGGACTTTCTGCGGGGAGTGTTAGCAGCACGGTTTCTGAGTACCGCTGAGGAAGCGGTTCGGTTGTTCAGGCCTAACGTACGTTGCTCGAGTAGTACATCTTCAGCACCCAGCTCCTGCTCTCATCGATCTTCTTGTGGCTCTGGCCCGCGCCGCCCATGCTCAGCGTCGCGTACATGTGCATGTAGTGGCTAGCAAGGTCGAGCGAGATGAGACCCTGGAAGAGGATGGACCAGCGAGGGAAAGCGCTCGCAAGGAAGACAAGCAAACAGGCCGTGGTGCAGCGATCCGTCACCATGTCCAAGACGGCGCCGAACTTGGTGCTCTGCTGGAAATGGCGCGCGGCCAAGCCGTCCAGCGCGTCGAGCAGGCACGACACGCTATACAGCAGCGAGCAGGTGCGCGGGTGCAGCGGCATGTAGTAGAGCGACGCGACGGCGAGCACGACGCGCGCATAGCCTGTTTGCGCACAACATCACAGTCGTCAGCACAAATGCTCCCACTCTCCTCCGGCGGCGCTGGGGAACAGCTAGCTGGATGGCTTACCAATCTGGTTGGGGATGAACATGAAGATGTTCTCCTCGGGCTCGTCGGACCTGACTGTTGCGCCGGCCGGGCTGCCGTTGCCGTTGGGCAAAGCCTCTTTCTCCGACATGATGGTGTGCGATGCGCGCGTGTCTGGGTATGCGGCGGATGGGAGCGGGAGGGGAAAATTGAAGCTGCGGTGTTCAATTGCTGGCGAGCCTTGACGACGACGACGGTTGGCGGGCGGTCGATCAAAAGCGGGCTGGCGGTACGTATGCGTTGTTTGGTTGCCGGGCGACGTCGGGGCAGGTAGATGATGGATCCGAGAGCTGAGAGGCAGACAGACAGCAGATTGGTGTGTTGGGGAAGGAAGGAAAGTAGTGGTAGGTAGAGTAGTAAGTAGCGCTGAGAAAATGGCCGTGGTGGCCTGGCGATAAGGACCGTTATCGCGCAGCAGCAGCAGCAGCAGCTCAGGAGTCCCAGCCCAGCCGTGTCACTGGTCAGTGTCAATGTCCCAGCAAAAAACGCGAACGGCTCGGGATCTCGCGGAACCCGGGGAAATAATCCATCCAACACTAATCTCACCACGTCGTCGAACAATCTCATCAGCTTACGAGTTACGCCGCCCATCACTTCGCTTCGCCACAAGTACGACGCCGCGTATATTGTACCTGCACGCTGCTGAGCAAATCGTACATCATCCCTGTCACACCACCCCCGTTTTGGGTATACAACAGCCGCACACGCTCCCGCCTCGGCCCGGACGGATGCCCTGGCCCGTCGCACCTCTCACCACCTCTCTTCCCGCGCCACCGTCTCCGACTCCCGACTATCTACCTAGGTGGTACCTATTCGTCATGCTCAATTCCCTAGCTCCCAGCACGCCGCCCCGTTCGCGTCCTGGCTCGCCGGCGGAAAGTTGAATTCCCCGTTCAGCCCGAACGGATCCTCCGCCATCTCCGGGAACCCTGTGTCCCACATCATCTGATCCCAGAAGCCCGACAGGCTGCCCAGCCCGGCGGTGCCCTGCTCCCCGAGGCCTCCGTTGTGAGGAGGCGGGGGCGGCGGAGGCGGAGGCGCGGGCCAGATGCCCATGCCGACGCCCGACATCTGAGACATGCCGTTCAGCCCGCTGACCCCCGTGGGCGTGAAGTGCTGGTGCGTTTGAGGGTAGGGGGTCTGGTTGAAAGGAGTCCCGTTGTCCTTTAAGGGCGCGCGGAAGGCATCCTGTCGCTGCTGGTGGTAGTTCTGCTCGTTATGGCTGTGTTGGACCGCCATGTTGTCTTTACTCTCGGCGCCCGAGTCTGTCTCAAACATTCGTGCGTACTCGGCATGTTGCGCCCTGACCTGCTCCTCGACGCTTTCTATGTGCATCTTTGCTGCCTCGTACAGCCGAGCGATAGCATCGTGGCTCTTCTTCGCTGCAACGCTCCATTCGAGCATTCGGTCAAAAAAGGCCAGTGCCCGCTCAATTTGGGCCTTCCACTTGTTCACCTCTTCGGGCATGCTCAGAGGGTCACTGAACAATGAGATTAGCGGCACCATGCACGCTTGGAAGCAGAACCACACAGCGTTCCATCCGGAAATCAGGTCTGGTGTGCATTCGGCGCTGATGTCATCGATGTTCTGTCCTGCCATCACCCTGCACTTGCCGACGGCTACCTTTTCCTCAGCGCTAAGAGCTGCAAAAGGGGCGTGGCGGAGGGCGCTGGACAGCAACCAGGGTCGATGCAAGACGACACGCAGGTTCTGGTACCGCCATTTCATGACAGAACGAGGGACCCTCAAGAACTCTGGGCATGGCTCGTTGGTGGCCAGGATGGATGGCAGATTGTTCTGCCATGAGACGAGATCGTTGTCGATCTGGGCCAGTTCTTCAAACCTGACCACAGGCGAGGCAGCCAGCAAGTCCTGGATGCGGGTGCCAATCTTGCAGAACTCGACATTATGGACGAGTGGGAGGACACGGAGGTCGTGGACATTCTGCCGACTCATTGGCTGAAGCGAATGCGTTAGCATCGGATCAAACGCCAGTGAGGAAGGGGACTCACGTCTTCCATCACTTTTCCCGGCGTCAAGACCGTAACTGCAGAGCAAACTCTCCCTAAACTCGGCTTGCTCGTTGTGGTGCTTGCCCACACGTCAAGGCAAAATAAACTCCACCACGTCCTTCTTCTTGTCTCGGCTATTGCTGCATCAGTCTTCAGCCCAAGCATTCCGTTCCCCTTGCCCTCGGCGGCCGAGCTCGAGTATTCTCTATGCAGCCCCAGACCTGTTGCCATGCGTAGCGTGGCACCCATCAGGCAGTTTGCCTCGTTGGGGCGGTTCAGGTAGTGCATGTAATACCCGCTCATCATTCCCATGGTTTGGCAGACTTCCAGGTTCCCGCTGCCGAACGTCTCGAGGCTGACGTGCCGCCGTGCTCTTGTGAAATAGGTGTAGTGGTCTCCGTTCCTTGCGTTAGAAGAGGCTAATGAGCCAAGCGCGAACACCATGTTCAGCAATGCCAGCCATGGCGGATCGCAAAGGTTGCCGCGGCGGTACGACGTGCGGAACTTTGACTCGTCGAGCATGGGAAGGAACGGATGGACCTTTTCAAAGTACTGGTCTATCAAGTCCAGACCGACCTCGACGTTCGGCAAAGCATTAGGCTTGTCGTCGATTAATTCTGGCGGCGGGGTGCCACTGCGGCTGGGCAGTGCCGTCTCGTTGCCCTTGTAGTCGATATAAGGCCTGGCGATGGGCGCGATGCGCACAATGACCTTGAGCGCGGCGGTGATGGAAGAGACGCCGACGTACGAGGAGGGGCGGTCGACGGACATGGAGAGGCCATTGACATCGTCGGAGATGCCCTGGATCTTGATCTGGTGCTTGCGGGCCTCGTCCCATTCCGGGTCCTCGTCGGGGGCAGCCTCCAGGGCAGCCTCGAGGCTCTCGGCCTCATCCGAGTCGGGGGCGGGCTCGGAGAGGGTGTGGGGCGCGGAGAAGGTGGGCGAGGTGGCCGAGGCGGCAGGCGAGGTCAGAGCGAGATTGAGCAGCTCCTCGCGCGGCAGCGAGGCGAGGGCGTCGATGTCCTTGAGGGGGAACAGGCGCTCCAGCACCAGCTTGTACTGGTCGATCTGGCCCTGCAGGCGGTCCACCAGCCTGTTGCAGCAGCGCGCAAAACGTGAGCAGCCAGGTCAGGTCAGGTCAGTGGGGCTAAATAAAGACTTACTTGCGCGAGGGGACGATGCGCTGAGCCGGCTTCGAGTAGCTGCACGCCTCCGGGTGCTGATACCACAGACACTGGCCACACGGCTGGGTGCCGTCACACCGAATCTTGCGCCGGCGGCACTCGACGCACGCGTTGCTCGTCGAGATGCGCCGCGAGCCTCCCGAGCGCACGCTCACGGGCGGCTTGTTGTTTGTGCCCTCGGGCGCGCCAGCGCCGCCTCCGCCCGTCGCCGCGGCCTCGCCCGCGCCCGGCGACTTGAGGGCGGCGGAGCTCTGGAACGTGTGGAACATTCGGCAACTCCCTTCCTTGTGGTGGTGTTGGGGGAATGCTCGAGGGATGGTGTTTGTGTCACGACGGCTTCATCCCGCGACGATGACGACGTTTTAAAGACGAAGGAGTGAAAAAGAAAAGACGCAGCTCGACGACGCAGCTCGACGCAACTTATTGAAAAATCTCAGACCCATGACGGCCAAGCAGGTATTGCTGTAGAAATTTAGTTCCTTCCCCCAGATCTACCCGCCCTTTCTGTTGCCTCCCCCGCACCGCGCCATCGCGTGTCAAAGCCCGAGAGCGACCGGGGGGGTCCGCCCCAACCGGCCGTCTGACTTGGGGGCCGGGAGGCATTGGTGGATTTGCCCCCTCACCTTTTGCGGTGCTTATTGTCCTCGCTCGCAACCAGAATGCTTTCTTGCAGATTCTGCAACAAATCACCATCGCAACCCTGTGCCTTTTCCGTAACGTTGATTATAGCCGTCATATGCTTGGCGCTGGCCTACCTACGAACCACCGCTACCCCTCACCTCTCTTTGCGCGCGCGCCGCCCCCGGCTCCAGCCGGTCCCTCCATCGCTCCAGCTGAGCATATCAGCTCATCCGCACACCACAGGCCCAGCCTGCGCTACACCCATACCGTCAAAAGGCTCTGCATGTCATGCGCTCCGGCTATCAAGTCTGACCCAGGTACCTCCACCGCAGCGGTGCGTGGCTTGCGCCCAATCCCTTGACCGTGACGACCTGCTCGTCCCCCGGCACCACGTCGATCGCGCTGTCGTCGACGAGCACGCCCTCGCGCTCCTCGAACACCAGGCCCTTGGTGGGTTTGGCCGCCGTGACGCGCATCCGGCTGCCCTCGCGCGCGACCTCGACGCCGCGGTCGTCAAAGTCGAGGTACTTGAGCGGCTGGGGCCAGTCGGTATCCCTGCTGACGATTTCGCCGTCCACCCAGATGCGCGCAGCCAGCACATGCGGCTCCTCGTGGCTGTTGTCGATGGTGCCGGAGAGCAGGTCCGTCGTGCCGTTAGCGAGGATCGTGACGTCCCTCTTCACCACCGCCGCCTTGATGTCCCTGCCCGTCGCGATGGAGACGAAGCGCAGCTCGACCGTCGCCTGCACCTCTGCCGCCCTGCTGCTCGAGACCCAGACCTCCCAGCCGCTCGTCTTGGCGGGGCGCGCGTGCACCACGCTCCAGTCATGGTGTGCGCGCTTGACCGCCACCGCAATTGGAGCCAATACCCTGCGCATGGCATAGTATGCAGGCTTCTTGCGCTGGAAGTAGTCCACGATCGACCACGACGTTACTGGCCAGCAGTCATTAAGCTGCCACACCAACGCCCCACCGCAGAACCTCCGCTGGCCCCATTGGCGCCTCCACCCTCTGTATCCGAACATCAATGCTTCGGCTTGCGACAGCTGCGTCAGATGTATGAAGCCCTATGCCTGTCAGTCACACGCCCAATATCCTGCCAGTCTGTGACACCAACCTCCAGGTCTGTGACTGTGCGAAAGTTCTCCACCAAGTATGTCGCGATCCTTCGCTCATGTCCGTCGGCCTTGTTATGGAAGTCAAGCATGTGGGATTGAGGAAAAAGCTGCGACTCGTCCGTAACGTAATGCTTGATCGTGTCAATGTGCGGGAATGCCTCCATGCCAAACTCACTGTTGAAGCGCCCACCGAGCGTGTCGAAAATTTGGTATTTTTCTTGCGTGCCATGCCATACGTTCCATTGATGCATGTCGCCCAGCGTGGGGTTAGAGCTCACCAGTCCATCTCCCCATGGGGAACCAGGATGGTAAGCCACATGCGGACTTTCCGCCTGGACAACTTCGGGTAAAATCTAGAATGCAGCGCGTTAGCAGTGTCATACGAAAACCTTGCCCTGCCGTTTCTGTCACTTACCTTCTCATAAATATAGCGTGCTGGGAAATCTGTCTTCAACCAGTTCTCCGGGTCCTTGTCCGCGTAGTCATACGTCAGACCGAACTGTTCCTGAACCTGATAATCTTCGTTGTTCCCTGCATATATGACAATCGCGGGATGGTGCCTGATCCGCCTGACGTTGGCAACCGCCTCTTGACGGATGGATTCCCGCATTTCCGGAAAAGCAGGGTAGTTGCCACACCCAAACATGAAGTCCTGCCACACGAGAACACCAAGCTCGTCGCAGATGGAGTAGAAATCGTCAGTCTCCCAAATGCCGCCTCCCCAAACCCGGATCATAACTTGGTAACCGTCAACCATCATATTGAGCCATTTTCGGTATCTCTCAGATGTGATCCGAGGAGTGAAGCTGTCTGCAGGAATCCAATCGGAACCGCCGCAGAAAATGTCAATGTCGTTGATGCGGAAAAAGAACGTTTTGCCAACATCGTCGGGTTGTTGCACGAGCTCCGCTTTCCTGAAACCTACCTTTTGTTTCACGGTATGCAGGCCCGCATCGCCGGTCGAAACAGCGGCACTCACGTTATATAAAGGCTGAGCACCATATCCGTGAGGATACCAAAGCTTGGGGTCTTGGACGCGGAACTCTGCTTTCGCCACCCCGTCCGCATCGACATCCGTTGTCGCATTGAAGACGACTTTTCCATCGATTTCTGCGCTGAATTTCACGCTCTTGCCAGACTTCCCTTCCACGAACGCCGTGATGGTGCCGTTCGCGGATTTCAGGCCTTCTTCGAGCTTGTAGTCAAGACGCAAGTCAGAGATTTTGGCCTGGTAGGTCTCAAGGCGTACTTCTTTCCAAGGTCCGCAGGTGATCAATACCGGACCCCAATCCCAACCACTATCCTTGTCAGCGATGTATGCTTCACTCCATCACTGCGCAGCGATGCTTACAAGTGGTACTGGGCCTTCCTGACAGCCAACCGAGCCATGTCTGCATTGAAGCCCACCCATTTGTGTTCAGGATGCGCATCCTTGACCTTCTTCGCCTCTGCCAGGGCAGGCAAGAACACAATCTCCAAGGTGTTGTCCGATCCATGCTCCAATTGGCTCGTTACGTCTACCCGATGCGGGACGAACATGTTATCGCTGGTAAGGATCGTCTTTCCATTGAGCTTCACCGTCGCGTAGGTGTCCAGGCCATCAAATGCCAGGAACGTGACAGTGCCATCTTGAGCGGGAGCTACGTCTGGAAGCTTGGCTCTGTAGACCCAGGTCTTCTCAGCCACCCATTCGGCGTCGATCTCGTTGAAGCCAATGAAGGGGTCCGAAATTCTGTAGACTATGTGTTAGCCAGCCCTAGCTTTGTTGAAACACCACACCACAGCATACTTCTTGTTGTAGATCAGATCCAAATGCACATTCGTAGGCACCGAGGCAACTGGCAGCCATGCATCGTCTGGTTCGTTTTCCTGCTTGAAGGACCATCCAGAGGTCAGTTGCTGTGCGGTCAGCGGCTGCGCCATCAGTGGCAATCGTCGTTGATTGAGTGATGGGACACAACCATCCCGAGCTCACTCGAGGGGGAATGACCGCCGATCTTATGGTCGAAGCCGCCGCAGTATCCGCGACTCGCGGACCTTCCATTAGTCGGTTCGGACACGGCAAACGCGTGAGTGCAACAGCCGGAGCACCGGCTGCCGTGACTATTTGTCGGATGCCATTACTGTGGAATGGCCCATTGAGGAACACGAGAGCAGGTGGTGGTGTTGCGTCCGTGTCGAATCGGGCTTGGTGAGGGCGCCAACTGCGGGGAGCTTGGGGTTTCAAGTGGGCCTTACCGCGTAATCTCTGCCTGGAGCAAGGAAGCCCTTGCTAACCAGAGATACAAAGCATTGAACATTCGCTCTTTCTGTCTATCTGTTGGCGGGCTTTCCGCTCCGTGTGCTATGGACCTCGACTGAGTGCGCTTCCGTCAGCGGACGAGCGCTTCCGAATGCCGTATTCGACGTAGCCTAGACCACCAAACGGCGAGAATCCAGCATCACATACATCACCTCCCTTGTACGATGAGGAATCGACGCCACATCGGCTGATAACATGTCTCGGGAGGCCTTAAACAACGTGGCAATAGGTAGGTACTACTGAAGTACTGAGTACAAAGGGTATCTAATGCGGTAAACCGACAAATCCGCCATAAACCAAGGAAAAAAGTCTAGCGGGCACCAGGCCGCTGACAGCGTGTCGCTTTTCTAACAGAGCAGGGCTCCAATCGCTGAAATCATCGTACATCCCCTTCATATCTATACACACAAAAACAAAATTAGAAGAGGATGGAAATAAAAAACACGTTGGTGGCCGTTGCGAGCAACAAACCGAGCACGCGTTGACCCCCAAGAGCGAGCATGGAGTCACCGCCGTTGTTCGTTTTGCCGCCTCCAGCCATCTCGAGGATATTAGTCGACCGTCCACTGGGGCAGAAAACGACCTCGAAACCTGCACCTGCGGGGATAATGAACGTTGATGTCTGGTCATCGAATGCTGCAAAGTATCATTGTTAACTGGGATCGCGCTTGAGAGACTTCGTAGGAGTATAAGGAACTCACCATAACTATAGGCATCCGGGCAAATAGCCTTTGCGGCTTTGGAGTAATCGCTTGGTTTGCAGGTTCCCGGGGAGTCATGTTCACCGACGCAGCAATCTTCATCCTTGTTCCATTTCGCACAGGCAGAGTAGCAAGGATCAAAGGCCGGTCGCTGAATGTTGTCATCCGGATAGGGGTATACACCATCGCCAGGCTTTTCCGGTGGGTTGACCTGAAGATTCCAGGGACACCATGAAGAAACCTGGCTGTCTGTGACGTCTCGGTCAAAGGGGAGCGGGTAAGAGCTGTTGGTACCGAGGAACAGCTGCTGGGTGTCATATGGGTTGAAAGACTTGTCGGCGAGCATTCCGGATGTGCCTTGGCATGAAGGGTTGGTGCGGTTCGGTGGGAGATCAGCAATGCTGGAGTTGCCCAAAGGCTGTAGGACAATGGCCATGGGCAAGTTGTATCCATCGACCATGGATATATCATAGTAAGTTTGCCCATCACCAGCATCGAGAGTGAACTCGGCGAGTGTCACTGGATTGTTGCCCTGCGTTTGTTAACTTGAGATCATCAACAGAGCATGGATGGTACGTACAGAAACAACGCATTCAAGTTTGGCATTGCAGTCTCCAGACCCACAAGCCGTCGGACCATCTTCCGATGCATTGCCGTTATCGTCGAAAGTGCAGTTCGTCCTTCCCCATATACGGCCTTGCCAATCCTCGGATACAGTCTGGTTCCTGCTCTCTCCGGACTGGAGGGCAAATCCACTCGAGACAGGGCCAAAACCAGATTGTGTAAGGAAGCCTGGCCAGATGGTGTCGCTGCACCAGTTTGAGACTATGAGCGGCGTGTTGTTGTCGGTTTGCTTGAGGCTACGCTGGGGGGCTACGAGCTTCATGTGATGCAGTGCACTGGCGACTGGCAGGTTTGAAAGGAGAAGCATGCTGCAGCAAAGGGCTCCCAGCCCTTTCAGATGCCGAGTATTGGAGGGTTCGCATGCCATTGTTGTAGAGCAGAAATGGGTATCTTGGAAACGAGAAAATGTAAAACAGCCAATGAGAGAGGTAGAGATCTACACGGGTTCCTGCCCGTAGTCGTGTGAAAAGCGTAGGTGAAGGCAGAGACTCGAGTGAGGGATGAGATAGAACAGCATTTTAAAGTCACGAAACAAGGATGAGGCTATAAAGCAGGAATGCCAGCTTCAGCAGGCGCGAGCAAGCAGCAGGACAGGCGGTCCGTGACATGGGGGCGGGAGAGCGGGCAGCCAATGGCCGGGACTGGCGCGCGCCAAAGATGAAACGGCTGGCGGTCTGGAATCTACGCAGCCATTCTGCTTTCTACGCAGCCGCTCCCGGCCCCACGTGCCGCCCCGCACCAGCCTCATTTTAGCGTCTCCACCACCAACACCAAGACGTCTCTCCATCACGCCGCCCAAAATGGTCGGCGCTAACGCAGACGAGACGATGAAACACCAAGCCATTCTTGTCACCATCGGCGCTTCGTCGCCGCTGGAGAAATATCCAGGTCGGTTTTCGTCCGAACTTCACCCCACGTGCCCTGTTTGCTAACGCCCATGATCAGCGAAACAGCACGCTCGCCAAGTCGCCCAGCGCCTTGGTGTCAAGGACGGCCTGATCTATCTGCCAGGTGCCCCGACCACCTACCTTGAGGATAGTGATCAGTTCCTGCCGTTCCGTCAGCGCCGCTACTTCTATTATCTCTCAGGGTAAGCTGATATATCGATGCTACTTGAGGGGGTGAGGCGCGTCAGTCAGCGGCATCATGTAAATCTTGATCTTGACATGAAGTAACATATTTTCAGTGTCGATGAACCAGACTGCCACCTCACTTACGACTTCCGTCTGGACCAACTGACTCTCTACATTCCCGAAATCAACCCCAGGAAGGTCATCTGGAACGGCCGTGGATCAACTGCCGAAGAGGCTCTCGACAAGTATGACATTGATAAAGTGTCTTGCTCAAGTGAAGTTCAGGACTTTGTCGGAGAATGGATGGCGACTAACAAAGGCGACGTCTATATCCTTCATCCAGACCAGGCGGCAGAACCCGGACAGGACAAGTCACCTCGTGTCAACTACACCAAGCTTAAGGTGGCCATTGATACGGAGCGTGTCCGCAAGGATCCTCACGAAATTAAGCTGATCAAACATGCCAATGCCGTTAGTGCGAAGGCTCACCGTGAGGTGCTGGCAAGCCTGTCTAGGTTCAAGAACGAGGCCCAAGTGGAAGCCAGCTTTCTGGACACATGTATCGCAGAAGACGCAAAGCACCAATCGTATGAGATCATAGCGGCCTCCGGAGAGAATGCCGCCACCCTTCATTACGTCAAAAACGATGAGCCATTCGGAAACCGCCAGCTCATGTGTCTCGATGCTGGCGCAGAGTGGCAATGTTATGCGAGCGACGTAACTAGGACCTTTCCACTTTCTGGGAAATGGCCATCTGAGGAAGCCAAGAACATCTACTACCTTGTCCAAAAGATGCAGTCCGTTTGCATCGAAGCAATTCGTCCCGGTGTTAGATTCTTAGACCTTCATTATATGGCCCACAGAATCGCTATTCAGGGCATGCTTGAACTTGGAATTTTCCACAATGGAACTAAGCAGGAAATCTTCGATGCCGGCACCTCACTTGCTGTCTTTCCCCACGGCCTTGGCCATCATTTAGGCCTTGAGGTCCATGATGTCTCAGACGTTCCACTGATGACTGCAGAAAATTTTGCTCTTGGACTTCCTGTATATGATTCAGAATGTTGCAAAGCTCCTGTGCATCCATACAGCGGCGCTTTAGAGGAAGGCATGGTAATTACGGTAGAGCCTGGAATGTAAGTGATCTGGCGCTTCCAACCAAGTGAGCGAGCGTGCCGCCAGTACTAAAGAAACTCAGTTACTTTTCACGCTATGCCCTCAAGAAGCTCTACTTCACCGACCCGACTCATTCCAAGTATATCAACAAGGAAGTCATTGCAAAGTACCTTCCTGTTGGCGGAGTACGCATCGAAGACGATATCCTTGTCACCAGCAATGGCTATGAAAATCTCACAACTGCTCCCAAAGGAGAAGAGATGCTCCGCATTGTCAACGAGGGCTTGAACTCAAACATCCACAGCAACAAGGAACCAGGAAATGGCCACTTGTTCCAAAGTGTGAACCACGACTCGAAGAAACATACCTGTGATTCGAACACAATCTTACCATCTCACGGACAACGCAAGCGCTTTTACTCGGTTGAGGATTTCGTCCATCCACATGAGTGGGAAAGGATGGCAGCACAGACGACTCGAAGACACGTAGATGAGCGCCATGTTGGTGATATCCATGCTCCGGATCTTTTGCCTATTCATAATGACTGTCATCGTTCCCATGAGTTTCTGACTGCCGAATCTGATAGTCTGACAATGAAGGACGGCCATCAGATCACAAATAACACGCAGCCCCAGGAGCTTCCCGAAAACAATACACACAATGCGGGCGTGCAAACTGGTACCAAAGCCAAGCAGGGCCACTGGAGCAAGGTCCCCGGTGCTCTTGCTCGGTATGCATCAAGCAACAACATCCGCTTTCATCTTGATAACAATGGAGGATACAACGTGGCCGGCAGAGTTACCGGCCCAGATAATGGGTACAAGCCTCCTTCGACATTCAAAAGTTATCCGCAACTCCGTTTCAAGGGACTGGAAGATTGCTGCACGCGATGTACAAGGCAACCCCCTCACAAAATGGGCTTTTGCATATACTGTCTGTTCGTCATCGGAATGGACTTGACGCAGGATGAATCGCCAGAGGACAGGAAACTGCTAGACAAATGCGAAAACCGTTGGGGCCCCATTAACCCTGCTGTACTCGAACCTCAAAATCAGCTACACCACATCACCAAGCCATTCAAGCAGCCCGACCTGCCGGCTAAAGCTCCCGAGCTGCCGTCAAAGCCGCTGGCTTATCATCATAGTTTTCAGTCACTGGTCCTACCACACCGTCATCTCGGAGCTCACGAGCGTGGTCTTTCCAACGCTTCGTTCCGCACTCCATCTCCGGCTTCGGTTGATACTCCTGGCGCCCCAAACCCGTGGGCCGATCCTGCGGTCAGCAAGTTCCGTCGAGACCGCGAGATAACACTGTTCGGTGTGGATGGAAATTCTCACCACAACTGGACGGCGGCGCCACAGCCGCTTCCTAATTCGACTGATGATGGTCGTGGGAATTCTTACGGCGGCTGTCCAACGTCTGCTTACAGGGGCTCGTATGCGGGCCCTTACACTTACTAGGCCATGTTGATACTTCGATATTCGGCGGACCGGTTCATACATATCCGTTCGGTAACCCAGCGAATGATTGGGCTCAAATAGGTACATATGATTGGAAGGTTGCATATCAGTCTTTCCAGCGCGTTGAACTTGCGATGCATCAGCTTGTTTTCTTGGCTAAGACCCCAGTTTTGAAGATAGCAAGATGGCGCATTTTTGCCTTGCGGCATATCAGTGATGTTTTTGGTTTCGCTTTTATTTTTCGTTTCCTCTCCGCTCTCTCGATTAGCACTTGCACAACGTAGCGTGGCACAGACCGCAAGGAACATAAACAGGGTCAACAGCACAAAAGAAAAAGAAATTATAACGGGTCTCATGCGGCATAACACAAGCTAAGCGGCACATCCTTCTTTTTAGACGTTTGTATTTGCGTTCGTTTTAGCTCTGCATTTTCGTAGATGATAGAACGATCGTTACTGCTGTTCCTGCGTTCTCTCAGCCTGAAGATAAGCCTAGATATGTAGCTTCTCCCTAGCTAGCAACGGGTGGACAACCCTAGTCACCATCAAACGAACGAATAAACAAACGCCCGCAAGTAACAACAAGGACGCCAAAAGGCGCTCATGTTCTCCAGTCTGCCGTGAGCGAGTAGCCATATGAGAGCGGTGAGCACAGTCAAACATTCTCTCCCAGGTCGGTAAAACACCAAAACACGCAAGATTATATCTCATCGACACCCCGCCCAAGAAGCTGCAGTATATATCAGAGGTATTCGGGTACCTAGGCATGAATTGAATCCGATAATGATCCACGGGACTGCCTGGCGTACAGTAGTGGTTTGGATAGTGGCTCTCAAAGCTCTTCATTAGCGCAGCCCTTACTGTAGCTTCGGGCTATGTACTACTAAGGGTGGTCCTAACGAAAGCCAACGTTAATTTCTCGACACGAGAAGTTCGATGGCCCCGGATAATACGCTCATTCCTTAGCGCCTCCTGACATCGTATTCATTTAAATCTACTATACCCGCTGACTACTTTGGGTAGCTGTAGACAGATTTACCTTTTTACTTGGGTAGTGTTGGGTAGCTCCGCTTATCAAGGAGATGATATAAAGAGCGAGTTGTTCTATGTACTGTACAAAAACAAGATGAGGCAAGGGTATAAGGACATGCGAAAGGCATACGAAAGCAAATATACAAATACGATGACATAAAGTCAAAAATTCAATAAAGCGCTTTTAGCTTCACGAGTTATGGTGTAGCATCACGTGGAGCATCACCAAAAAGGGCAGACAGGGTAAATTAACAACCGGCACCACGCATCAAACTACCGAAGACGACGACGCGCCCAATCCCAGGATATCTCGATAAAACAAGCAACCATCAACAACCTTGACGGGGGAACATAAAAAAAAGGAAAGAAAAAATCATAAACTCCGCGGCCGAATAAGCCCCCAAGCCCCGTGCTCCGCGCTTCAAATCAATAGTCCGCCTCGGACCCGCCCGCCGTTCATCTCTACACTGTAGCTACTACGAGAGAGGCGAAACACGCCCGCGGCGCCGAACGGCCTAGCCCGGGCGCCCAGCCCGCACGCAAGCTTTAGGGAGCATGGTGGTGGAAATTGGCGAGCTTGCGATGAGCTTGCGGCACGAGGTGATTGACGAGGGTGATGAGCGGTGCCGCGACGATGCGGTGTATGCGCCGGTGTATGTATGTGTGTGCGCGGAGATGCGGTGTAAGCGTAGAGTAGATAGAGTGGAAAAGCAGAACAGCCGTGGGCTTTTTAGTTGTGCGGGTTGTGCACGGCGCTGGAGGCCTCGCTGGGCAGCGGCTCCGCGAACCGCTTGTCGTCGTTGTAGTGCTGCTGCTGCATCGACTGCGCGCCGCGCCGGTGGCCCGACGCGAAGTTGTAGTCGTCATCGTCGTCGTCGCGCGCGGCCATTAGGACGCCGCAGTCTTTGAAGGCGGACTTTATCGACGTGAAGAAGGTTTTGAGCGGCATGGTTGGCTTTGGTGTTGATTGATTGGTTTGGTTTGGTTTGGTTTGGTGTTGTGGTGGCGGGAGGCGCCGATTGGTTCGTTGGTGTAGGATGGATGGATGGATGAACGCTTTTGGACGCTGGAGCAGTAGGCTCGATTGAGGACGGGAGAAGGAAGAACAATTGTGTATGAGAGACGAGAGTTGTTTTCTGTTTGCGCAAAGAGTAGACACCCGAGCAAGCAAGATGCGGAGCAGACCAGGAACCAGCGCGCCGGGCAAGCATTAAATAAATACCACGACGCACAGTCACAGTCAATCAATCCACACAACCCACACGCACTAACAACAGCATGTCCCTCTCCGTCTCGCCCTAACCAACTCTCCGCCTGCACCATCCAGGCCAGCGTCGGGACAAGTCGCGTCGCGCACACTGCACGTCCCCCGAGCGAACGCCGACCACCGCGGGGAAGCGTCGGCCGCGCAGATCATCACACGACGGGCGACGCCCCCAAGAGCCAGGAATGCCAGGGAGCAGCCCGCCAGCACGCCAGCACGCCAATCGTCATTCGTCAGTGTCGCTCGTCAAGGCGACAACCTAGGCCTGGCTGTCGAGGCTCCAGCTCGGCTCCGAGAGATCGCGCGCGCGCGGATTTCCCTGCCTGTGCGCCCCAGACCTAGAGCCGGTCCCGGAGCACTGGTGACTGGCGACTATTGTTGCTGTGCAGGAGGCGCGACGCTGCTCGTCCGTCCGCTGCCGCGCTTGCGATTGGCGCGCTTTGGCTGCTGCGCTGACTCCCCCGCTCTGCGGCCCCGATTCATCCCCGCGGTGGAGAAGATGCCGCTTGGCTTGGGCTTGGGCTTGGCTGTCAGGTGAGGCACGGCTGATGGGTGTGGGGGTGCTAGGTACCGGGGCGGTGCTGGGATGATGCTGAGATTCTGGGCTTTGCGGGGGTGCTTTTCGGGATTTGGTGGTAGGTATATATGGTGTGGCGCGCGTGGAGAGCTGTGGAGGTATGCGTGTACACTGCATTGATGTGGTTTGCTCATCTCTTAATAACATGTTAGGGAAAGTCTGCCATACCTACCGAGTGCTCCTTGGGTAGTTGTAGCGGGTCATTACGCAACGGTCGATAGTTGCTAGGTGACTATAAAGATAAGAATGGTACGAGGACACAAGAGTATTCGAAAAGGCATAAAAGTATAGCTATGTAAGAGGGCGAGCAGATTTGAAAAGACACGGAAGCACAGACAATCAAGAGGGCAAAGGTATCCTGTAAAGGTACGAGAGTACAAATATGCAAGGGTAAGAACGTAAGTCAGACCCATCAGAGTAGTATTACGTGGAACAGAAAACCGTGCAGGACCCTTCGATGGATTCTACAATACAACACACCACACCTTGCCTCATCGCTATCACTCGTCGCAAATACCATCACGTTCACTCACTTAGGACAGAAGCAAAGATTAAGTTCTTCGAATTCTTAGCTACGCAACATACCATCGGCATTCAAGCCCTCCAGCTGAATGCTTCCTTGGCTTTGAGCATCACTCGCTTTATGTAGGCCAACGAGTTTTGCCGACGTAAAGGCCGTGGATATCGTCCGTCGAACACCCCCCGGTAACAGAAGAGGCCGATAAAAACGCCCATGAACGCTCCCATCTCGACATCCCACCAATGGTGCCAGTGGCAGTATACCACGCTGCAACCAATCATGAGGGCGCCGAACATAGGAAGGATGACGAGGAGCTGCTTCCAGAGAGCGATGTCGTAGCCATCGTCGAAACAGTCTTGGGGTCGGAGTACAACGCTGCTAGACAGTGGTGTCTGTACTCTCTGTGCTTCTTGGCCTTGCTCGCCTATCGATGTCGTACCGGCAGCCGCTCTCGCTCCCATCATATCCAATCCGGTATCGTAAAGCCTTGGTGAGCGTGTCCCGAGAATACCAAACCGGTAGCCAAAGTACAGTGACAGGTAAGTGCCACAAGCGAACGCGGTGGCGGTATGGCCAGAAGGAAACGACTTGAGGGCTTGGTCGAGCAATGCCGGTTTAGTTTCTGCGCAGAGGACCCTTACGCGCACATGTTGTCCGCTTGTCAAGCCGGTGTAAATGGCGTCTGTTGGAGTTGGAGTGACTCTGCCGCCGGTGCATATTGAGAGTAGCCACGGACGCGGCCCACCAATGAAGTATTTGAGCATCTCGGTGAACATGACCGATATGGTGACACAGTTGCTGGCGCCGAAACACTGTTGAGAGTAGCTTAGCCAAAGTCTTGCTACGAAGGTGAAGGGTGGCCTTACCGATAGGCCTAAGTCTCTGGTGTCGCGGATCCAATAAAATGTGGCTAGGAAGACGACAGGCGGCACAAGGTATACCAACAGCCCGCATGCCAGCCACGGAAGTGTCATGGGGACCCATCGATGTGTGAGAGCGTCATAGTCGTGACTGAGTTCCCAACCACCTAATTGAGGTGAGGGCTTGACCAAAAACCATGGATCTGAGCGCGTCGGCAAGACATGAAAGGCTACTGTTACGATAGCCATGGCAATGACCGTAAAGAAATCCATCGAAGCCGCTGATGGTACCGTGGAGAACTCTGGCGGGGTTGGGGTCGAGGGCCTGTCGGTTTGAGAACGCGAGGCCATCTTTGCGGTAGTAATATGAAGAGAAAAAGAGAGAAGGAGGGAGCGTGAGCGAGGACGAAGCTGTTTGTAAAGCCGCATTTGGACTGTGGAAGGCGCGAGCCCGCCGCCTGCGCCTTCTTCGACCGCACAGCGGCAAGACTAGTTACGACGTTTGAGCCAGGGACATTTGCATTCTTTCTTTGGTGTATACAGTTAGATACTGCGTGGTTATCTGTATATCTTAATTGATATAATCTCCACGACGACGACGACGACGATGATGCCGACAATCAGTGATGGCTTCGGCCTCCAACACAGTAGCCGTCAGAGCCCTCACCGCGGTCCACACAGTCACGTCGATACATGAGGACAAATGCGAGATAAGGAGAACATGCAGCGCTATGTCACAGAGCGAGAAGCTGCTTCAGGTAGCTAAACAGAATGAACGTTTCTGCCCTGCTGATTCGAATTCGATGGTGTCGTGAAATGCATCGACGTTCAACAACCCTCATGGGTATGTCCATATAACTTTTGTGTAGTTAATTGTATGCTTCATAGGTATGTCTAGCTAACTTTTGTATAGCCGATTGTATACCTTGCGGGTATGCCTTGATAACTTGTGCATAGTCCAATGCATGCTTCGTGGGTATGCCTAGGTAAATTTTGTGTAGTCGAATGCATGCTCCATAGGTATGCCCAGATACCTCTGCATAGCGGATTGTGTACCTCAGTTATGCTCCAGATAACCTTTGAATAGTCAAACGCATGCCTCATGGGTATATCCAACCAGATTTTGCGTGGCCGTGCACAGCTTTGTTGTTGTGAAAAGAAAAATACTGTGGGCACGAGTGGACAGTGGACACCAAAGCAAAGCACGTCAAAGGAAGAGCGAATAGAAGACGGACAACATTTTAAAATTTTCGGTTCGTGGGTATCTTGGTAAAGCGGACGTAAAGGAGACCATCCCAAACTCATGAAAAAACCGTATTTTTCCTCAAGTCCATCACCATTTTTTTAAGAAATAATTTTTCCGTTTTGCCGCAATGCACCCTGTGCCATCTGATTCGCTGACAATGATTGCTTCCTACGCTCGCTCCGCATGCATGACTTTTTTCCTTCACCGCGACAACGACGCTCAAACCTGTGCCCCACACTGAGGAGGGCCAGGCGTGCATCGAGCTGCCACGAACACCACGTTTCGCCCAATCCCATCGCCATGCGGAGCCTCAAAGAGTCCCAGGGCCGAGCGCGGCGGACCGGTCCGGGTCTCCCGACTCCACCCAGCCGAGTGGAGCGGTGAGACGCCTTCCCTGCTACGAGTCCTTGCTCGGGTGATCCCATGCCTCAGAATGAGTTTCGGAGAATTTCATCATCGTCGAATGTTGTTGACGGATGCAGTTGTTGGAGGAGCGGCCGTGCCCCCCCCATTGGTGGCCGCGCAAAAGGGTCCAGAAGCGTCGAGAGCCGGGGGTAGTTTCATTTTTGATTCGTGATTGTTTTGGATGGTGGTCGATTGCCTTGAAAGGAGCGCGTGCCGGGCCCGCAACAAGGCAAAGGAGTGTTTTCGTATTGCAGACATGCGCAAAGGCTCGAAGCGCTTTAGAGGGGGTAGCACAGTCGCAGAGGAACAAGCTCGGCCATTGGAGTGTTGCGGCTCGATGCTTGGGGAGGATTGAAGTCGTGGGGTGACGGGCCGCGCGTTCAGGGATCCACGTAGTCGATGTCGTCAAAGAGATCCATCACGACCTTCAGCATCGGCGCACACAAGCTCGCCTCGTCGCCGATTTCGCCGCCGAACAAGCGCAACGTCTCTTGCTGCATTCTAGCAGGCCATGGCGAAGATGGTGGGTGCCCGGTCGTTGCGGGCGGGCAGTCGAAGCGGGATTGGTATTCCGGGAGGAGCCCAGAGCTAGGCTCTGGACGGGTTGAGTAGGACACAGTGGTGGGTGTGTAGAGCAGCAAAGAGCGCGCGCGGGCAGACTTAAATGTGTCTTGGGCGTCGTGGTTTCTAGGCCTACTCCTGGTGCGTCTTCTGTTGTGTCGCTGGCCCATGTTTCGCGGTAGTGTTCCCCGGGGGGTCTGTGGGGTGGAGAAGGGGAGGTCTGAGTGTCGGGGATGCGGCTTCTGGAAAAAGGAGGTACGAATCCTCTCACCGGTCACTCCACACGGTGCGAGGACGAGCCTGGCGGTCAAAAGGCGGGTGCACCATGGGGACGAGTTGGGCTGTTAAATACAGCCTGACGGGAGGAACGCGCAAAGAGTCACCCTGTTGTCGTGACCGGTTGGTGAGTCATTTGTCACGAGCCCTGTGGCTGACAATGATGTGCTGTGGCGTTTTCGCGGAGCAGCCCTATGCTCCCGGTGCTCCTCAAATTTTTCTCGCCAATTTCCTCCTCTCTGCCCACCTTGATGGCGTGTCTCATACGATCCTCCAAACGCCTGGTCGCACCACCACCGCGTGCCCATGTGCCCCCCCCCCCAAGCCCCCCTCAGGCCGCCTCGATTACCACACGGCAAAGCTAAACAAGCTAAAAAAAAAATTTATGCCAAAACGTCTTCGATGGGAGTCAAGGCGCGATCGAGGCTATTATTAAATTTTTACTCTTTTCTCGTCATCGACATGCTGAATGTGCGAACCCCTTCCAAGCTTCCGATCTCGCGCCGTGAAATCTCTCGCGAGCCGTGCGTCGATTCGAGACTCTTCCCGCAAGCCCGCACTCCCTGGATCGTCCCACATCCCGGTCGTAGCCGCGCACACCATTCTGGGGCCGGTCGTCGAAATGCACTCTTGTTCGAACACAATGTCCAACAACAAACAAAACCACCACGTGTGCCCATCGTGACGTGCGAAGCGTCCAGCTACGTTGATGTCATCGTCGATTTACGAATCCTGCCGTTTCATAGTTTTCTAGCTTCGTGACCGGCGCCAAAAATCGATAAACTGACATCCATGTGCTGGCACTTGACGTGCCCTCGTGCAATGTCGGGAAAAACAAGCCTCTATCGTAGCTCAGGCAACATGCCCCAGTCAGGCTCGGGCATGGCTCTCTTCTTTTTTGCTCCCGGGCGTTCGGCTGCGACCGGAGTCGTTTCAATGGCTCTTGTCGTGCCTCTACGGACCTCGCTGTAGGCCTTGTCCTTGGAGAAGATCTGGAGACCGCGGAGGTGCGTGTCCTTGCCATTCTGATGGTTCTCGAGAATTCTGATCTGGACGAGCATCGCTCTCAGTACTGGCAGCTTTCTCTTCCGCTTTGGATGGCCGTCTTCGTCTTCCTCATCATCGATCTCCTCTTCCGAGTCGGAGTCAGATCCGGAGTCATCCACGGCACCAACACCCTCGAAATCGACATTGACCCATCCTCTTGGCTCTACAAAGCTCATCACACCCCATTCCTGCAGGTCCATCTCACCCATGCCGGCTAGAAATGCGATCTTCGTCGGCGTATAGCTCTCATCTTGATCGAAATCAAGGTAGATGCGCATCGCCACGATCTCGACGACCTTGAAAAAGTGGATGTTTAGGTAATGTGGCTGAGGCCCATCAGACTGCCAGAAGAGAGACGTCGACGGCGAGCGCAGTTGTGGGACACCGCAGCCAGGCTTACTGCTTGATACAGTCCATGATGCCAGTGACGAAATCTCCTTCAGATTTTGAGGAAGTGGTGGCGTGTTGTCATCTGTGGGGGACTCTGTAACCCTAGTCAGCGGAACGTCGGGGCGGGCTCGCTCAGATTACGTGGAACAGATATGTGTAGGTATGACGACTTGGGGCAGGACGTGGCAGAAGGGCTTTTCAAGAGTCAAGAGTCTGGCCAGTCATGGCCTTGGTGTGTAAACCCGGCAGCATGGACCCTAGCCGTATGTAAAGAAAGGTGAGCAATGATAAATGGAACCTCCGCATCGGAACGCCGGAGCGACTGCATGGGCGGCGCGGAAGAGCTCTTCGGTCAAGGTACATTAGTAAGGCGTGGGAGCGCCGTAAGCGACTCTGACACCGGCAGCAAAGTCTGGGATGATGGATTCCAAACTCGGGGACGGCAACGCGTCTGACCAGAGGGCCGGATCTCATCTTGCAATCAACCTGTCGCAGATTAAGATTGATCTTGGCGGTTCGATTGCCGGACTCAAGACTGCGTGTAACAGACACGCACAAAGAATCGGGGACCTTTGGCCCATGTTTCATACGGCGATTCGAATGGCAACAATGGAAAAAGCAAATGGACCGACGAGCAAAAGTGGTGCGATAGTACAAAGCCCACGAAGAAGCGGAGGGCGTGGGGATTGGGGTGGGGGCAGAAGGGGGGACAAGTCACTGGGCTGTCAAAATCGCGCAGGCAAAGGAAACGTGTAAACGAACCTGGCTCGTCATCTTCTTCGTCGACATCGTCGTCGGCATCAGCGTCGACGTCGACCATGAGGTCCTCGAGGTCATCGTCGTGTGTCACATCGTCGAGGTCGGAGGGTGGGTCGAGGTAGTGCTGGGGCTCGGGCTCGGCTTGCTGGCGGCGACGGGTTGACGGCGGCATTGAGCAAGATTCGTAGGGTTGAGGTAAGGCAGGTGTTGGTTTGTTTTGATGGCCATGGCATGCTGGACGGGTCTGACGGGCGCTAAGAGAAGGCGTACCCGTACTTAGCGAACGCTCGATGGCTGCTTCCCCCAACCTCCACCCAACATATGTCGCTGGTCACAGACACAAAAACGAGGCATGCTGCCATGCACTGCGGCAGAAGCGTTCGGCCTCCCTTCCCAATGGCCCGCCGCCGCCTTGCCAGGGATCGCGGCGCGGGGGCCCGAAAAAACAAAACACCACCGACCCCGGCTGCTTGCCGCAACCGATGCCTTCTTCAACTCACGCGGATATGCAGCCGGGGACTCTTGCTGTCGGTTCCCTCCTCGTGCAGCCAGTGCGACACGAGGCGTCATCCCACGTTGCGCTCCCCTTCGCACGCCCTCTCCTGAGGCCCGAGAGGCGCACAGGACGAGTCCCTCGCGCGTGGCAGATGGCGGATCGGCGACAGGGACAGACGGGCAGATCAGCTATATCTGGCCCTGCTTGCCGGTATGTGAAGACCGTTGCAATTTTGATCACGAGTAAAACAGGCCGCTGTTTGGTGCGACGCCGCCGTCTTCTCTCCCGAGATCCACCTGCGTGGTTACACTGTCCCTAAAAAAGCACGCGGGACGCGCGAGGCTGCGCCATAAACGCCTGTCTGCTGCAAGGAGCGGGCTTTCGATGTAGTTGTATGGCCCGAAAGCAGCTAGGGGTCCAAGATCGTACTCCCAACCAGCCAACCATCGACTACCCACCCTCTCGGTTCACATCACCATCTAGTGCAGTTCCGTGTCCATGGACCAGTCGGGTTCAAATCTCTGCCGACACTGGCCAATTCCCGCCGCTGCCGAGATACACTGCTGCTCATCCTGTACTTTTACTTCATCATTGTCAAATGCGCTGCTTCAGCTTCTCTGATTTGCCTCTTTCTTTCCTCTACACAGCCATTGGAGAACTGACCCCCATCGCCACCTTGTGTCTCCAATCACGCTCGTATGAATGTTGTCGTTTTTCTTTGATATTTACACGCTTTTACCTCGATAACGTTCTTTGGACTGTCAATTCACTGTTCACCGGCGCATCTCCACCCGCTACCCACGTACCCAGCTTTACGGATCTCGTCCCCAGCGTCCATGAATCCCTAGTGGTAGCCTCGCAGCGCTCTGTTCGCACAGACCGTCATCATCACGCTCAGACCCTTCGACAAGCAGCGCCAGGATGGCGAATTATCACCCACTGTCAGAGACCGAGTCCAAGGCGCCCATAGAGCTGGCAGTGTGCATTGCATTCCTGGCTGTAACATGGACCACAGTGTGTTTGCGCTGCTATGCGCGTGCTTGTGTTATCCACAGTTTCGGGTGGGACGATGCTACAATGCTCCTCGCAGTGGTACGCGCTGTCTTGATCTTAAGACTACCCAATACTAACCACATGTGCATACATAGATATTTTTCACCGTTTATTGTACTGGGGTCATTATTGTTGCCTACGGGTACGGTGGCGGGACTCATACGGCAGTAGCGGGTGCTGCGATATATGTATGCCCATCCCGCATGCATCCACTCCGACTTTGAGACAAAAAACACACTGACAGGACCAGTGGATCGTAGTTAGCGAAGCATGCTACATCTCCACTACAATGCTGCTCAAAATATCCATTGGAATATTTTTCCTACGAATCATCTCCAAACCATGGCAGAAAAACCTCATCATCGCAACAATCGTCCTCACCATCATAGTCTCCGGTTTCTTCTTTTTCTTCGTCATCTTCATGTGTGGCAACCCTAAGTACTTTCTCATTAGATATGTCACGGGTCGCTGCGCGCCGCGCAGCGTGTTGCTCGCGCTCGCGTACACGCACACCATATGGAACATGGCGATAGACTGGGTATATGCATGCGTGCCGATCGCCCTGCTCTGGGGCACGACCATGGACCTGCGCAAAAAGATTACCGTATTCTTAATCCTCTTCCTCGCCGTCGTTGGATGCTCCTTTTCCACCGTCCGCATAAAGTACATCGCAGGCTTGGTCAACCCTTCAGATTTCCTCTGTAAGCGCTCCTTCTCCGCCCAAAGGCGCGCACTGCAGCGCTAACCCATTCCCCACACCAGGGAGCGCCGCCATGATTGCCATCTGGAACACAATCGAGTGCGGCGCTGGCATCACAGCCGGCTCGCTCGCGACGCTCCGCCCCTTGCTCCGGGGCTGGTACGCTTCGGCGTCGCGCGCACTCTCATACATGTCGCCGTACAGCTCAAAGCGGCGGGCCTCAAATTCAGCACAGAAATCACACCGGTCAGGCACGACGCAGAGCCGATCAAGCAGGCGACGGGGCGGCGGAGGCGGCGGCAGCGGCAGCGGCGCAGGCCGGCCCTACGAGAAGATCAGCAGCGACCGCTCGCAAGACTCGACCAGCAAAGGCGGCGGGCGCGCGCCGCCAGAGGAGCACGAAATGCGGCCTCCTCGGCGACCGGCGTCGGTGGCGTTGCCGGTGGTTGCGACGTCCCGGTCCCACACCAGCCTGGCCACGGGCAATGGGACAGAGCGGCTGGTGACGATCACGGAGAGCTTCGAGCGCGAGTCGCATTGGCTGTGGCCGCGCAACTTGCTGCCCGCGCGCCGGCCCCGCTCGTCGTATGACTTGGATGTGGAGCTGGGCGCGCCGTTTGAGATTGATCGGCGCAGCTCGCATGCGATGGGCGAGGTGGAGGCGGAGGAGGTGAGGAGAGCGTTGGGCGTGGCGGGGTCGGAGGCAGGGACAGGGACGGGGGCGTCGTCGCCGTCGCTGCAGTCGCTGGCGGTGGCGAGGGGTGAGGGGGAATGAGTGAACGAACGAATGAGTATCGACGAGTGGTTGGAATGCTGACTTGACTGGGGGATGAGCGCAGCGTCAAGGTTGGTACAGTTCGGCGAGGCTGGCGGCCGTCTGCATATATTACGGTGGCTGGCTGGCGCGCGCGCTGGGTTGGGGTTGGGATTAAGGATTAGGCGCCTGTTGGACATGGTTTCTTTTATTTTCTTCTTCGCTTTGCTTTTCGGGCATAGGGCATCTATCTGGCTGGGGCCTTCAAGGGGGAGGCTGGCGTTCGAGAGGGCTGGGTCGATTCCCCACGGTCTGTCTGTCCGTTTGTCTGTTCTACTGTCTACTGTCTGGTTGGCTGCCTTGTAAGTACCAAGCTTGCTTACAACCAGGGCTTCCATTTCGCCCTGGCCCTCGTGTCGGGTACATACATACATACATACATACTACATACATATACATACACACAAGAAAGAAATTGCACAAGTACATGTGCATCACATACACGCAGCGCTCGCTCGTGTCTCGCATGCCGTTGCCATTGCTTTTCACAGCCTTGTTTTAACTGCAAGCCCCCACCATCATAGGCACGGTACAGTGCATACACACGTACACGCATCAGGCCCACCATCCCCAGCCCAGCCCAACACGGGGATCCTCTGTCAGCCCAACGCCAACGCCCACGCCCAGCGCCCGCCGACCCTCTGCACGCTCCCGTTCCCGCTCCCGCTGCCGCAGGCACGTGGCGCGCTGGTCGCACGGCGCGCATGGCATGACGCGATGGGCGTCAGATCACGGATCGCGCATCTTGCGGATCGCCGATCCTGCTGCGGCGCGTGGGGTTGGGCGTTCGTGCTTGTGGTTGCTGTGGTGCGGTTCGTGGTTCGTGATTGGTTGGATGGATGGATTGGGCTGCGATGCATGGGGTTGCGCTGCGCGGCGCTGTGATGCGAGGGCGTGTCCGGGGGTGTGGGTCGCGGTCGCGTTTGTGCGCGCGTGTGTGTATGTAGACTGTAGACTATGGTTGGAGAGGGAGATGTTGTCATAATATACATACCCTCGTGAATGATTTATTTAGTTGGTTATGAATGCAAGCTCAGTGTCTACGTAAGAAGTAGTTTATAAGGAGTGTCCTCATCCCCTTACAGGAGCGTAGAGGAATGATTGCAGTACCTTCAATACTGAATCCATGGCGACTTGAAAGATAGTTGCCGCTCTGGTGGTGACGGGTATGTAGGTTAGTATGTCGCTGTTGCGTCCTCTCTCTTTCTCCCTCTCTCTTTCCATCTCTCTATTTTCCATTCCCCTCTCATCTCCCACCTGTCCCCCCTCATCACCAACCCTCTCCGCCACCACCAACCACCGAGATGTCTTCGTTGTCGTCCTTTCAGACCTCCTACCTAGCGCCGACGCGGACGCGCATCGGGCCGACCGCCGCGCCGCGTCCGCTCCGCGTGCCCTACGACGGGAGCCGGTAGCTCTGGCCCCTGTGCCTCGGGCCATGACGCATGAGAAGAGCGGACCTACGCCTACCTATCGTGGGCGGCGGACGAGCCTTCCGACTCCACACAGCCAGTTGGCTGGGCAAGTCGACCGAGGACGGAGGGAGCAAGAGAGAGGGTGCCACGGGTGGGTGGTGCGTGAGTACGTTTTTTCCCTCGCCGTCCTCTTCGCTGCTGCCTCTGCCTCTCTCCTTCTCCCTCTCTCTTTCTCTTTCTTCCAGAGCCATTGAACCCGTTCTCGCTGGTTGTGCATCTACGACCGACGCGCAGCTGCCACCACCCAAAACCACGCCTCCATCCACCCGCCTACCCGCCACCACCACCACCATGCCCACCGGCGGCTGCGCCTGCGGCGCCATCCAATACGCCTTCAGCAGCGACCCCCACAGCGTGGTAAGCCTCCCCCAAACCCTCACCCACGCACCCACGCACACACACACACACACACACACACACACACACACACACACACACACACACACACACACACACACACACACACAAACCAGCACCCAACCACGCAACTAACGCTCCCACCCCCGCCAACCCAGCTCCTCTGCAACTGCCCGGCCTGCCACCTCAGCACCAACAGCGCCTTCAGCACGAACCTGGTGCTGCCGTACTCGAGCTTCAGCGCCTCGGGCGCCGCGCCCACGACCTGGCAGCGCACGGGCAAGAGCGGCCAGCCCGTCACCAACCACTTCTGCGGCGTGTGCGGCACGCTCATGTGGGTGCTGCCGGCCGTGCTGCCCGGCACTGTGCTCGTCAAGGCCGGCACGCTGCATGAGCGCAAGCCGCTGCTCGAAAGCGAGCTTTATCGCCCCGGCGTCGAGCTGTGGGCCAAGGACCGCTGGGCGTGGTGTCCGAGCGTTGAGGGCGTTAAGAAGTTTGAGGAGGCTATGAGCTAGATTAGATGAGTGTGTGGTGTGTGTGGTTTGTGTGTTTGTGTGTGTATGTTTGTGTGCGGGTTGGAGTGGAGGGCGTTTATATATATATATATTTGGTTTGGTTGGGGCGTGGACGGACGAAGCGCACACCTTGATGGCTTGCGGCGGCCCGCTCCGTTCCCTTTGCGTTCGTTCCTTCCTTCCTTGGCTGCTCGCTTTTTCGTTTCGGGCCTTGCGCATTGCCAATCGCCGCTTCTCATTCGTCCCAGCTACTTCTATGTACGCAATACGATAGGTTCCGTCCGGGTATCACCAATCACGCATCGACCGGGGCCCCCGCTGCACCAACACCATCATCCCTCGTCGACCCCATCTCCTCCACCTTCTCCACCACCTCCGCACTCGTCCTCAGATTCAGCGCCCCGCACAGCGCCTTCGCCACGCCCGTCTCGTTCCGCTCCCGCACCAGCCGGCGCAGCGCACTGATCAAGAAGCCCGCAAACAAGTCCAAGCTCCACGCGTCCGGAATCAAGCGCAGCACGTCCTCGACCTCGAACCACGGGCCAAAGCGCTCGAGCAGCTCGCCCGTCCGCTCCACCCGGTCGCTCGCGTCCTCAATGGCCAGAAACTCGCGCAGCAGGTACCCGAACAGGCGCGCCTGCTCGTCGCGCGTCGGCAGCGCCGACGGCGCCACGCTGCGCCCCACGGGCCGGTAGATGCTCGAGCCCCCGAGCAGGCAGTAGCTTATTGCCGTGTCGAAGTCGCCGAGGCCGTGCGTGAGCAGCCGCAGCGCCGCTTCATGCCGCCCTTGCTGCCCGTTGAGGATGATCATCTCGGGCACGAGCTCGCGCTCGTAGGGCTCCAGCCGGCTGAGGATCGTGCTGACGTTGTAGGTTGACGATGACGTCTGGTTGCTGCCGAGCAGTTGGAGCAGGCGTAGTCGGCTGTCCCACCATTCGGCGGGGAGCGCGTTTTCGGTTATGAATTGCCGGTAGGTGGGCTTAGGAGGGCGCAGAGCTCGGTATGTTTCGTAGGTGTCCATGAGGATCGACTTGGCGTCTTCGGAGGTTTCGAGCTGCTTGACGACTATGTCTAGATAGTAGTAGATGAGGTCGTTGGCGTATTGAGTTTGCTGTTACTAGTTAACTTTGCAGCCTTTCCTCGCATGCAGAATCATATTCACATACCTTCTTGCCATAGACGAGATACTCAAGATACTCCTTCACAGCGGCGGGAGCCCGCTCTCGTAGCAGCGCTACTGCCTCATCATGCCGAAATTTGACTCTGCTGTTCTCGTCCGCAAACACCTGCACACCAAGCTTGGGGTTGCGGTTGGCCAACCAAGTTCCATACTCCTCCACCATGGATTGATCCCGTATCTTGCTCAGGTATTTGCGGAACTCGTTCTCAGCGTCAACAAAATCCCCACCCTTGTTTGCTTCTCCGTCGATGATGCGTCTCCAGGTGTGCAATACCATGGTGGAGTTCTTACGGCTCTGGTACAGACGACTGAGGATATACAGGCGGTTGTACTGCTCCAAAAGCACGATTGATCGATCCCAGCTGTCAACGCCGTTGTCTACGAGAGCGTTCAGCTCGGCTCTGATCGATCCCATGGTTGCCGGACCAGGAGGGCTTTGGGTATCTAAAAGCAAGAGCACGTGGAGTAAAGCCGCGTCAACCGTGCTGAAGACTTCCAGTTCATCGGCGACGCTGCCGAACCCCTTCTTCCGCCTCCATGCAAGCAAGTAACGCTTCACAAGCTGGAGCAGGTTGTCTCCGAACGGCCCAGCCGGGTCAATTGGCATCGCGGACACGTCGTGCTGAGAGAGGAATTTCTCGACGACCTCTTTCAGGCCTCCTTGAACCCAGATGCCCTGTTTGCCTTGCACGACCTCGTCGTTCAATGTGGGAAGCAGAGCGAGGATGATGCGTGGGTCTACATCGCCGTCGACTAACGCTTCTTCGGTCATACGCTTGTTGACGTCAAAAGCTACCACTCCAGACCATGTGCGGAGTATCAAGTCCATGAACAGAAGCAAGGATGCTTTCTGCCGGATATAGGTAATTCCAAGGAACTCGGCTTCGGTGCGAGGTTCCATTCCCCTGATTCCGTTGAGAACGTAGTGGACGCTCTGGGGATTGGGCTCTATCTTGTCGGAGCCGGGCGTAGACGACTGAGCGAGCCGCAACTGCGCGTCGAGCTGGACAATCAGAGGGTTGCGCACGACCCACCATACCTCCTCGTCGTTCCATAGCAGGTTGCGTGACTTGAACCTGCATAGGCGGCTGGTGAATGCAACTTCGTCTCGCTCCTTATCAGCCTCTGCTTTCTGGTCATACTCAGGCGCATCACCAGACGTAGCTTGAGTCTGCAGATTGAGACGCTTCAGGGACAGGATGTCGCTAATCTCCGATAAATTGACTTCGCTCTGTGTGGCCACGGTACGAATGCCGAGAGATTGCGAGCTGTAACGGGCGATACTGTCCTCGTCACGTAGTCCACTCGAGAGCAAGCTCAAGTTGAGCCATTCCTTCTTTGGTGCGCCCTCGGTAGGATCCAAATCCCAACGCTGTACCTCTACTGCACTACGAGAGCCATCTTCGGTGTTGCGCTTCATGACCGCGAGGATGAAGCCCTCTTCGGGGACTGCGCTGGGATCCATCAACGAAGATGCCAAATCTATTCCAGATCCATCTACAACCAAGGACTCCGGATAACATTCGAACTCTAGCGTGCCGCGTACTACATCACCATCGAGATTGACGAACATGCCCACACCTGGCTCGTCTGGGTGTGTGCCGGTGGTGAGCAGGAACTCCGTAGGCGTGGGAGATACAACATGGGGTTTCAAGGGAATATACGCTTTCCGGGGCGGCGGCGATGGGCGTCTCGTGTCAGGAGTCTCCGAAGGGGCAGGTGGAAGTGCCTTATCAGGGGTTTCTGTCTGCGGGGCAGAGGTCGGTTCAGAAGATCTGGCAGGACTTGGCGAGTAGTTTCGACCAAGTCCTGAAGGTGCGTCAAAGCCGTGCCTCGTAATCCTATGTCCTGGGCCTGGACTCGGACTTCCCAACCTTGCGTGATCGATGCCCAAGCTCGTACTCCTTCCATGACCACGGTCTTCGGGCGGTTTGGAGAGTTCGCTGCTGTATGATTCGCTCCTTGAGGGTCCGTGGGGATGGAACGAGATGTCTTGAGACGCACCACCCACTACGGCGGCGCCTTCCTCGTCGAGAGAGGATATGGGGAAGAGAGGTATCTTCTGCTGATGTACGACATCCAAGAGCGCATAGGAATGGGCGTCTGCCGCGCAGGCGAAGTCGTCTCGGCGAGCAGTTGCCAGGCATCCGCCGAACTCGATGTTTCTGATTCTCCGTGGCTCTTCTCCAATTCTGACTAGCTGTATGCGGCTTCGCAGGCACATCATGATGACCTGACCCTGCTCGCCATCATCTAGGTCGGTGTTGAGGTCTACACCCCCGACCCACGCGCATGTGATGGGCTTCTGCGCGGCGAAGGCCGGACTGAGCTCCGGTAAGGTGTAGAAGGTGAGGGTGTTGTTGCAGAGGATGCATGCTTTGTTGGCCTTTGGTAGCAGCAGGATCTGCTGGACACCGGCATCGGACTGCTGATTGTGTGCGGGTTGCAGGCGCGAGGCGATGATGAAAGTGGGCTGGCCGAGAGGGTCGTTTGGCTCGGGGGGGATAAGAACGAAGTGCAGGATCTCGGCGGCTGAGGTGCCTATGTACAGATTCTCATCTGCAGTTGGCCATGGCGTCAGTGGATGCGGCGGCGAGTTGGGGGTTGGGGTAGTTACTGACTCCAGAATTCAACACATGTTATGCGCACGCCTGTTGCCTGGGAGTCGGTGGCCAGCGGAATGTCAGACAGGACTCTGCGCAGAGTGTAAGAGCCTGTCTGGATGTGGGCGACAGGAGCTGCCATGGCTTGCGATCATTGCAATTGCCATTGCGGGGCGCGAGGAGCCATGGCGGGGAGATCGGACGCTGGAGTTGGTCGTCGATGATCGGCGCGCCAGCTTTCGCGCGGCCCTGGATGGATCCCGGTAAGGACGTACCATCATGACACTTCTCCGCGCACGCCCTCTCTTTCATTCCCCAGATGCAACTTTGCGCGGGGCCTCACCCTCTCCTTTCCCCGACTCCCACTACCTACCTACACCTGGTTGAGCCATGGACCCGTCCGCCCAACCCCCGGCACCCGAGGCCGACAGCGCTGCCGCCTCAACCGAGAACAAGTTCCAGCTGGCGATAGCCGCGTGGAGGAGTTAGTGGCTTCCTGCCCGCACGACGCTGCTTCTACGAGCTAACCCGTGCCCCAGACGTGAACCTCACGGCGCTGGTACCTTCGCTCGACACTTCGGCCTCCGAGCTCGTCGAGCACCAACGCGATGCGCTCACCCAGCGGAAGGACCTCGCGCAGAAGACGAAGGACTTCAGGAAGCTAGACGATGCGAGCAAACTCGCCGAAATCAAGGGGTTGTTGAAGGGTACGCTCCTCGCTCTGCTAGGCACGAGCACCAGGCTGAACCCGCGCAGCATACCAGAACTTCATTGACGTCCTGACGAACCAATCCAAATCCATCTCGGCCGCCTTCTTTCAAGCGTACACGCCCCTGTCCGAGGCGCCGGACCCGTATCCTCTGCTCGAAGCCTCTGTCGACTCCATTGTCACCGCCGAAGAAACCGTCCCGAAGCTTACCGACGAAAACCAGCGCCTCCAGAAGACCGTCTCGACCCTGACCTCGCAGCTGGAGGACACAGAAAACAAGTACGAAGAGGAGCTGAATGCGCGAAAGAGCCTCGAAGAGACCCGGGACGCCAAGATCAAGGAGGTCGAAACTTCGTGGACCGCCGTGCTGAGCGAGAAGCAGGACAACTGGGAGGCAAAGGAGAAGTCTCTCGAGGAGAAGGTGGAGAACCAGGACCGCTTGCTGAAGGAGCTCAAAGCCAGCCTTGAGGTTTCGCAGCGCCTGGGCAAGGGCGAGGACGAGGACGACCACGCCGGACGCGGTGGAGCAACGACTGCGGAGCTGGAAATCGTGAGCTCGGAGTTGGACCGGGCGAACACGCGGCTGGCAGACGTCGAGGCGAGGAATGAGCAATTGCGGCTCGAGTTGGCCCAGGCGGCCTCAAACGCAGGCACCGCTCAGGCACCCGTTTCGGTCGAGGAGGACCCTCTTTTCCGGAGGTTGCAGTCGGAAAACTCGTCGTTGCTCAGGAGATTGGAGGCGGCGCGATTTGAGAAAGATTCGGATAGAAGAAAGCTAGAGACGGACACGCGGGGTTTGGAGAGGGAGGTAGCAGCGCTGAAGAAAGACAGAGACACATTGAGGGAAAAGGTCAACAGCTGGGGCGACTACGAGAATGTCAAGCGCGAGCTTGAAGTTTTGAAGGTGAGAACCGTCATCTATATCACAGAACCTAGTCTAATCAAGCGCAGTCCATCGAGTTCGCCACCGGGGAAGACGACAACGAGGACTTGGACGGCTCCTCCGATGACCCCGAAAAGACTTCAACGTCCAAGAGCAAGGGCGAGACGCTAGAGCAGCTCCTCCTGGCGCGCAACAAGAAGCTCAGCAACGAGCTCACGGTGCTGCGGGTATCGCACCAAGACCTGCAAAGCCGGCTCGAGGCGCTGCAAGAGGAGCTGTCGAGCACGAACATGGAGCTCGAAAAATCACAAAACCTCGCCACGACGCTCGAAAACGACCTGATGAAGGTGCAGCAAGAGGCGCAAAACGCCTTCGACCCCTCGGCCATGTCCGTCGCCGGCGGCACCTACACGTCGCGCTACCCGCAGTCGTCGTACGGCGGGCGGGCCGGCACCACGCGCGGCGGCCGCTCCTCGCCCACCTCGTCCATCATCTCGGGCTTCCAAGGCAGCGGCAGCCTAGAGGCGCTGCGCGCAGGCGAGCAGCAGAGCACTGGCGGGGCAGGCGCGGGGATCCTCCCCATGGTGACGGCGCAGCGCGACCGGTTCAAGAAGAAGAACAGCGAGCTCGAGAGCGAGCTCCAAAAAGCGTACCAAAACGTGTCAACGCTGCGGTCCGAGATCGCGTCGCTGCAGAAAGACAACCTCAACCTGTACGAGAAGACGCGATACGTGAGCACGTACAGCCGCGGCGCCCACAACAGCAACCACGCCGCGCCGGCCTCCGCCGCCTCCGGCAACTGGAGCAGCCCCAACCCCAGCACCATCCGCGTCGACGCAGACACCTCGTCCGGCCTGAGCCTGGACCGCTACCGCAGCGCCTACGAGCAGAACATCAGCCCGTTTGCGGCGTTCCGCGGGCGCGAGTCGGCCCGCGCCCTCAAGCGCATGAGCCTGCCCGAGCGCCTCGTCTTCCGCGTCACCAAGCTCGTCCTCGCCACGCGCACCAGCAGGAACCTCTTCGCCGCTTACTGCCTCGCCCTCCATGTCCTCGTCTTCTTGATGCTGTTTAGTGGCGCGAGCGGCGGCGCCGTCGAGGCTGCTGGCTCTTCGGCTGCCGGCATGGCCGCTGCCGCCGATGGCGCTCTGACGGGGAAAGAGGATACGAAGGGCGCGTGGCATCAGGAGGGCTTGGGTGAGACGTAGACGTGCGGGCTCTTTTTTCTCTTTTTTGAGTCGGGTTGTTTTCGCGGGGAGCGCGCAGCTGCGGCTGCAGTGCTGCGGTAGGTCGGATATAGGGTTTTTGATGTATTTGGCGTCGCGCTGTAAGGTCACCACAACGCGAGCAAGTAGGCAAACAAACAAACAAACAAGCACATCACTCAGTGCGCGCGGAGCAGCGCGCTGCAATCTTCAACCATAGCACCAATTTCGTAATCTTGTTTTTCTGTGCACACCAATTCATACAAACGCTATCATACCCAACCAACCACTAAATACAGCCTTCCCAATCACCAAGCCCCCACCAATCCGATCGTCTCCAATCTCTAGCCCACCAACCTTCCAAACTCCAAACTTCCCTACGTTCAAACACAATCCCTCACCACTCAACAATCTTCAACGCCGCCCTCAGTCCTTCGGGCAGCTCTTCCTTCTTCACAATGCCCAAATGCACCGCGTCGCCCCAGAAGAACATGGCGCGTTCCTGGGCGTACGCGAGGTAATCGAACTCTTCGTCATCGCCGCTCTCCTCGGGCCGCTTGTCCGCCAAGTCGGCCGCGATCTCCTGTTCCTCGGGGCCCAGGGGGTCCGTGGCCTGGTTCGCGTCCAGGCCGCGCGCGGTGAGGTACGACTCTTCTTCAGGCTCCTGCTCGTCGGCAGCTGCGTTGGACCCAGTGCCGGTGATGCTTGCGTTGGCTGCCGTGTTCTCTTTTGTGTCCAAGTCGGGCATCCCTGGCACCTTGGCTTGCACGATGCCCCATGCCACCCACATCGAGCTGTTGGCCATCCGCCACAGTCGCGTTTCCGCCATCAGTCGCTGCGTCTCCGCTTCGATCTCGCGTTCCTCGTGCTCTTCGGCCTCCTTGATGGCCTGTGGTGGGGTGCGGGAGTCGAGCATGAAGGCGCTAATGCTGCTGCTTGAAGACTGCGTATGCGTGATGCCGGGCTTGGCGGTAGGCGTGGCGCCACCCGTGGATGGCGTGGGGGTTTGCGAGGTGAAGGGCCTGTGAGTAACGTAGGAGCGGATGAACCGGTGTTGTTCTTTGGGAGTCGGGTAGACTCTTGTGTTGATAGCAAAAGCACGCTCAGGGTCATGGTAGTTGTAACACCATTCAGTCTAAAACTGTCAGCCACTGTTTGCTGTCGTTAACCGAGGTATGTCTGCACTCACAAAATGGTTGGCAAACTCCAGACCGGGTGTGTTCGCATTAGCATACTCGAAATCAATGACCACAAGCTGCTTGTGCTCGTTTGATGGGAGAAGCAAGGGGGAATGTCCAGAGGGAACTAGACGTAGGATGTTGCCATATTGAGTCTGCAGAGTCAGCTAATGTGTTCGAGGCTCAGTATCCAGGGACTCACATCATTGTGGGCAAACACCAGCCTCTCATTCAGCTTCTTGGCCCCTCCGTACTGCTCTTCAAGCCATTTCCTGTACTTTTCCAACGTCTGCCTGAAGAACTTCCACTCGGTTCCGCACACGAAACCACGCTCCCTCCAGCCTTCTAACTTGCTCTTCGTCGTCGATGGGGCCTCGTTGATGATTTGGGCATCAAGCCATTCGGTGACAAGCTCACAGCGGTCGACCCACTTATCCCAATTCCGCCAGACGAAAGGTCCGTCTTCACGTTCTTGGGACAGAAGGTCAATTCCTTCGTGCAGCTCGCGCATGCGCTTAGCAATGTGCATCGAAGTGTCGGGGTTCCTGAGGTCATTGGGCGTGAGGGTACGGGCATGGAAGAACTCCTCAAAGCGGCCATTGCTGAATGTGCCAAGCAGTCGAGGGCCGATGCGCTTGCGAGCCAAGCGCTTTAGGATCTGAAGCTCGGATTCGCGGTCGATCAGATGCTCGACCTGAGGGCCGTAGATGCGAAGAAGGAGCTTGCTAGCGTACAATCAGCTTATAGCTCTATAGGTTGCACTAAGTGGAGATACTCACGGCGGAGGGATAGTGGGTCTCACTACTTCCACGTCTCCTTGCATTGATTGTCTGGGAGGAAGGTCTTTCGGCGGAGATACAACATACACGGCGTTGGTCAGGGCGCCGCTTAGACGTTCAACTTCAATGTCACTGCTCTTTTCCATGGGCACCTTCCTCCAGCCCTTGAGGCGCAGCGTGTGTGACAGACGCACAATCTCATACTTGAACGTTGCCCAGGCTTGCCTTTCTCTGGACTTCCTCGTGCCTGGGGTAATGTCATCATCATCTTCCTCGGCCGCTTCACCGCCACTGTACGCCAAAGTTCGTGAATTGTCCAGTACGGCGTCGCAGCTGGGCACGATCGCATCACCGTCCAGGTACTCGGTGTCCGAGGAAGCAGTCGTCGACTGACGCCTGTTTCTTTTCATGACAGCAGGCCGATGCGGCATGTGCGTAGAATTTGCGAGTCTGCGGCTTTCGTTACTGACAATGGAGATGCTCTTCTCCAAAATGTTCTCGAGGCTTTCCAAAGCCGTAGAGCCTTCAGAGGTATCAGAAGAACGGCGTTCCTTGGTATCGCACGAGCCGTCTGTTTGAGACAATTCAGCGCTGGTGCCAGTAGAGCGGCGCTTTTCTTTGCGTGCAGCTCTTCTTGCTTTTTCCTGCTTCAGCCAGGCACTGACTTGAGACAGGACGTTCTCGTGTTGACCGTGGGAACGGCGATGGATGTGAGGAAAATGTATGCCCTCTTCACTGATGATGCTGGACAGTGGATTGTCGGTCAGGGTCTGCTGAGAGGACGTGTTGCGATCAACAGGTGGCCGACCTTGTAGGCGTTTGCCTACTTTAGCACGATGCTGATGCCTCACAGCGCCGCGATCCAATGCAAAGCTGTCGTCGTCTTCTGCTTCTTTGTGACGACCATTCATCACAGGAGAGATACTCTCCGGCTCGGCGATAGACACGACTGGAAAACTGTTAGCGTCGTTTGGTCTAAATTCTGGACAAAAAGACGTTCTGCTGTGCAAATAGTGCTGTGCTATGTTTGGGAAACCGAGTAAAGGTAGTCATGTACCACAACCCATTAGGCACCTCTTTATCTAAGGTTTGGCTCCACAGGTCTTATCAGACGCAGACAGTGTGGACTCTGGAAATAAGCCAGAGCAACGCGCCTTGGAGCAGGATGAGATAGGCATCCAATGCTACCTTCAGCGGTGTTTTGCGGTCTTTCGCGTTCTCGATGGCATGGTGCGAGCACGACAGCTAGGTGATGCCCAAAGCATACCGTTCGGGAAAGCCGTCACATGTGTGACTGACCAATGCAGTAAAATCGGCGAACACATCCCCGGCGCGCGCAAGCGATACCAAAACCACACCGCAAGAAAGGAAGGAAAACAAGAAGAGAAGAAACTCAAGATGCTCACAACTGACCTTTTGACGCGCCGACTCTCGGACTGGCGCCGCCGTCACCCTTGCTGAGCACGGGTTTCAGCGCCTGGCTGTCATCCGGCTTGCTCGGTGTTGCGGAGGTTGAAGACATGGCTGCAGCCTGCAATGGGCGGGAAGGAAGTGGCGCGAGATGCGAGTAAAGGGCTGCAGGCAGGCGCGAAGATGGGACTCGGCAGGTAGCGGATGCAGATGCAGAAGGACTCGTCGAGGCAGAAGGTGGGTGAGGGATGCTGGGGTGTTGAGGCACTTGGTAGCTGCGACGCACGTGAAAGGGCAGAAGGTCCGTTCGGGAGGAATGATGTGAGCGGAAAAGGAAGCGAGCTGATCGAGGAAGCAAAAGAGAGCGGGCGATCAGGTAGCGGCGTAAGGATGCGACCGCCGGGCAGGAAAAGGGAGCAGCTGGCATGAAATTTTGTCGTCGCCGGAGGTCCAAAAGTAGGCGCGGTTCAGGTCGCAGCAGGAATCGGCCGCGACTCAGCCATCCGGCTTAGGTCTACCGTCTGCAGGGTCAGCTAGCCTGCGCGATGACGGGCAGCCAGGAGTCGCCCCAATCAATCCTGTCGCTGATCACCGCTGAAGCTCTGCCACGTTTTGTGTATTCGTATACGTGAATATGTCACACTGCCTGTACAAGTTCTGCTATCTATGCATGTCACCACCACTGGTTGCCATCATAGCTCATCATCATCATCATCATCATCATCATCATCATCACCACCGCCGCTGTACCACCCCACACCCTGTCCCCGCGGCATAATTCCCTGCTGCGCTCCTACGGCCAGATCGGTCCCTGGCCCGTCCCCACCGCTTGCACTACGCCTGACGCAGTCTACGGCCCGCCGCGCGGGCCTTTCAGCTGTGCGTCCAATCCTCGTGCGCACGTTGTTGAGACGGGGTCCATTTCGTCGTCCCCAATTCGTGTACATCTCCCCATTCTTGCGCCGTATGTTCCTTGAAAGTCGCTCAACATAAAACCCCTCTCTCCCCCAGCATGAAAGCCCGTACGCCTTTTCCCCCATGCCGTCAGTGCTCTATTTGTATAAAAAGCGCGTCTACAACTCCATCTTGTCGCCTTTGTCTTCCTACGCTATATTCACTTCCGCCAGCTTCTAAGCAATTTCAAACAGCTTCTATGCCGTTGGCCTTGTCTTGTCCATCCTCCTCCCTAGTCTCTCTTTGTCGCATATCCGTCTTTGATATCCGCACCTCTCTTATCAAGCAGTCTGTGTTTGCCTCCTCACATAGTTCCGCCTCTACTTCGCCATTGTATTTCCTTGCTATAATCCGCCTCATTCGCCTTATCTACCACCAGCGCCGCGATCTTTGGTCTCAATGACTCTAGTAGCCCATGTAGTGCAGGAAGCTGCGCTGGTGTAAACACCGTATTCGTCTCCAGCAACATGGCGGCAGTCGTCGCCCCACTGCCACTTTGAGCTAGTGCTCGCGTGATGCCTAAATTCTGCTACAGGGGTAGCATCGAGGGGGGCAAAGGAGAGTTGTGTGCGCGAGAGTCGAGGAAGGAGCGTAGCTAGGTAAGTAGCGCATCACTGCGCGTCTTTTCGGCCAGAAGCGCCGTGTGGAGTTCGTTGATATATTGAATCTTGCGGCAGAGAGCTTGAACGGATTCGGGAGTAGGCGTGGGCTTGGACTCAGAGGAGATGGCTTCCTGTTCGTTAATGAGACTGGACGTGCCCCGGGTGTGTAGCGGAAGTGCTCCGTCAGGAGCGACGTCCCAATCTACTCCTTGCTGGTCATTGTAAAGGGCGTCAACGCCGAATGGACTTGTCGAGCGGTTCCGGCGCAAACATCAACGGGTGGAGCGTGGTGTTGACGGATTGTAAACACGCGCCGCTCACCGCCTTCGCAGTATGGGCTTCCATTGGCCGAGAAGAGATCGTCAATCATGGATAGATGCAGGCGTGCCAGGTCACTCTTTTTCCCTGCAGCGCCTGAGGTTTCATATGCAGGCAGCCGATCAGGTTCGGACTGATCAACGTCGAGTCCGCTTCTTGCGAAAGGTGGCCTTCCTGCCATCTATGAATGTCGCGTGAATGTCGCATGGGCTTGCTTGAGATCCTGGCGCTAAGCCGTTCCAGCCACTTGTGAAATCATTCCTCTGCAGCTGAAGGCCAATCCATGATTTTCCCCGTCAGCCTTCAGGGGCTCACTGTGAAGATTCCAGTAGTACCACTTTGTACACGTATTGCGTACTACAGTCACAGGGGTAGATATTTTTACTCGTGTCCCCACAGTGAGTGGTACTCCGCAGAAGCGAAAGCATGTCAAATACCTAGCCGAAGTTAAATATTAGAGAAACCGCAAACAAGTCTAGGGTCCTACTACTATTAGTAAACTAGAGCGCTCCTACATATATCACCTTTTAAAGACATAGAGCTTGCGCTCGTAGCTAGTAGAAGCATCTACCTGTGCTTTCAGTCTCCAAAATGCTCTCTACAGATTACTCTGTGGGTGGATGCAGAGTTTGCGCTCGTGGTTATACGTATTTCTCACGAGGGGCATGTAGATTATAACAATATCTACCCCTAGATGCATGTTTGCTTTTTTTTGTTTTGGGGAGAGGAAGCGCAAAATCCGATTATGCAGGAGTTGTCGTCTATTGATACAATAGCGGCCCCAGCTCTGCGTAGAACGCGCCTTCATCCGTCTCCCTCAATCCTTCCACTAGTGCTCTGTAGGCATCCCAGATTTCCTTTTTCCATCTAGGACTTGCAAAGATATCCCATACCAAGCAGCTGCCGCTGAGGGAGATCAAAACAGGGGTCTCAAATTTCCGATCCGCGTCCGGTGTGACGATGACGAGACTGACCCTTTGCGCAATGAAAAGTATGCAGAGAATGAACCTAAAAGACAACCACAAAACGCCCGGCCCTGTTGACTATCCCCGCCATGCTCCTCGTAATAAAAGGTCGTTATGTGAATTGAGAAGATAAGGGGAAGGCTCTGGCACCAGGCTTTTCGGCCGTCACCAACTGACAAGTCGATTTTCAGCCTTCCGCGGGTCACCGGTAACCGGCTTGCCGAGCCTTCTCCTCTCTCATCTTTTCCTGCTTCTTGCGAATTTTAAGAGCCTCTGTCCCGTCGTCCTCCATTCTCTGGTCAAACCACGGATGGTTGAGGGCCTCCTTTGCCGATATGCGCTTGTTGGGGTCGTAGACGAAGATCCGCTTGAGCAGGTCAAGGAACTGCACGTTGAAATCGGTGTGGGGCGGGATGGTATCCTGAAGCCTCTTCATCGCCTTGACGTACTTTCTGGAAGCTTTCGGCGTCTCGTTGTTCGGATAGTCAAGCTTCTGTCCCTTGAAGTACCTGTTCAAAGTTAGAGAAAGGCCGAAAGAACAATCGAAGGAAAACTTACTGTGTAGCCGGATTCCGTGACGATCCCCTATCCTTGGCGTGCACTTGTCTGATGAGGTGCTTGTCAAGCTTGCCACCGCAAACTGCCTCCATCATGGCAAGGTGCTCAAGGTTGTCATGAGTTTGGAAGAGAGCGTCGCCTGTGAAAAACTCAACCAAGATGCAGCCGATACTCCAAATATCGCAAGGATAACTCCATCCAAGATTGAGAATGATCTCGGGCGCCCGATAGTGTCTCGTAGAGACAACGGAAGAATGATATTCGTCGTCGAAGGTGGCCGATCCAAAGTCAATGAGGCGAATCTCCGGGTTCAACAGAACCTTTCTGTGGCGAGCGGACCGAGCAGTGGCGGTAGAGGAGGAAGGTATTGTTCGGTTGTAGGTGAACGTCTGGTAAGCATTGTTGACCAAAAGAATATTTTCAGGCTTAAGGTCGGTGTGGATGAGATGCAAATCATGAAGGACTGGGCGCAGGTTAGCATATGTAGACGTCATGAAGAGGAGAAGCACTTACAAGCAACGCTGGTCAGGAGCTGACGGGCGAACGTCTGGATGTGCGTGCTGGGGAAAGGCACAAACTGGTTCGACTTGAGAAAGTCGAAAACGCTCTGTCCATACAGGTCCGTGACAATGCAAATATGGTTTCGGAAATCGAAGCAATCCCGAAGGTGGATACACTTGTTCTTGTTCTGCGCGTCATTTGAGGCCAGGGTGGACAAGACCCTGAGCTCGATGCGAGAGGCGTCGCGATACTTCTGGACAGACCTAATGACTTTGATTGCGCACTTGGTCTTCAGACGTTTGTCGTAAGCTTCGACAACCTTGCCGAAGGTTCCTTGGCCAAGCAACTTCACAATTTGATCTGCGGCTAGTCAGTATCATACCCTTGAGGCAAGATCGTAGAAACGAATGACGTACATCTCTCAGTGAGATCGGCGTCGGGGACCACAACATAGTGGCCATCCTCATCGTCGACCTTTTCGTTGCTTCTGAACTTCTGCGAAAGGTCAGCGATGCCAAAGTTTGAAGCGAGCGATGAGATACTCACATCCGCGACGACCTTGACGTAGACATCCTTGGCCTTGATCGGAGGATGCGGGGGAGGAACATAAGTGGTCCAATGCTCCTTCTGCTGTTCGGTCTCTCGCCTCTTGGCTTCCTTGGCCTCGTCCAGCGTCGTTCTCCTAGTAGTGCGCTTCCGCTTCTGACCGATGACGCCATCATCCATTTGGGGAGCGTAGACACCGTTGCTTGCCTGAGAGCCCAGGGAAGTGCTGGCCGTGGTGTTGATCGCTGAGGCGGTGCGATCGGAGGAGACGGTGTGGTAAGAAGGCGTCTGGTCGTAGTAAGGCGTCTGCGTCGTCGAGTACGACGTCTGCTGGTGGTAAATTGGGTCGTAGGCGGCCGACGCAGCCGTTTTCCTCTTCTTGTCGGCATGACGGCCCTCGGCGGCGGCGGCTCTCGACGACTGAGGCTGGCGCGTGGGTGGGTCCGGGCTGTCGTCATCTATCACGATGACTTCCTTGGGGATGCCGTTCTTGTAGAACTCGGCCCAGTCGGGCTTGTGCTCGCGCCTCCTGCTAGACATTGTCGCAGAGGGTTGTGTGGGGTATTCCTCGACTGGCTGGGGCTGCCGTGCGTTGACAGTCGCGGTTCTTCGCAGGTCGGGAGCGGGATAGGCGTTGTAGTGCGAGTTGGAGTTGGTCAGCCTCGTGGGTGCGTTGACATGTTGGTTCGGGACGGCAGGCTGCCAGGTGGGATGGTGTGCGAAATATTGATGGTGCGGAGGAAGAGTCGCCGTCGCCGTCGAAGGGGTAGACATGGCAGGGCGGGTGCTAGGACCGAGATCGTAGCTCGTGGTCGGCGGGCTTCCTAGAGAAGTGAAATGGCGAAAGTGAGGACAGGCACCACAACACAGGCAGGCTCGAGGATTGCGTCGTTCGGGTGCAGGGTGGCCGCTTGGCAGCCGGGGGACGCGCTGGCTCGAGGAATTAGGCGTGAGGAAAAGTCAAACCCGCGGGCGGGCAGGCCGTCGTCTCGGTCGGAGGCAGTGACGGAGAAATGGCGGGAAATGACGGGCGAAGGCGGTTCGGGACTCTCGCAGTGCAGTGCCAGGAAGCGGGCGCGCTGGGGGCCTGGGGCAAGGCTATGGGTGCATGCCAGCGAGGAGGATGCTCGGTGTTGCGAGGCGAGAGTGTGGAGGAGGACGCGGGAGAGGGTCGCTAGGCGTCGACTGAGGTCAGAGCCGTTCGACTTGCAATATGGTGGCAGTGAGTTGGGAATCGGCGCGGGTTAGCGCGAATTGGACTCCTCTTTGCAGGCATGTGCTGTGATTTGCAGGCCAAGGTGAACGGACGCCAGGGCCAGAGCTGCACTGGCTTCGACGACCGACTTGAAGAGGCAAGCGAGTCAATCACTCCCACCTGCTCCCCGATGGACTTGGGGACTTTTTGCCCGCGCCCTCCGTCACCCGCCTCCAGCGCTCATCTGACGCCCACCCATTGGCCTCTTGCGCTTGCTCGCCCGCCCCTCCGCCCGCAGCAGCTGACTGTGAACGCGCTACACCAAGCCGGCGTACCTGTCTCAGCCCAGGGATTGCTCCCCCGAAATGACGCGGGACGCTTTGGGCCTCAGCCGACCGCCGGCGGTTTAGACGTCCTCCAACCTTCCGTCACAGGAGGGAGGCTCCTGAAACCACTGTTGAGCACGGAGAGATTACCACTCAGCACACGCCCGAGCTTGCGTCGTACTGCCAACTGAAAGCGTCGCGCCACCACACCTGCGCCAGCCCGCCAACCCGCCAGCCCGTCGACTCGAGGTCCCTGCACCCTCGCATCACGTGACGCGCTACGGAGTACCAACGCTACCAACGGGCGTTGTGGGCGTCAGGGCCTGCCGAACCAGCCTGCGACGCCATGGGCCATGGCTCACTGTTGAAAATCCCCTATTACTGCATTCCCCTCGGCCAGATGGCGGGTGCGGCCACGAGTGATGACCGATGGGGTTGCCTTGCATTTCGTCGTGATCTACGGTAACCATTGGGGGGATCCATTCCTCAATTTCACCTGGCGGTCCCGACGGTTCGCTGGCTCCGCGAGGTGGATAAAATCGGGCATATACGAGGGCGGATCGCCCCCACGTCAAAGGCTCCTGCCGCATCAGCTGTGGCGAAGAACCGAGTAGGTGTCCGGCGGCCTCGTCAGACCTCGCCGCCGCTGCGCAGATGCAAGAGTCAGGATCCAATCATTCCCCTACTTCAAACAATCCATCCGTGAGAAAAAAAGACCAGCCCATGCTCCAACCTCTGCCGTCTTAGCTGATGTCTGAGTTCTCGCCTAAAATTAACTGCAAGGAGCGATCTACTTGGATTGCGGGTGGACCAGCTCCCGCCGCAGCCGATGGTCAGAGCGAACGTCGATGCCACGGTGTTTTTCCCATACTAATTTTATCAATACGTTGCAGACTTGTCCAGACCAGGATTGAACGCCCATCCTCGTCAATATGCAAAGCGACCGGTCATACTGCAATTTGTTATATTTACAAGGACCCCGAGTTCTTTGCGGAGCGTCGTTGAGTCGTCGTGGTCTCGAGGCACACCCCGGGTTTCTTAAAATACTTCGCTTTGAAACAACTAATCTTTGTCAACCTAAACCACTTGCGTCTCTATAAGAAGACTCTTATGTCATCGACCTTCCCATTCCCCGATCCGAACATATATTCTCCAGAAAGACGTCCTTCTTTTCCGTCTTTTGTTTTCCTTGCAACATCTCTCGACGCCGGAATTACGAGTCGTCATTGTGCAGTTGAGCAGCATTCTTTCCATAGAATCGGGGCAAAGTTTCATTTTACCTTTATCGATCCCGTTATAAGGTTTAGAAGCCTGCGAAAAAGTCTTTGACAACCCTCTCTGTCAGGTGAACAATCAACTCGATATCCGCTTTCGTCACGTTGTACGCTGGCGCCAACAACACATGGTCTCCGGATATACCATCGGCAGAACCAGAGCCAGGGTAAATCGAGATGCCATATTCTGGTTCCATGCCTAGGAACCAATCAGCAAAAGAATTTGTCAGATAACAGTTGACAACATACCTTTCTCATGGATTTTCATGGCCACACCGTCGGTCGGATCGAAAGGTTGCTTTGCGGCCTTGTTTCGGACGAACTCAATCTGCAACTATGAGCAAGACGGTTACATATGCTCAAGGATTAAAAAGACTGACTCCCCAGAACAGACCACGTCCGCGGATATTGCCGACATTCGGATGATCACCCAAACTCTTTCTCAGCAAAGAAGCGAGATGCTCGCCCAACTCACGGGCATTGTCAACGAGTTTGTCCTCTCGGATAATACGTTGAACCTCTGCCGCTGCGGCGCAGGCGATCGGATGGCCCTGATACGTTTGTCCATGGGAGAAGCTGCCAGTGCCTTTATCTAAGGTGTCCACCACGCGACGGTTAATAAGAATGCCAGCTACTGGAGCATAACCACCGCCCAAGCCCTTGCCGATCGTCTGAATATCTGGAATGACGCCTTCCTGTTCCCAGGCGTGGATCGTACCGGTGCGCCCCATGCCACTCATGATTTCATCTAAGATGAGAAGAGCACCGTGTTTGTCACACACGGCTCTCATTGCCTCGAAATATCCTGGAACAGGAGGAACGCAGCCAAGAGCCTGGATGACATTACATCAGCACAGCTGAGTTGCCCACTGCATAAACTGCTGGCAAAACGCATCATTTACTTACAGCGCCAACCACAGGCTCTGCCACAAAGGCGCACACCGAGTCTGGGCCTACTTTCCGGAACTCGGCATCAAGCTCTTCTGCAAGCCTCGCCACATACGCCTCGTCGCTTTCATCGTCGAGCTTACCGCGGTAAGCGTTGCAGGCTGAAACATGCGAGATCTTATCAGACAACATAGGCTCGAACATAGCCCTACGACCTCTATGGCCACCGAGGCCCAGCGAGCCCAGCGTCGTCCCATGATACGATTCGCCCCGCGCGATGAATCTCACACGGCTCGGCTGCGGGGTCGGCAGCTCCAAGAAGTACTGCCTGGCAAGCTTCATCGCTGCTTCGACAGCCTCGGAGCCTGCATCTCTCAGTCACACGCTCGGTTACACGCATAGAAGGCAGCGTGATACACACCCGAACTGACAATAAAGGCTTTGCTCATCCGGCCCCTCGTACTCCCAACCAACTCGTCTCCCAGTCGCTCCGCGGCACCCGTGCTGAAGAACAGCGAGTGGCAATACGAGACCTCGTCCATCTGGCGCGCAATGGCATCTTTGACGCATTGGTTGCCGTGGCCCAGGCAGGCCACCGCCGCGCCGCCAGTGGCGTCTAGGATCTTTTGCCCGTTGCTAAGAGTCAGGTAGTTTCCGGAGGCGGCGACGACGCGATGCGGAGAGCGTCGGAGGGAGCGATGCAGGATGTGGCTTGTTTGCGAGGAGGAGGGAGCAGAGGTGGAGGGGGCGACAGCAGGCTCGACGACGACATTGCCGTCGTTGACGATGGGGAGGGAATAAGCGGGGGTCATGATAGAAAGGTCGGAAATTGGATGGCGACAATCCTCTTGGCTGTGTAATGAAGGGACAGGAAAAATGGGTGAAGATTATTTTTTTTATTTAAATTTTTTTTGACGCGGGCACGCTCACCGGAGGGGGTCTATCACCAAGCAGCGTTATCGCCCGACCCCTCTCTCGGGTTTTATAGCCTGATGCATCACCATTTCGGCGGGCTGCAGCCGATGCGGAGACGTTCCGGGGACAAACGAGTCAGGCCGGGCGTTTGACAGGCGGAAGACGTCTTCACCAGGCACCTGCACGCAGCTACTAGGTAGCTACCTTAGCAAGCCAGTCGTGCGACTTGCTGGCCGCAAAAGCGGCGAAAAACGCGCAACACACACCACCCACCACACGGCGACATCGACAAGTGCAAGCACGCCTCCACACGCACCCAACAAGCCAACAACGTAGCCGTCCACACTCTTACTCGTAGGTATCTAGGTGGGTAAGGCAGGTCCCGCCCAAGCCACAAATGACGTCACCGCACCCACGCCCTCGGCTCGTCGCCGGCAAGCCGAATCACGCACGCATGGACGGGAGCACCCGACACCGCGACTTCGGGTCCGGTCGCGTCGAGTCCCCTCTCCCCGCGAATGATGATTCATCAACCAGCATCATCATCATCATTATCATCCATCTTGCATCCATCCATCCATACATCCAGCAGCACTACCCAACAGCCCTGACCACGACCGAAACGCACAAGCCCACGCCACCCCGTAACACCGCCCGCCTGGGCGCAGTAGCACTGGCACGAAAGAAAGAGGACGTACGGAGTAGAGGGAAAAAAAAAAAAAGACACCCACGCCCACAGACAGGCAAATTGCGACCGGCCGAGCTGATCGCAATGATCGCCGCCTGACCGCCTGCCTGCGAGCGAGCGAGCGCAGTTTGCACGCTTGGCCTTGCCCAGCTGCCCGGGTGCGATATCGGTCCGCGTGCTGTTGCGGTGGTGGTGGGTGCTGGTGTGGGCGCGGGGATTGCGCGCCGCTTGCGCCGGCGCTGCGCCTGCGCCTGAGGGGTGGGCGTGCGCGGCCTAGGTAGGTAGGTGCCCGGCGGGCTCTTGGCGCGGGCCGGGGCGGAGGAACTTTTGATGCGGGCAGAATCGTGGGCGGTGAGGCTGTGATGCTGTTTCATGGCCACTATCAAAGGTGTCGAGGACGCGGTATTGCCTGCCTGCCCTCGCGTATCGACCGAGTCTTGGGCGCTGAGCCGACGGCATAGCTAAGGTTCGTCTTCGACCCGCTCGTCTTCGCGCAAAGCAACATAGCTTGCTTGATGCGCCCTGCTACCTACCTACCTACCTAGCGCCAGCACGCGGCGGCGCGCAGCGAGCTTGAGCAGCGCGAGGATGAGCGCGATGGGCACCTACCTAGGCACTCACAGGTGCTGCCGTCGACGTACTTCAACGCGACATGACGCGATGCCGCACTGATCCAATGGCGCGCGAGATAATCGACCGAGGGGTGGTGCTGCTGCTGGTGCTGGTGCCGGTGCTGGGCGTCTTGTTTGGGCCTAGCAAGACGAAGCTAAAAGAGACTGAGGGGATACGTGACGGGTGAGTGAGGAGGAGCTTTTGAAAGAGGCGGGCAAGGCTGTGAAGCTGTGAGCGCGGTGGTTGGGAGTAGGTAGTGTGTTAGATCGCTCAGGCTGCGTGTTGCTGAAAGAGCTGGAGCTGAAGCTGGAACCTCCCTGTGGTTCCGCGCGGCTGGGAGATACACGCGATATATACTGCGGCTGCGCTGTTGGGCGGCGGCGGTGGCGTGGTAGAGAACTGACTGGTTCAGGACACGATGGCGGAGCTGCGGGCAAGCAGGCACGAGCAGCGCAGCGCAGCGCGCTGAAGTAGAGGAAAAGGAGGGATAAAGATATGAAGAGAGCGGGGAGGCCTGAGTGGTAGTTCTTGAGACGAGGACGACGTGCTTTTGGGTGGGTCGTAATGGTTGTGCATGGGAATGTGCTTGGATGGACGTCTCATGGTTGTGCGCGGTGAGGGTTGTTTATTCAATCTCTCCTCCTCGGGTCGATGTCGATGTCAGTGTCTGCCCAGCACTGCTCCACTGGGCGGCTGTTTCTGTGGCGGAGGAAGTTATTGTATTATTGTCTTACCCGCACCGAGTGCTAGGTAGTGGGACAAGAGGTAGGTAGGACTGACTGACTTAGCCATCTAATTGCAAGTACGCACGCCCTGTCGTCTTGGCCGCGCTCCTTTTAGCTGCCAATGACTCGTTGTCGCTGTGAGTAGCACTCACGTTCTCTGATAATCCGACGTCTAATCAAACATGTCTCCGCAATCTGGCCCGCAGTCTCGGGAACTGTGCTCCCTTCATTCGTGCGTGCCATGGCGCCAACCGGGAATTTCTGATCAAAGCCCTTGCTGTGCCACGCCTTGTGAGATGATGCCCAAGAAACCTGACTGCTGACGACTGACGTCCCGCTTGTGTGTTCCGATCTGGTGTCTCGTTTGTCTCAGATGGAGTGACAGACAGCGGACAGGAGCACCGCCATGTACGAGGCGGAAGTGCTTGTTTGCTCGCCACGGCAATGGATATCGCAACCAAGGAAAGTTACAATGGAATAGACCAAACTGGAAAACGCCAAACAAGTCAAATCACGAGCAAGAAGCTAGAAGCACCACCACTGACAGGAAGCCCAAACTGTGTTCGTAAACCCATTTTTGTTCCGCGATTTTACATCTCATCTATGTAAGCAGCAGGCAACTAGAACCCGCAAAGTAGGTAATCGCATCAGACGTCGTAAGCATCATCGCCACAAGCAGAGCAGAAGCAGTCGCAGCAGTGGCCCAGCAAAATAAAAAAGAAAAATCGGAATCCCCTCGATAACCCCTAATCCGCCCTATATTTCAAGAGAGGAGGAAAGAAACGTTCGCGCAGCGCGCACCCCTCTACGACGAGTAGTTTGTCTTCTGCTGCGCCCAGCCCAGACGGGGCTGGCTGGTCGACTGGTCAAAGACGACGTACATGGCCTTGAGGAAGGTGTCGCCGACGATGGAGAAGCCGATGCCGGTGTTGGGCTGGATGCCACCGAAGCACTGGCCGAGGGAGACGGGGGCGTACTTGACGTAGGCGCCGGGAACGGTGCGCTTCTGGCCGGCGATGACGAGGGTGAAGTCGGGCAGGTCGTTGTCGCAAGGGTAGACGTAGCCGCCCTGCAGCGAGTCGTACGACGCGCCCTCGACCTTCTCGTAGTACGCCGTGACGACGTCCTCGGGCAGGTAGAGCAGCGTGGTGCCCGTGTCGGCGATGGCCTTGATCGACGCCTCGACCGTCTCCCCGTCCGCGCCCACCGCGTACCCCGACGGCGTGAACTCCCAGAACCCGTTCGCCGTGCTCACGTCCGAGTACACAATCTCGCCCTCGTACTTGCTCTCGTCGATGAAGCCGAAGTCGTACGTGCCCGCCTCGCCGCGGCGCAGCGTCACGGCGAACAGCGCCTTGGCGAGCTGCCCCTTGACGCTGTCGAAGAACGTCTTCTGCGGCTCGGGCGAGACGGTGTTGATGGAGCTGAACGCCAGACCGAGCAGGCCGTCGTCGTCGACGTCCTGCGTGAAGGAGCGCGACACCGACGTCGCGGCCTCGACCGCTTGAGACGTTGCCGTCACGCCGCCAACCACGACCTTGTCCGCGTACACGACTCCCGACGCGCCGCTCCCGTCCCCGTACGAAATGTCCCAGCTCGCGCCGCTGAGCTCCTTGGCCGAGTCGCCAGGCTTGTACACCTCGTGGCCCGTCTGCTCGCTCGAGGCCATCTTGTTGGAGAACACCCACCTGCAGGTACCCTTGTTAGCTCATCTTGTGCGACTATGTGTGTGGTGCGTGCGTGCGTGTGTGCGTGCATCGTAGCGCTACGCTGACGAGGAACAGGAAAAAAAAAAGAAAAGAAAAGAAAAGAAATGCAGCAGTGCGACGGGATGGGGGCCAGCTAGCAAGCAGGCAAATTGTTCCAAATGCACTGCTACAGCTGCCACTGTTGGTGCGGCTGCGCCGCCTCACGCACCCCCGTTCCAAATGGAACGGTATGGCAGCGCACTGGAATTCGGCGCGCCGGCACAGCGGGGTCGGGCGGGCCACAGCCTCATGCGGCAAGCTGCAGGAGCTGTCATGAGGTGCTGCGCCAACGCACCGCCCGCCCGCTGCCGTGCCAAAAACAGCAGCGTAGGAAGTAGGAACAGTGGGGAGTGTGCCGGGTCAGGGAATGGTGACAGGGAGTGAAAAGCATGTCGCTGTGTACGTGCAGCTGAAACACTGTTTGGCGCTTGCCACGCTTGCTGAGTGCAGGGGTCGGGTAAATTGACCCCGGTTGCTGTGTTTGGGGTGAGGTGGTGTGAAGAGGAAACGGAAAAGGGAATTGGTAGGGTGTTAAGATGCGGAATATAGGAACATGCTGGGATGCCACATACAGGTCTGCGGAGCCACTGTGTTGAATGTCAGTGACAGTTTAGTTTACGACGGGGAGCACAACTCACGTGTCAAAGTCCAGCTGGAGAGTGCTGCCGCCAATATCAACGGGGCAGAGGTAGAGAGAGTCGTATTGGTCCTCGGGCGAGGCATTGACGGTGCCAGTAGTCGAAGCAGCGGCGGCAGACTGGACGTCGGACGGGGCCTGGGCGCCGTACTTCTGGTAGGTCTTGAGCATCTGCTTGGGACCGCTCTTCTGATAGGTGCCGCGGTGAACCTGCTCGAGGCGGAACGAGGTGCGCTTCTCCAGGTTGTTCATGTCAACCGGAGTGGCCAGGGCGAGGCCGGCGAGAGCCGCAATGGCAGTGATGGAGGAGAACGAAGGCATGGTCGCGGGCTGTGGAAAGGGTATCGGAAGAAAGAAGGAGAAGCGAAAGAAGAAGGCACCGTCGTACTGCGAGCCTGGGGGGATCTGGGAGCGATGTCGAGGGTGGTTGAGTGGTGGAAATGGGCCTGCTTTATAGCTAGTGCTCAAGGCGTGGACGAATTCACGCACCACACACGCACGAGGACCCTGGTGATCTACGAGATCCACAATCACAAAGGAAAGACCACTCACGCTAAGGCGTGCTGCTAACTGACATCCCCAGGAAACGGGCTGACCGGGATATGACGCAGGCTTGTGTGGTGAAGCTTTTTCGAGACCTTCTATTCCCAGACATATGACCGGGGCGGCGTGCTAAAAACCGCTTTTTCATGCACGGCAGGCCTGGTTTGCCTGCGGGTGCTACGCCCTCCAACGCTGGCCGTGGGCTCCGCCGCCCGGCGCTACTTGGCATCACTAACTCGCCATCATCTGCCCTTGTCAGACTTGGACTTCCCCAGCCAATACGGTCAATGCGTGCGCACGACATGCCAGCTGCCTATTCCAAACAAGGCTGCTCCACGCACGCTATCCGGATGGGCTCCGGAGTCGGATATTAGGAGGCTGATCCAGCAGACCGGCCTCCAAGGGCCAAGCCTCGGGCCCGTCGCACAACGATTGGGGCGTCAAAAGGAGCCTCAAAGGAAATGAGGGCTGGCGGCAGCTCGGGTGAGGCGTGGGCAGGCTGCGGCAAAGCAAGCCAATGGCGCCGCCGCCGGGCCGGGCACGTTTGATAGGGGGGGAGGTCGTTAAGCTTCTCGGTGCAGACTGGCGGCGCCGATCTATTGCTCAAAAGGGCCCAGAGCCACAACCGCTTGCACAGTGTGGGGTCGCCCGCCACGGACCGTCCGAGGGTCTTGTCGGGGCCTTGGCCATAGCGAACTTACCTCCAGTCTGGTAATGGATGTGATGGCACAAGGCGCATGCTGCAACGACACCCAAAGCTCGGTGAGAAGGCGATGACGCAGTCGGCGGAAGAGACGGGTGATACAGAAACACAGCAAAGCCACGGCGGCATTGAGGCGTGACGGGTCGGGCCCTTCATCTTACCCTCGGCGCCAATGATGATGGGTACTGTAGTAGCAGAGACTCGGCCAGGCCGACCGGAAGCAATTCGGTGGCGGCATTGGGACACTTAGTCATGACGAGTCTGGAGACCCGTGGACGATGAGATGGAAAGTGAAGTGAAAAGAGGGAAGAATGGGCGAAGCGAGCGAGTCGATCTACCGTGCCAAGCCGCCTCGTGTCCACCGCATAATCTAAAACGCAGCCAATCACCATACCAATCCTCGTCCCCATTCGGCAGGTCGCTGTCGACAGTCTCAACTGACTTCTGCAATGGCCAGCGTACAGGACGTGCGGCCAGAGAGATAAGACAACCGTTTAACGAAGCTCTCGTGGCTGGAGATCTGGAGTTGGAGCGCCCATCGTCATTGCAACCGGGCCGCAATGGTGACCGCTTGTGCATGCTCATGCCATTGTATGCCAGCGCCTCGACTGATGCTCTGCCAAATATGCCGACGCAAGCCCTCATTCGCCGCATCCCAAATGCCGTGTTATATGTCTATTAACTAGCGGTGGCCACGCTCCGGCATGAGGCAAAACGGTCCGCCGTGCCAGCCATGGTCCATCATCGATCCATCACATGAGCCTATCCACACCTCCATCCGTCACCTCTAAGCAATCTTTTTGACCGCCCTACTGAGACAGAACGACCTAGGCAGCAGCAACAACAACAACAACAACAACAATAGCTGTGCATGTCATCATCATCAATCAGCAGCCTCATCAGTTAACAAGCCATCATGCACGGCGCCGAGCCCCAGTGGCGGCAGGCGGCGTTGTCGTCCCGCTGCACGCCTATGCGGCTCCTCCAGACCCCTCATCCTTCCCCAAATAGTGCCTTCCTCCGACGTGCACACCCAAACGATCGAGGACCTCAATGTCTGCAACCCTAACGAATCGCGCATGCCCCACCTCCGGCCATTTCCTCATCACTCTCAACCTAATCAATCTGTCTCAGCCTCGGCTGCCGCTTCCGAGCCGCAAGGTACAGCCGACCCTGTGTCACGCCTAAATTAAGCCCACCGTACGTGTACATACATGATGGAGCCTACCATACTGGAATCTCACGCGCTGCATTGTTGGTCTTTTTATGTAACGCCTTCAGACATGTTGCATGCAACAGCCTTCTGCTCCGCCACTCCGCCCGCTCCCGCCAGTTTGCGGGGGCATGCAGCGAGCCTGCTTAGGTGCAGTTTGACAGTTCCTTGACAACCGTCGGGAGCAGCCGGCCGCACAAACTCGCTGCCGCGGTCGTTGTGTCGCCCACCTCCCAACCTGAGAAAAGGCCCGGCCCGTGGAGAGCACCTCATCCTGAACCTAATGGCGCCGCTCGGCGCCCCCGCGACTGCCATTTGTAAAGTCCTCCCCGCGTGCGTTGATTGGCTGCGCCTGCAATTCCCCATGCCAGTGCGGCCTTTAACACTTCATCCCGCTGATAGTTAGGCCCGCCATCTAGACCCGTTGCCTCCTCTGTCGTGATAGCAATACGAGGAACTAACTAATGGGATTACTCGTATGTACAAGTTTCTGTCCCGGTCAATATGCAGGAAGGTAAGGTGTTTGTTTTGTTTTTCCTGCTATCGACCGGGACGTGGGGTTGTATGGACAGGAGCGCGGCGGTAACCAGGTATGGACTCGAAATTACTCGTCGTATGTACAAGGAAATGGGTGTGAAAGCGAAGGTATTTCCCCGTGGCGGGGACTGCAGTCCGTCCGAGCAACCATCTTAGCAGAGCGAGGAGGTGGAGGCGCCGCCACCACCTCTCTCGCTCTCTCTCCAGCATACAACCATCCGTCTACTAAAGACGCGTCTTCCAGCACCAGCACCACCTCCTCCCGACACGCCTGCATGCGTGACGAGCAAACTAACAACATCACCAAACCCAGCACACTCTCCTTTTTTTCTCCTCTCCTACTCGTCCTTCCCTCTCACCTCCTCCTTCAGCTTCCCTAATGCCTCCTCATACGCCTTCACCCTCTCCTCAGCCAACGCGCCATCCAGCCTCAACCTCTCCATCTTCCTCTCCCCCCTCCTCAACGAGTCCCCCCTAGCAACCACATTCCAGAACCAGCCAGCCTCGTTCTTCGTCACCAGCGTCCACGCGACGCCATGCGCGCCCGCGCGCGCCGTCCGTCCCGCGCGATGCACGTAGCTGGGCACGCTCGACGGGACGTCGTAGCTGACGATGTGGGCGAGGCGGGGGACGTCGAGGCCGCGCGACGCCCGGTCCGACGCGATCAGGATGCGCAGTTTGCCCGCGCGGAAGTTGCGCAAAACCTTGCGCGACGTGCTCGTCGACGCGGACTTGGTCAGCGTGCCGATCGTGCGCGCGTAGGCGGGGTGGAGCAGCGAGAGCAGCCGTGACAGGCGGTGCGCGTTTTCGTTGTTGTGTGTGAAGATGAGGACGTTTTCGATGGGTTCTTGCTGTTCTGCTGCTGCTGCTGCTGCTGCTGCTGCTGCTGCTGCTGCTGCTGCTGCTGTTGCTGAGTCTTTTTGCGGTGCGGTGGCCCCCGCTTGCGCTTGGTCGTCGATGGCCATTTTGCTGCTGTTGTGCCCGGATTCGGATTCGGATTCTGAGCTTTCGGATTCCGAGCTGGAGTCTTCGTCCGATGAGTCGGAAGACATGTCAGTGTCCGAATCGGAGTCCGAGGATGATGAACTGTCAGCGTTAGAGGCTTTGTCGTCCACATCCATCTTCTCTTGGTCTGTTTTGGTTTCCTGGAAGTACGGCATTATCCTACTCTGCAGCAGGTTCAGAAGGTACAGCGGCTTCTGACTGCCGTCGCCAACCTGAATGGCACATTCCTCTAGCGTAGGTGGTAGGTCAAAGACCTCGCCTTCAGGTTTAGCACCTTCCATACCTTCAGTACCCTCGGTCACGACTAGCGTTGGTCTCCGCAACTTCAAGGCACTAAGCTTGCTTAGGTCTCGAGTCATGGTGGCACTGAGAATGATTTTCCTGACGTAGCGCTTCTGGGGAGGATACGACAGCTTCGAAAGGATCCTCTCGCGGGGGGTGGAGTTCTCGGGCGACTTCTCTGCTTCCAGAGCCTTCATGACGTTTTCAGCCCAGCCCTGAAAGCTTTGGTCCAGCAGACGGTCGGCCTCGTCGATGACGAGCCATTCCACGTCCTCTAAATGGAACCCCTTACTCTGCTGCAAGTGCTCCACGAGTCGGCCTGGCGTGCAAATGAGAATGTTAACCTTTGACTCGTACACCGGCACGTGGCCCGGCAGCGTCTCCAGGATATCGTCAAATTGCTGATCGTGCGTGGCCCACCCGTTCACGATACTGTCATTTGCCTTGTCGTGCAGGAACTTTGCGCCTGCCGGGTCATATCTTCTGCTCTTCTTGATGAGCAGGTCTTGTTCCACGGGAAACGCGTGGTTTCCCATTGCCGTGCCGATCTTCACTCCGCTACCGGTTGCGCACAGTTCAGCCGACTCTCGCACCTGGGTGACCAGTTCGCGCGTCGGCACCACAATGACGCCGCGCAGCTTCGTGACGGCTCGGTGTCGCATGCTCTCGATCATGGGCAGCAAATAGGCCAGGGTCTTGCCGGAGCCGGTGGCGGCCGAGACGCAGACGTCTGCCACGCTCGCGGGCGCCCCTGGCAGCAGCAAGGGCAGCACGGCGGACTGGACGGCAAAGGCTTCATTGTAGCCCTTGTTGCTCAGATGGCGGACAAGCTTGGCGTCGATGTTCAGAGAGTCAAATGGGGTGCGGGCGCTTGCAGGGGCAGTGACGGGCTCTGCGAGCCACGAAGGCAGCGAAGAAAACGTGGGTTCATACGGCGCTTCTGGGACAGGCTCGGGCTGGGGCAAGGGGACGAGGTCTGCACCAGAGACATGAGCACATTTACGATGCGAGTAGAGATGCCATCAAAACAAAGTACAGTACCATGCAACTCCGGCTCCTCGCGCGGCTCCGTGTCCGCCAGTATTTCCTCAGCCCTCTCGACCTCCGCCAGACGGACAGACTTCTGGAACTTTGACAGCACGCCCTTGTGCTTCTTTATCTGCGTCTCTTCATCCTCTTCCACAACCTCTTCGTTCTCCGGCCTCTTTCGCTTCTTGGGCGCCTTCTCCTTTTTCTTCTTCTTGCGCTCCTTCCTCTCCAGTGTCGTGGCGTCGGCGGTGGTGGGCGGAGCGGGAGCGGGATCTTGCACCTCGAGGAGCGTCTGCGGCTTCACTGGAGTCGCCGCGATGACGGGGGCCCGAGGCGGGACGTATCGAGCGTAGAATGGGCCGGCCATTGCAGTTTGCGTGGAGTGGGAAGAAAGCGCGGTGCGTTGTCCGGCCCCAAATATTTGTCGCGATCACCGTCGGGCTTTGGAGCTAGGGTGCCAGCGCCAATCAATCCGCTTTTGAAAGATTCAAAAGTTCCGTCACGTGCGGCCTCCAAGCAGCATAGCGCGCACCGCCTCGCCCAACCGGACTGCCCATGGCTGAAAGTTTCATGCCCCGTTTGAAATAACCCCTCACCGCCCGCTCGACCGCCCGAATCCTAGAGGTGTACTGGGGAGCTCCTCTCTCTGCTCCTCCCACCTCCATCGACGCCTCGTCGCTCGAGGCTGCATCTTGCTCAGCTTTTACCCTCGCGATGCATCCGCCAGACGCCCATACACCAACTACCCGACGAAAACCTTCAAGATGCCGTACAATATTGCGTACGCGCATACCCGCCCATGCATCGCATCGCATCGCATTGCAGTCCGCTGACAGTTCGCAGCATGATCAGTGACTTTTTCTTTCCCCAGCCCGGTATGCATGCGAGGCCTTCCGCTGCCGCCCAAGCTCTGACAGTCGATTCGCAGGAGGAGTCGAAAGTCACATTTACCAGCTATCCACTGTATGCCCGCATCCTCCCGCACCTCTTCGGTGATGCACTGCTCACTCCCCCGCCCCGTAGAAACTCATCGACCGCGGACACAAGGTCATAATCATCACCCACGCCTATCAGGGTCGCACCGGCGTGCGCTACCTAACCAATGGCTTGAAGGTCTACCATGTCCCGTTCTTCGTCATCTACCGAGAGACGACCTTCCCCACCGTCTTCTCGTTCTTCCCCATCTTCCGAAATATCATAATCAGAGAGCAAATCGAGATTGTGCATGGCCATGCAAGCCTCAGCAGCTTATGCCACGAGGCAATTCTTCATGCGCGCACAATGGGACTGAGAACCGTGTTCACGGACCATTCGCTCTTTGGCTTCGCCGATGCTGCGAGTATCCTGACAAACAAACTGCTGAAGTTTACCCTCAGCGACGTGGACCATGTCATCTGTGTCAGTCATACATGGTACGTCGTCTTTGCCAGTGCATGTGACACTTTTCTGACCAGCAATCAGCAAGGAGAATACGGTCCTTCGTGCTTCTCTTGACCCATTGATGGTTTCAGTGATTCCAAACGCTGTTGTCGCAGAGAACTTTCGTCCTCTGTCATACAAGGACCCAGAAGAAAGCTCGGTCACGTCGCCAGAAGGCCGTCCTATACATCCACCATGTCAACATCTGGGGCCGAACGATACGATAACCATTGTTGTGATTTCGCGGCTCTTTTACAACAAGGGCACTGACCTGCTCATAGCAGCAATCCCTCGGATCCTCGCATCGCATCCAAACGTGCGCTTCATCATTGCCGGATCTGGCCCCAAAGCCATTGACCTTGAGCAGATGCTGGAACGGAACGTGCTTCAGGACCGCGTGGAGATGCTTGGGCCGGTGCGCCACGAAGAGGTGCGGGATGTCATGGTTCGCGGTCACATTTACCTCCATCCCAGTCTTACCGAGGCGTTTGGCACCGTCATCGTTGAAGCCGCCAGCTGCGGCCTCTACGTCGTCTGCACGCGCGTTGGTGGCATCCCCGAAGTGCTGCCCGCGCACATGACGACCTTCGCCAAGCCAGAAGAAGACGATCTAGTCATCGCCACCGGCAAAGCCATTGCCGCGCTCCGGGCCAACAAGATCCGCACGGAGCGGTTCCACGAGCAGGTCAAGATGATGTACTCGTGGACGGACGTGGCCGAGCGCACGGAACGCGTCTACGACGGCATCTCGGGCGTGCTCAGCGAAGAGGAGTTCTACGGCTACCACTCCGGGGCCACGTGGAGCGCGACGCGGGGCCGCGCCGGCGTGCAGAGCTTCGCGCTCATCGACCGCCTGAAGCGCTACTACGGCTGCGGCATCTGGGCCGGCAAGCTGTTCTGCCTGTGCGTCATTATCGACTACCTGCTGTTTGTGTTTTTGGAACTCTGGCAGCCGCGCGCCAATATTGATATTGCGCGGAATTGGCCGAGGAAGAAGACGCCGGCGGAACAGCAGCAGGAGCAGCAGCACGCGGCGGCGCAGGAGTTGAGTAGGTCGAGGAGTGCGCGGTATAGGGAGAAGAGGAGGGAGACGTAGGGAGGGGTGTCTTTGTTTTTGGGATGATGGTGTTTGGCGCGATTTTTGATACCATGGGCGGCCGGAGTTACGGGGGTGAAGGGTAATGTGCCCATCTAGTGAGTGAGGCGACGGTGTCGACTGCGCATACATACGTATGCACATATTCAGCGCAGCATCACCACCGCGTCTGTTCTGTTCATGCATACGCAAGAAGAGGATTGTTGATTCTCGACAGAACGAGCCCGCAAAAGTGCCTTCCCAGTCCAGTCCAGTCCGCCATCACCCGACGTTGTTCGACTCTGCGCAGCTTAACTACAGCTTGCTTGCTTGCTTGCTTGCTTGCATACATGCGCTTCCAAGCCCGAGCCCAGGTGGCAGGCAAGCAGTACGAGCCTCGCAACCCAACCCACCCCTACCAGGCCAAACCAACAAACTCAAACTCAAACTAGAATCCGATGACCTCCTCCCATCCATCCCCCATACCACCAGAAAACCCACCACGCCCCTCCCGCCTCGTCCACGCATAAACCCCCACCTCCGCCTCGTCCTCGCGCGCGCCTCGCCGTGCAACCACACGCGCCGCCACTCCATTACTTGGGCCCGGCCTCGCAATCGCAATCCCAATCGCAATCCCAGACCCGGCATACCCGGTCTCGGGCCCCCACCCCGACAGTGCTTATTAACTCATGACCGACTGGTCGGCAGGGCACGGCAGGGCACAGCAGGCACATAAACGCAAGCATAAACGCAAGCATGAACGGACGAACGAATAGGTACGAGGGACCGAGCCAATCGGTAGCTTGGGGTAAGGTAAGGTGTAACTAAGGGGGGCTAATTAGCTCACTATGCAATGCTAAAGCAGCGAGTGAGTGAGCAGGAAAGAGCACGGGACGTGTTTGCATTTGCGCTTGGACGCAGCACGCAGACGCAGGGGCAAAGACAAGGGCGGGCGGCTACGCGCGCGCGCGTTCATTGCTACTGTAGGTACCTACCTACCTACCTACCTACCTACCTACCTTCCAACCGTACGGACTATGCATCTACCTGGCTACCATGCAGGACGCACGCACGCACTTAGGCGGGGTGGGGTACCGCCGACGGACGGGGTTTCAGGCGCGTTTCCACTTTGTTTTGAAGATTTTTCTTTGTTTTCTTTTAATAGATCATCTAAGCGTTTTTGGTTTGGGTTGGTTTGGTTTGCTTAGATGGTTGGATGGATGGATGGATGGGACTTGGATGGAACTACCTATTGGAGGCTGAGCCAGGGCGCCTAGTGCGCGTGGAGGAAAGGAAGAAAGCTGAATAGGTACATGGAAAGGGAAATCGAAATGGAAATCGAAGGAGAAACAGAGAGGTATCATCTAGCCTGAAGGAAAACAGAAAAAAGCACAGCTGGTGGGCGGAGGGTGGGAGAGTGGCATCTCCCTTCTCCCCCTTTTCCTCCGCCGCCTCTTCTCGAGGCCGTAGCAGTAGCAACAGCAACAGCAACAACAAACCGGGCCAACACCACCCCAGCCCTACGCCCAAAACCAATAAGTAGCGGCATACTCGACTTCGAACGCGCCCGTCTGGCCCTCACACGTATCCGGTGGCTGGCCACCGACCGTCTCGAGCCTAAACACCTCGCCATACGCCTCGTTGCCATCCTTGGCCACGAGTCTTAACCAAGGGACAGCGTCGGAGCCCGCGCTCTCCGGCGCGTCCGTCGAGCTGTCCTTCTTGACCCGCGCGACGCCCCACGCGTGCCCTGCCGTGTCGAGATCGAACACCGGCGACGACGCGTCGCTGAAGAAGTGGTGCCCACTGAGCAGGGCGTCGTAGGCGGCCAGCGCGCTGCGGGCGGAGGGGACCGCGTACCGCAAAGCTATGCCTGGCGTGCTGGCGAGGAGGGAGGGTGAGTGCGCCGCTGTGCACGTCGCGTTGAAGAGGGTGGCTTTGGCGCCGAGCGCTTGCGGCTCGGAGGTTGAGGGCAGCCCTGCGCACGTGTAGTTTTGCGTGCCTCGGCCGACAGCGACGTGTCGGAGAGTGAGGTTTGAGGCGGGGGAGGGGAGGGGCGTGGCGGTTTGGTCTGGGAGGGGGCGTTAGTGTGTTGTTGTTGTTAAGTGATGATGGTGTTGATGGCAATGACAATGATGGAGACGGGATGGGATGGAGGTCAACGTACCTAACGGCATGCTAACGGAGCTGAGGTCGCAGGTCGCGGCATCCTGCCACACCTTGGAGAGGAGCGAGTCGAGGCCGGAGCTGGAGTCGGCGCTGTCGACGTTCCAACGGCGTTCCTGCTGGCCGGTGGGGAGGGCGAGCAGGCAAGACGGCGCGAGGGCCAGGACGGCGAGCGCGGAGAAGAAGCGCATGATGGCGTTGACGACGGTCAAGGGTGTAAGAGTAGGTAGGTAAGAGATATAAGTCGGTGAGGTCGTCTCTTCGTGATGGATTCTTTTTTTTCTCGTGTGCGCGATGAGATCAACTCAATCGACGGCAGAAGCAGAAGGAGAAGAAAGAGACTGGGTAATAGGTAGAAGAAGACTAGGAAGAAGCAGAAGAGAGGAAGAGAGGAAGAAGCAGAAGCAGAAAAGCAAGCAAGCTGCAGGCAATCTTCGTCGACGACGTCAAGTCAAGATGCAGTCAGACAAGCAGCAGGCTCCCGCATAGGCATATTAATATGGTTTGGCTGCAGCAAGCAAGCGCGTATGCGTGTACTCAAAATATCTCAGGGCGGGGTTGGCAGGAGCCGCGCAGGGTCCCTTGCGCCTTCCCGCTGTTATTTTTGGCTCGACGTGGGCCGGCACCGCTAGCAGCACCACCACCACGACCGTTAACGACGAGCCATGGGAGAAAATCGAAAAATGATGTGAGAAGCGGCGGCGGCGGCGGCACTGCTGATTCTTATCATGCCTCTCCCTCACCATCATCGTCGTCGTCGTCGTCTGCTTTGCTGCGCCCTCCTTTGCCTTCGCACAGCCTTCACCATCGTGTATGCCTCACCACAAACCACTACCACAGGGACGACAGGCCCAGAGGCCTCGTCGCAGCGGCCCCAAGCCCAGCCTCGCAGGGCACGCAGCCATGCAGCCAGCCACCCCATCCAAGCAAGCCGCCTAAGCGCCCAGCACATCCGTACCCCGCAAATACGCCAACAAGCGGGCTAATTAAGTCGTGCCAGCACGCGAAAGCGATAAATTAGCCCAGGCGCGCCACAGCGCCTAATGCCTACGTAGTATGTATGTACCTATGTATATTTTCCGCGCCGTTTAGCCCGCATTCTTGCATTCGCCTGTCCGCATCGGGGGGTTTGCGTGCGCGCGCGTTTCAGGACACCCAGAGACGTGGCTGGTGGTTGGTGGGCTGGCCGTTTGCTTGCCGCTGGGGTGGGGCGGGTCGCCATCATGGGTCTTGAACCTACTGATGAGATGCGCGAGAGCGCGTGCCGGTCTGCCGGTCTGCGTAGGGCGGCCTGGAGGCTGGAGGCTGCGAAGGTCGTCCCGGCTCGTAGGTGATCGTCCATCTGAGATGCGCCGTTCGCCTGCCCAAGTCGTCGCACCACCTCCCCGGCAATCCCAAGCTGCCAGCCTGCCACTCTATCTGCGCGCCGCCACGCCACGCCATATGTATCTCTCTACGCATGTATGTACGTACACACAAGCCTCCAGGGTTCCCCTCCATCTCTGCGCTGGCACGCACGCCTTCGTCACGCACGCCTGCTCGTTTGCGGGGAAGGCGTGCGCGTGAGGGTCAGATGGCAGCGCTGCTCCTCGCCTGCATCCTCTCCGCTCCGCTACCGCGTACGAAACAGTTGCCGATGGCGCGCGTACCGCGCTCACGCCTAGGCACGGACTTGTGTACATACATCGGGCGTAATCAGGTCCACGCTGGCTGCGTGGATGAGCCCGGCACCTTAGTTGACGGACTGGCTGACTGGCCGGCAAGCGGAAGAGAGGGAGGTCAGATGCGTGCGTGCGTGCAGAGAAGGACTAGCCTATCTACCCGTGAGTAGAGAGGTGGTGGTGGCTGCAGGGCAAGGTTCGATGTAGCCCTTCGCCGCCCTGGGCCATCACCACCAACAACAGTCAGCCGCACGGCATGCTGCCGATTTGCCGCCGCTCGACGTTGCTGCTCTCTCTAGCACACACGATCGTGTGAGATGATAGGGCGGTGAGCCGGTCGGTAGTTGGGTTCGTACGAGTGCGTTGTGCTATATCTGTCGAGGGGGAGGGGG